CCAACCCCAACCCCAACCCCAACCCCAACCCCAACCCCAACCCCAACCCCAACCCCAACCCCAACCCCAACCCCAACCCCAACCCCAACCCCAACCCCAACCCCAACCCCAACCCCAACCCCAACCCCAACCCCAACCCCAACCCCAACCCCAACCCCAACCCCAACCCCAACCCCAACCCCAACCCCAACCCCAACCCCAACCCCAACCCCAACCCCAACCCCAACCCCAACCCCAACCCCAACCCCAACCCCAACCCCAACCCCAACCCCAACCCCAACCCCAACCCCAACCCCAACCCCAACCCCAACCCCAACCCCAACCCCAACCCCAACCCCAACCCCAACCCCAACCCCAACCCCAACCCCAACCCCAACCCCAACCCCAACCCCAACCCCAACCCCAACCCCAACCCCAACCCCAACCCCAACCCCAACCCCAACCCCAACCCCAACCCCAACCCCAACCCCAACCCCAACCCCAACCCCAACCCCAACCCCAACCCCAACCCCAACCCCAACCCCAACCCCAACCCCAACCCCAACCCCAACCCCAACCCCAACCCCAACCCCAACCCCAACCCCAACCCCAACCCCAACCCCAACCCCAACCCCAACCCCAACCCCAACCCCAACCCCAACCCCAACCCCAACCCCAACCCCAACCCCAACCCCAACCCCAACCCCAACCCCAACCCCAACCCCAACCCCAACCCCAACCCCAACCCCAACCCCAACCCCAACCCCAACCCCAACCCCAACCCCAATATTAATTTAATTTGATTAAGTCAATTAATTAATTTTTTGGAAAATAATCTAGCTGAAATATAGGAAAATAAATACATTTATTTTAAAATTAACAATTATTTAATAAAAAAATATTAAACTAATTTTCATTTTAATTTATATTTCTAAAAAAATATATTTATTTTAACATTAGTTAAAAGTGAACAAAAATATACTTAATTAATTTGCATTTTAATTTATATTTCTTCAAAAAATATATTTAATTTAATATTAATTTTTAGTTAATAAAATATATTAAATTAATTTGCATTTTAATTTATATTTCTTCAAAAAAATATATTTAATTTAATATTAATTTTTAGTTAATAAAATATATTATTTTAATGAATTTGTATTTTAATTTATATTTTTTAAAAAAATACATTTATCATGATATGCTTCTAAAAAAATTTAAATTTTTACTATTTTAACAAAGTATTTTTAAATTAATGATTAATAAAATAAAACTATTTTATAAGTAAACTATGTTTTTCCTGTGAAAATTTAATTAAGCGATTTCTAAAAGCAGCTTTAATAAAATAGATAGATCTCATAATTTTGTAAATTGAGATAAAATCCAAAAAATTTTAATTTAAATTAAAGTAGATCTCAACTTTATTTATATTAAATATTCTAAAAAAAAACTAACTAGAACTCAAATTTTACTAATTAAGAAAATAGATAGTAATGAGTTTGTATAATAAATACAAGCAAATACTCACCGAATTAATCACAACTTCAAAATAAGAAGACCTAAGCAATCCATCTATTAACTTTGATTAAAAATTGGCTTATACTATCAAAAAGTATATGGATATCCCTTTTAAATATTCAAAAGGCTTTGAAGATTACATTAAATAATAGGTAGAAATTATATGTAAGAATGAGTAAAATATTGAATTTTTTATAAATTGGAGAAATCTAATTGAGTAATTAAAGGAAAAAACAAAAATATTAACTAAACAAAGCATAACCCTACTTGATTCTTTAATTGAAACAGCAAATTCGAGATTTGAAGCTTTAAAAACTGAAAATTAATTGAAGTAAGAAGAGGATTTCACTAATCAAATAAAAATGAATCAATCGAATATTTAGTAAATATTTGTAAAATTTAACTTAAATATGTAAAAAATATTATAAATATATTAGCAGAATGTCAGATAAAAGTATGAATGGTTTACTGCACACTTAGTCCAGCAACTAAATAAAATCAAGTACAATTAATTAGTAAGATTTGGAATAGAAGTTATAAGCTTAGAGCGATAACAATTAGAATCTCAACTGTTTGCATCCTTAGTAATAGTCTTAATAACATTAAATACTTAATAATAATAATATATAAGATTTTAATAATAAATATGAATAATTAATGACTTAGCAAGGGGATTATTTAACTAATAATAATATTAACTAAAAATAAAATAGCAACTTAAATAATCAGCAATAACATAACTAGGTGAAATGTGTCAATAATAATTGGAGCTCAAATGATATGGAGAAATATCTTATCTAGCAAGAAGGTAAATAGGTAAAATTTTAATTACTTAACAATTTAAAATTTATAATTAATTATATAATGTTCTAAAAAATAGGCTCTTTTAAAATCTGAATATAAAAGCAATTAAGTAGAAAACTAAAATTTATTTGATTCGTCCATAGGTTGGTAAACTTTTGATTAGCAAAGCAAAAAATTCATAATAGAAAATGAAATTCTAATTTATTAAGATGAATCAATTTACTTAAATAGCATAAAGAATGTCGATAAAATTGATTAAAAATTATATGAAATATATTCAAATTAAATATTAGAACAAGACAAGAAAAAGAAAATGATGGAATAATTAAAATATGTCCTTAATAATATATAGCAAAATGCAGAAATTCAAATTTCTAAAGATATAATCTTAAAAGCTTATTTATTTGGTTCTTTCTTGCAAGGGACTTGTTTAAAAAAAGAATCAGATATTGATTTAATAATAATTTTTGAAAATAATTAATTAAGCTACAGAGATACCTTATTATTTATTTAAGAAACTATTAAAAATAAATTGAATGATTAATATATTATCACTCAGGAAGTCTCATTTGCTTTTAATGTGCCTATTATTAGCATTTAGCATGTAAAAACTGGGTATAAAATAGATATTACCTATGAGAATAGATTAGCTATTTTAAACTCTTAGCTCTTTAATGTTTACCTAAACATTGATTTTAAAATTAAAGTTCTCTCTGTCTTGTTTAAAATTTGGGCTGTTAAGTAAAATATCAAAAAAACAGACTTTTTAACTTCTTACGCTTTACTAAATATGGTGATATATTTTTTAATATCTTAAGGTTATCTAGTCAGCTTATAGCATAGCCAATATTTTGGTTTTGCACATTAAAAAGAAAATATTATCAATTATTCTAAGGGGCAAAAGGAAACTTAATAAATATACACTAGCTTTGAAAAAAATATTGGCTAAATTAAGTCAAAACTTGTTAATTAACTTTAAAAGCTAAATGAAAAACCTCTACATAAACTAATTACTGAACTATTTTCATTTTATAGAGTAATATTAAATCATAATGATTAATGTAAATAACATGAAAAAATTATCATTACAACTAGGCTATCAACAAATATTATGGGTGTTTTAAAATATGATTAAAATAAATAATACATTTCCATCTAAGATCCTTTTAATGATTAGTACAACCCTGGATAAAGATGGAATTTTGATGTAAACTACTTTTATTAAAAATTAAGTTAAGTTCCTCTTCAGTTTTAAGATATTGATTAATTAAGCGAATTATTTGATTGAAAAATTAATTAAATATTTTAAAAGTAAAAATTTTAATTGTTTTCATTAAATTAAAAATTTAACTTTTAAATTTATTTGATTGATATTCTAAAAATTCAAACTTTTTTAATTAAATTAATTTATTTACTTTTTTAGTTTAAGCTTTTGAAATGTAACTAGCAAGCAAAATCAATAATATCTTCTTATTATTTTTAAGCTAAAATTATTTATTCTCTATTTTGTTAATTTTTATCAGTTTCTATCTATAATCTTAAAAATATTTCTCATAATTAATAACATTTTATTTATTTTTATTTTTAATAAAATCTTATTGAGATTAACTGTATGTTTGCTTTTCTATTATTTCAGATTCTAAATTTTAATTAAAATAATTAGTTAATTTTATCAAATAATTAATAAAAATATTTACATAAACTTACATAACCAAAAATAATTTTGCTAAATAGCAATTAGATTAATTTGAATTTATTAAAATACCATAAATTTTCAAATTTGATATTTATTAAATCAGAATTAGACAAACTTTATATCTTAAAATTAAAAATATCTGGATAAAATTTTGGTAAAAAGAGCAAATGACTGGCTTATTTTAAAATACAAGGTAAAGTCACCTTCTTATAAATTGTAACAATTTTTGTTTTTTTCATGTTACTTAAATAATAACAAATATAATAATAATAACAATAGTATGATATTATTAAATGTACATTTAATATAATAACTGGCTCAAATTTTAGGATTAAATAATTTTTCATATTACCAAACAATTGAAATTGTGTGGATCATAATTGATAAAGCCCTTCTTCGCTTTCGCAATTATTTAAATAAAATAAGGTTTAATGTATTGCTGATATAAGCAACAAAAAATAGGATATAATCAGAAAATTAAAAAAGATAGAAACAAGAAAAACAAACAAACAAAAATAAATATATATCAAATATATTAATAGACTTATAGTGAAAGATTATTTCTACTTGTATAAATGTCGCTAATATTACCTTCAGATGTTAAAATAGAAATAAAAGTAGAAAACAGCTAGGAAAATTAAGAAAAGTATGGCATTTAATTAAAAAAATAAATAGCCAAGTTCAAAAAGTGCAAAAGCAAAACTTTTAAGCAATAAAACTTTGTTATCTTTCCTCTTTACGAAAACAGATACATTTTCAATCATTAGTTTATAATTCATGGATATATCTAAATTGAGACTTTGTATAAAGATTTCAATAGCGTTGATGAGCCAGAACTAATAGTTTTGCAACATGCCAACACAGGAATAAGCTCAATTGTGAATAATCATAAACAAAAGATGATAGAGCTTAATATCGATAGCAAATTTGGCAGTGGTCTAAAAGACTTTTAGTTTTTAGTTGATTACTTCAACCAAAGCCACGATGTCAAATTCAAGTAATTAGGAGCAGGTTTGTAAGAGTATCAGAATTTCGTAAGTTAAAAGAAATAATAATTCTTATACTAAAATGGCAAACTAAAAGCTAGAATCATTAGTGAAGAAGAAATTTTATTAGCCATTTAAGATAATGATTAATATTTAGACAATTACGTCAAAAATAATTATGATGAGAATGATCTATTATTCGTCGTTCAGGCATTTGCAAACTTTGAAGAGAATGACATCTAAATAAAAAAATATAAAGCTTCTTACTCTTTATTAGAATTCATGGGTATCGACATTAACATTCCTTCTTAATTAAAAGCTTTATAATAACTAACTTAATCTGCGAGACTCTATGGAGCTGATAGGATTGAAGAAATAATTATAAAATTGAAATTCTACTCAGAAGCATAAGAAAAAATAATTTTTGAAAAATAAATAGTAACAGTAGATTAAATATGCTTAAAAGTAGAAATACAAGTTGAGTTTGTAAGTTGGCTAGACAAACCAGAATTTCTTCAATCGGATGACGTAGTAGGCTATATATTGAAAATTCAATTACAACCTTAATAATTAGATCAACTAAAATAAATAAGAGCTAGTAAATGCAACTAAGTGGCCAGTTAAATAAATTCTTAAACCTCATTTGAAACTGAAGTCTATTAAGAAATATTCATAGATAAGTTTTATTCAAATAAACCTGAAATTATAAAAAGAAAGAGAAAAAATCTTAACAAATGAGTTAATAACTATTGATTATTTCATATTGTTTATTTGTTAGATGAACTAAATTTATTATTTTAGATTAGTAATTTACTAAAAATTCTCCTAATTTTTCTTTATCATAAAATACTTTTGTTTGTTTGAAAATTTTTTCATTAATTTCAAGAATACATACTTAGATTTTTTAATCATTAATTAGTTATTTAATTCTGTAATTTGCTATTTTTAAGCATATCTATCTATATATAATCAAAGTATATAGCTGTTCCTGCATTGGAAATATTACTAATGAATATTTTTTTTCTTCTAAAAATAAGCTTAAATATTACAAAAATTTATTTTATACTATTCAGTTCGCATTCTCATTATCCTTTATATCGAGTATCTAGTTCATTCTATATTTTTTAGTCCATCTTTTTAATAGAAATATTAAGAGTTAAAAATGAATGTTACACTAACTATTTTAATTTTTCTCTTTCTAAAAGCAAATTTATAATATAAATTCATATAATTAATTTTTGTTTTTATCCACTTATAATTAATTAATTAATTAAATTTTGGTATATTGAAATTCAATATTTTTGAAAAATAAAATAAATGATATAATAGATTAATAAGTACAACAAATTAGAAGAAGTAATTATTTATTTTTTTTTATCAAAATCTTTAAATTTATTTTTATTAATATAAAAAGTTTTTAAACTCTTCACTTTAATCTCATTAGGCTCTCCATATTAACCTAAGGTATATTTAATTTATAAATATTAATATTATTATCGTTTTCTGCATATTTAGCTTTCAGTCTTAGAATTTTTTATATATTTAACTTTCAATTTATTTATAAAATAATTTTCTTTTAAAAATTATCATCAATATTTAAAGATTAAAATTTATATCAATATTTTTTTAGATATTTTAACTTAATTTTCATTTCAATTTTTAACTATTTATTATTGATTTTTTATTATTTGATATTTTTTTTTGGTTTTTTCTATAAACTCTTATTTTGATAAAAAGAGTTTATTTGTTTTGGATTGTAATATTTTTAATTTTAAAAACTAATTAAAACAATAAAGTTCTTTTAATTTATTTGATATATTTTTCTTTTTATTGTATTTGCTTGCTATTTCTTATTTTTTGGATAATTTAACTTGTTAGTTTCATTTCAACTTTACTTTTAATATAAAGTAATCTTATTATTTCACATTATTTCTTCATTTTTTCCTTCTAATTAATTATTTAATTATATTTTTTTTCTTCTATATTTAAAAAGTTACAAAATTGATACAATTGCTGTATCTGTCTTAGGATCTGCTTTAGCAAATTGCACTAATCTCTAAAATTTGACGCTTTTCCTTATGTAAAAAAAGTTCATTAAGATCTTTTAATTTATTTGATTTATTTTTCTTTTTCTTTTTATTATGCTTGATTTTTTTCTTTGCTAATTTAGTCATTATTTTTTTTTCAACTTTTACTTTTATTGTTAATTAATCTTATGAATCCATATTTTTTCTTCATTTTTTCCTTCTGATTAACTAACTAACTACATATTTTCTCTTTAATACTTAAAAAGTAACAATAAAATTGGCAATGAAGGTGCTTCATACTTAGGTTCTGCTCTAGCAAATTGCATTAATCTCTCAAATTTGTCACTTAACCTGGGGTAAAAAGAGTTTTTTTGTTTTGGACTGTGGCATTTTTGATTATAAAAACTAATTTAAAACAAAAAATCTCTTTTTTAATTTTCTTTTTATTTCTTTCTCTGCTAATTTAACTCATTATTTTATTTGCAACTTTTACTTTTATTATTATTTAATCTTATTATTTCATATTTTTTCTTTCTTTTTTTCCTTCTAATTAACTATAATTGCATATTTTCTCTTCAATATTTAAAAAGTTCCAATTTTATTGGCGATTGAATTGAATTGAAATACTCGCACATAAAAATGCACTCAGAATACATCTTAAATATAAAATTTAATGATAGGTTAATTTAATTTATTTATATTATTAAAATTTTTAAATCACACAAACTACACTATCTGTCATACCTGTCATACATTCAAAACTCAGAAACTCAGAAACTCTGAAACTCAGAAACTCTGAAACTCAGAAACTCAGAAACTCAGAAACTCAAACTACACTATATCCTAAATTTTTACAAAATTAATTTTCATAAAATTTTCAATAATTGTTTTATTGTCCAACATTCAATTAAAATTTTCCTTCTGAATAAAAATTTTTTGAAACCAGCTACCCTAAAATTTTGCTCCAATTGTAAATTTTCTGACTTTAGTATCAATTGATGAAATGATAAAAACTTCTTAAAGTGTAGGGAAATATTTTTGGATTAGAATAGTCAGATTTTTGAATTTATTGGCGATTAAGGTGCATTAGGCTTAGGTTCTGGTTTAGCAAATTGCACTAATCTCTCAAATTTGATTCTGTACCTTTAGTAAAAATAGTTTATTTATTTTGGATTGTGATGTTTTTAATTATTTAAACTAATTTAAAACTTTTAATTTATTTGATTTATTTTCTTTTTCTTTTTATTGAGTTTGCTTTTTTTTTGTTAATTTAACTCCTTATTCTGTTTTCAATTTTTGCTTTTATTATTTATTAATCTTATTATTTCATATTTTTTCTTCAATTTTTCCTTCAAATTAATTATATATTTTCTCTTCAATATTTATAAAGGCACAATAAAATTTATGCAATTGGTGCTTCAGGCTTAGGTTCTTCTTTAGTAAAATGTACTAATCTTTCAAATTTGACACTTTTCCTCGTGTAAAAAAGTTCATTTTTTTTGGATTGTGATATTTTTAATTATAAAAACTATTTTAAAACAATAAAAATCATTTTATTTGATTTATTTTTCTTTTTCTTTTTATTGTGTTTGCTTTTTTTTCTTTATTAGTTGAACTCATTATTTTATTTTCAATTTTTGCATTAATTATAAATTAATTTATTTCATATAATTTCTTCAACTTTTCCTACTAACAAACTAATGAATCATATATTTTTTCTTCAAAATTCAAAAAGTTACAATTAAATTGGTGATGAAGGTGCATAAGGCTTAGGTTCTTCTTTAGCAAAATGTTCTAATCTCTCAAATTTGACACTTAATCTTTGGTAAAAAGAGTTTTTCTATTTTGGATTATGATATTTTTAATTATAAAAACTAATTTAAACTTTTAATTTATTTTTCTTTTTATAGTACTTGCTGCTTTTTCTCTTTTTTTTGTTGATTTAACTCATTATTTTATTTTCAATCATTACTTTTATTATTAATTAATAATATTATTTCAAGTTTTTTCTTCATTTTTTCCTTCTAATTAATTAATGATATATTTTCTCTTCATAATTTATAAAGGGGCAATAAAGTTGGTGTAGAATAGAATAGAAATACTCGCACATAAATATGCACTCAGAATACATCTTAAAATATAATATTTAATTATAATTTTATATAATTTATTTTTTATTTATTTATTTTATTAGAAATTTTGAATCAACCAACACTACTTCTACTACCTTTTAAACATTGAAAACTCAAAACCTCCGAACCTCCGAACCTCCAAACCTCTGAACCTCAAACCACAGTATATCCTAAATTTTTACAAAATTAATTTTTTTAGATTTTGACTATTTTAAGACTTTTATCTCTTACCTTGCAAACCATTTGTTTTCCTTATCGAGGTTTTAATGTAATTAAATTTTGATGTATATAAATATAATAATTTAATTAAATTAATAGAAGCAAAAAAAAGATTGGAATTAAATCGTATAAACTTTTTAAAAGTAAAATAAAAGCTTAATACAAATATCTATTTTTCTTATAAAGTAAATATTACTTTCTTTCATTAATTTAAAAAATAACATTTATAAGGTTTTTCTGGCTGGAGATTTAATTTTTCCATAATTAGTTTCCAAAATAAATAATATTATTTTGTTTTAATTTTATCATTTTTAATTTTTGTTATCTTTTACATTTTTCTTATTTAAAATAATTTATGAGCAATTTCAATAACAATTTCAAAACAAATTTAAATAATAAGTTGTAATTAAATGAATTTAACTAAATATATTTAATTAAAAATAAAGTTAATAAAAATAATTTACTTTTAATATCTTACTAAAAAAATTTATATAATTTAAATTACAATTATTTAGTTAATTTTATATTAATACCAATAAAGTTTATTTATTTAATAAAAAATAATTAAAAATATTTCAAATTTTAAGTTTCATTAATCTATTTTTTTTGATTCTTGAGAAATTCTTTAATAAGAAATCTGTTATTTTTATATTTTATTATGATAAAATTTCTTTTTTATGTGCTTACTAATTTTATTTTTAAATAAAAAAAGGTTCTACCTTATTTCATAATAATAAATTAAATATTTGACAAAAGATGACTCTGAATATTCATTTAATATTTATTTTTTTTAAGTTAAATTAATTATTCCTTATTGTTTATATAAAAACAAAAATATTTTAAGATAATAAAAATCAGTAATCTATTTATACTGATAAAAGCCTATTAATTAATCATTTATTTATTTTAATTCTTAAGAGTTTTTATTTGAAAGAAAAAATTTATTAAAAGTTTATTTTTTCTCATGACAAGATATTATTAATCTTGATGAGTATCAATTTTTTTGCTTAAGTCTAGAAAAAGTATTACATAAATTAATTTTTTTAATTAGATTTAAAAAATGTTTAAGAGTAAAGTCGAGACTTAAAAAAGATAAAGATATTTACTTTAATTCTAAAATTTTAATATTTTATTAAAATCTTAAAATAATATTTAATCAATTTATTTAATTTTCTAATTTTTCTTTATTTAAACATCATAAAATATTTTTGTAATTTAATGAAAAGTTTTGATATAAAATATATTAAAAATAAAAGTATTGATAATTTTTACAAAATAGTATTTTAAGTAAATAAATAATAGAAAGATATTTAATAAATTATATTTTTTTTAGATATTAAATAAGAAAATAGCGGATAATGCAATCAATTACTAGAAAAATATTAGTGTGTTTATTATTTATTTATATTTAAATGAATGGATTCAGATATAGATTTTAATGAATATTATTAATTGGCAAAATATTAAAAAACATTAATCTAATCATATAATTAGTTTAAGGAAATAGTTAGTTTGTTTCTTTGGAATTTAAAAGCAATAACTTGGTGAATAAAAGTATTACTCAAAATTATTAATATTTAATATTTTACCATGAAAGAATATACAATTTATTTAGTCCACAAAATTGTTATTGAATCTTAAATTCTTACATTTGATTAATAAGTATGTAAGCAATAAATCAATAAAATATTCTTCGTCTTATTAAATATTATTTAATTAAAGTTGTTCTAAGTAGAAATCAAATTCATGAGTTTATCACTCATTCTTTCATTGATTCATTCATTTTAGATTAAATTCATATGGAACTATTCTTTTAGATGAATCATACTATTATTTTTTTAAAGTGAGAATACTTAAAAGAAGAATAAAAAACAAAAAAACCAACATAGCCAGCAAAATTGCTAAATAAAAAAAAAGTAAATATATCTTATTGATTGATTGGCCTAAATTTTCATACATTTAATTAATTAAGATTTGTATTTTACTCAATCTATTTAATTCAAAAAGTCTTAGAATTAGAAAAACAATCAATTAGAAATAACAAAACCTCTAACAAGATTAACTGCTTTTTGATTTGTTAGTTAGCAATAAGACTGTACATTAATTTAACAAAAAGAACCATTTTAAAAATTAGCATCGATGATTGATGGCTACTATCAGTCCTTTTAAACGCCTAAGTAGCCCCCTCTTAACAGCTAAACAAATCATTAAAATTTTGGTTAAAATTAAAATCATCAAAGTGAGAACATGCAAACAACTGAAGAAGATATTGTAAATAGCATCAATTAATAGCTCTTAAAATAATAAGATAGACCTCCTTATTATAATTAGAATATGCTTTATAGGATGTTTACAAATAAGAAAAAAAGCAAATTGAATGAAAAAGGTGGATCTTCTGAATTTAGTAGCTAAAATAGTGATTAAATGAAGAATTTTGAATAAAATTAATCTGAAGAAGAAAGGGATAATTAGAGCTAAAGTCAATAAAAAAAAGAAAGTAATAGCAGCTAATTTTCTAATATTGAAATGTCAAATATGAATGTTTAATAGCTGAAATTATTTAAGCAATCTTCATGTTAAATTCAAGAAAGATAAGAAGGAGACGAATGTAATCAGCAATTTAACAAGAAATTGACGAAGAGGATGAAAAATGATAAAGGGAATTAAAGCCAAGGTAGTTAAGATGATGATGATGAAGGGGAAGACGAAGAAGATTATTAATCTTAAGATTTACCCTAGGGTAAGACTAATTGGTAGAAATCTTTTTTAAATGAGACTTTAGAAAATGTAAAAATAAAGTCAAGCTCTTTTATGAATAGAAGTGCAAGCTTTAATTTAAAAAACAGTGATAATTTTAATATTTCAGGAGACTTGATTTAATCAAAAGACGGAGACAGTGATCAGTAATAGCAAACTTCTCTGAGTAGTATAGCCTCTCCTTTTGTAAGAAAGTAAAATAAGCGAACTTTATCATTTGCATTACCTTCGAATAGATTTGGTAATAATATGCTTGGTTCCAACAATATAATTGGGAATGATAAAATTTAAAATATGCAAGGAGAATTCAGTTAATCTATGGGGTAATTAACTGGTGTAAATTAAAGGATGTCTGTTTCTTAATAATCTTAATCACCACAAATTTAACAATAATCAAATTTGAATGATAAAAACTCAATTCTAAAAGTATATAAAAATTAAAAATAACATTACTTTTTATAGAAGTGCTTCTTCTATTTAAATAGTTTTTACAGGTTCAAAAAATTATCAAGTGATCATTTCAAAGCAATGGACAAATCAGCTGTTAACGGAGAGAGTGATTAAGATGAATAAACTCTTACAGAATATGCTTAATAGCAGTTTAAATACATACTTATCAGTCTCCTCCAAGTAATACCTGTTATTTCTCCTTCATCTCACTTTAAAAATATTTGGGATGTCTGCTAAATGATTGTTTAAGTATACACATTTTGGATTCTTCCAATAAGTATTTCAACTGGCAGAGATCTCTATGATCTAGTTGGTGATCCTATTTCTCATATAACGATTCCAGTTTTTTTGCTACTTGATTTAATAGTCTCTATGAACACTGGATACAATAAAAATGGTGCAACTGTATTAGAAAAAGATAAAATTATTGATCATTATTATTACGAAGGCGGGCTAACTTTTGATATTTTATCACTGATTAGTATCATTTGTTTATCTTTCAGAAAAAATCATATTCATGAAAATTTTGATAATTATTATGATCCTACAACTTATCTTTTGCTTATTTATTTTGTGAAGTACTTTTAATTTTGCAAGACTGCTAAAAAAGTGGAAGATCGTCTTGATTTATCACCTAAAAAAAAGAATGCTCTATCTCTCTTTAATCTGCTTGTGAATGTATTATTTATATCTCATTTATTTGCTTCTATATGGATATTCATTGGCCGACAGCAATAATTAATGATAGGAGATTCTTATCTCAATAAAAGAACAATATATAACTTGGATTGGTATGATTGGTATATTTAAACTATTTATTATGTAGTCGTAACAATGACCACAGTAGGATATGGTGATATTGTACCAGCAACAAATACTGAATTCATTGTCTCAATAGGAATCATGCTATTTGCCTGTGGTATTTTTGCTTACAATGTCAATGCTATTGGAGCCATTCTAGATGAATTCTACAGGTAAAAGAGAATCATAGATGAAAAAATGGCTGTTATTAATGCTTACATGAGCAGACATAATATTAATTTAAATCTAAGATATCAAATTAGAGATTATTTAGAAAATTTTTGGATTCAATCAGCAGAAAAGCATGAAGAAATGGAATCTATGATTATTAATGATTTGCCTAAGTATTTATAAAAAAATCTAATTGAAGAAGTTAATCATGTTGTATTGAAAAAATCTCCTATATTTAGAAAAAATTTTTCTCGTAACGTATGCATGAGACTATCACATATATTGAAAGAAGTGCATTACCCGCCAAATTAGTTAATCTGCTCAAAAGATACTTAGGATGATAATTCCATATATTTTATTAGAAATGGCACAGTGTAAATTTCTTATTTCAATCCATCTTAAACTCATTAAAATACTCATTAAAATCAATAAAACAACGGATAAAACAACTAACAAAATTAGACTAATGGAGCGCCTCATTAACCATCTCCATAAACTAGCTTTTTAATCACAAATCCAAATAATTAAGGATAATAAATAAGTTAATAAATTAATAATTAAAATGCCACACCTCAATTTTCCTAATCATTTTACAATTTAAAGAATGGAGATTCTTTCGGGGAACTCTCTTTTTTCACTGGCTAAAATAGAAGTGCAACAGTCAGAGCAGTTGACTTTACAACTCTCATAAAAATAGAAAGATAAGAATTTATTTAACTACTTTCAACATCTCCAGCTGACTATGAAAAGTTCTGCTTTATCAAGGATAGGATCATGTTTAAATAGGCGTATATTATTTTGAAAATTTTATTTTAATTCAATAATTATTTAAGTCAAATCTAAACCATCCCTCTAATTTTTAAAGATTTAATATTTGATAAAAATAAATTTTTATTATTATTTTTCAAGGGGTAGTTAGTAAATAAATTTTTATTATTATAAATTTATTAAAATAATATAAACTTAATAATTAGTATTTATATTTAATTAAATTGAATTGAAAATTTGTAAAGTTAAAAATTTTGTTTATAAAATTTATAAAGATATTAAGATATTGGAGTAAAATGTTATTCTTGTTAAAGATATGATCATTTAATCAGTTAATGCCCTGTTATACACTTAGTGCCAAACAAATACATCACTTTACTAAAGTATAATTATAATCCAGAAAATAAAGAAAGAGTAAAACATGACAGATCAGATCGAGCTAAGTTTCATTCTATTACAGAAACAGAGATACTAAAGACGGCTGCTTAGGAGTTGTATCCTGATGGAAATTTTGATTTCTAGAGTGGAGATGAATTGGAGTCTACAGAATCGAGTGGATCTAGCTCTCAAAGTTCTTCATAAAGCAATTCTGATGAAGATGATATGAGCTAGTCTTCAAAGAGCGATAAGAGCCATAACTCAAAAAAGTCTGTCAGCTTTAACAATAGCTAAAACAAAATGTCTCACTTTCAAAAATTTAGTGAAAAATAAAAATCCATAAGTGAAAAGAGTGGAAGTGATAGCTCAGATTAAAGCAGTTAAAATAGCAACTCTGATAGTGATGATAATAATAAAAAAAAATCTAAATCAACTTCATAATCATTAAAAAAATTAAGTAGTAGCAATTAGCTAAAAACTATTCAAGGACTTAATAAAATTTCAGAAACAAAAAAAGAATAGGATTTTAGTGATAGTGATTAGTCTTAAAAAAGTTGTCATATAAATCCTAACAAAAAAATACCTCTCGGAGATAAGTTTTAAATTATGAATAGTAAAAATAAATAAACGAAAGAAATAGAATTTAATTCTAATAGCAAGCAAAGTTCAGTTTATGATAAAAATAACAATAAAATACAAAAAAATAGTCTCATTAAGAAAGGAGGAGGAGGATAACATTCATCTTTTAGTTCTAAATCATCTTCTATGTTAGTTACAAATTAATAAAATGATCAACTCTTATTATCTCCTTAAATGTGTAAAAATAATAATGAAAATAATAAAAATTTTGAATCTAAAGACAAATAAACACTTAAAAATTTTAACATGCCAGATGAGAATAACAATCAGTAAACTCTAATGAAATTATTCCAAAAACTAGTTGATAAATTTATAGTAGAAGAAAACGAGGGATAGACTGATTAAGATTAAAACAATTAAAGCAATTAAATGGTTGATATTGAAGTAGATTTTAGCTAAGATTTTTAAATATATTATCCTCAGTATAACTAGGCAAATATTATTAAAAAATATAATGACCTTACTGCCAAATAAAATCAATCTGCATTTGTAATGGCGTTTTAAATTAGCAAAAAGCAAGATATTAAAGAAACAGAATAAGACAGTCCTACAAAATCAAAAGGTAGGAGCTCTGTTTTCCTTAAATTCAATCCTCGTTTTAGTATTGCACCAGCAGGTCTAAGATGAAAATAAATAATTAAAACTTTAAAATATTAATTAAATTATTTCAATAATCTCTAAAAAACAATATTTAACAATAAATTACTAAAAAACTAAATCTTTTGTCCAACAAAAACATATAAAAACAGAACATTATTATTTATTTATTTATTTTATTGTTCTTCTTAAATATTTAATATTATCATTAATCTCACCAAATATTTATTTATTCTTTTTTTTTTCAAATTTTTAACATAAAAATTAATTTAAAATGTATTTATAAATTAAATATTATTTTCTACAATTAACTTTCAAAAAAAGTATTTGTGTTTGACTACAAAAATCTAATTTATTTTTAAATTTAAAAAATAAAAATGTATTTAAAATTATTAAAAAATAGGGAAATAAATATTATTTTTTAACATTTATAACTTAATATTTGGTAAACAATAAAATCATATTAATAGTTATTTAATTTCAGTAATCAAAATAAATTTATATGATAGAAAATTATTGGGTAAATTGAAATAGGTATAAAACTTAAATTTTATCCTACTAAAAATTTTAATTGCTTTTTTTCCAAATAATATTCCCTTCCCTACTGGTATTTTTTATGAAATAGTTTTCTGATTGTTTATTAATTTTAAAAATAAAATCATATATCTTTATAATCATTGTTTATTCAAGTATTGCTATTTAATTATACATTACATAATTATTAAATTATTCTACTTCATTACTTTTATTTCATCTTTTCATATTTAAATTCGAAGAAAGTGTTTCAAATTAAGTTAATTCAATAAAATATAACAATCAAACATTTACAAGCTTTAATTTTACTCATAAATTTATAAATAATATTTGAAGATAATAAAATAATTAATAGAGTTCTTGATTTGTATTAAAATTTCTAGAAGAACCTAGTATTTAAGAATGATTAATTACCTTTTAATAAGATGTTTGAAAAAGAAATATTAATTAAAATATAGTTTTGTTGATATTAAATATTATAACTTGTTTTATATAGCGCCTCATTTTTACTTTTCATTTCAATTCTGTTTGCAAAAAATCATTAATAGATTAATAAAAACATTTAAAGAAATTCAAAAATTAGTAAATTTGATGAGTCATCAATATTTATTGATAACATACCCTGGAAAAAGTATGAGTAATTCCTTTTTTTATTTTCTTAAGTAATTACTAAATTTATTTATAAAGAATTTACTTAATTTAACTATTCTGAAGAAAGAATAGAAATTTACATTAATTAGTGAAAGGTGTAAAAATAAGTTTTTGAGTAAATAGATTAACAGTATGATTAGAAGTGTAATTTAAAAATAGCGCTCTTGATGAATTAAATTTAGCATTCAACCAAAAATATTACACAAAAAATTTTCAAGAATCTATATTTTTAATTTATTAATTTAAAACATTTAAATATAATGGTTTATACATTAGCATAGCATCTATTTCTTTAATAAAAATACAAACAACTTTATCTTACACTTATTGCAAATTACGATTGGTAGAAAATACTTTTTTTTAATTTATGTTAAAAAATAGTAAATAATCTTCTTTTTTGAGTAAGAAAACAAGAAACAATGAAATTGAAATTAGATAATCAAAAAGCCTAAATAAATTAGATTGGGGATATTAAGAAAATTAAAAGAAATAATAGATAAAATATGTGATAAATGATAAGTGACTAATACGAATAGATTTAATTGGAAATAGAAATATCACACAAAAGATAAAATTAAATATTCATTTTTAAATGAAAATTGAGAATAAATTAATAATGTACACTATGAAATACTTAATATATTTGTTTGATATATTTTTTTGTAAAGAATGACAATATGATGATTAAATGGTTGATTAAAGTAATAAGTAATTTTTCTAATATAGTTTTTTAATTATTTTTATCTAAAATATTGCATTTGATTTCTTTAGAACTGCTTTTTTTATTTTAGAGAAGTTGTTTGTTGGTTATGATGATATATATATTTGATAGATCAATAAATTATTTGGTTGTTAAAAGGTCAATCTTTATTTGTGATTTTTTAATTCATTAGATTTAATCTGAGTATGATTCATTTCTTTTTTTAACATTCCTTTGCTGGTTCAAGTTATTATCATTTAATTTAATTGACACCAGCTAACAAAGAAAAGATCTTACTATTTATTTCTTTCTTTCTTTCATTCTTAAGGTTAACTCAATCATTACTCAAGTGGAGAACTAGAATTAGATTCAATTTCTTTTGTACCGCAAATTTTTACTTAGCTCTTTTTTGGCTTTTGAGGCTCAACAATTGCTTGTTTTTCTAATTAATTTACGAAATACTCTGACTATATTGTGTATGTCATGTCAGATTCAAGCTCTTTGATGAGACTCTGTGAAATGACCTTTTAGGCCTGTCTGAGGGCATTGATCTGATTTATAGTATTTTATGAGGGCTCAATGTATACGATAGTAGAGTAAAAATCATATTTGTATTCTGACTATGGAGAGTTTAGGAGACTATCAAGAGTTATATATTCAATTCTAATGCGAGCATAAAATTCAATTTCATCATACGTAAAGAATTTGTAGTATCCCTCTTCTTTCACGTCTTAGAAATTAGTGAAATTTTCAAAATTAACTGGCTTATCTTTGAAGTGAGAAACTATAGCATCTATTACTCTTTTGTTGATAGCCAACATAGTTTCAAATTCGTAAAATTCTATTATTCCGTTTCTTTGAGTGATGTGTAAGAAAGATTACTGGTTGGTACCCAACAAATTGCATAATTCTCTATTGAAAGACATTCTCTATGCAATATATTAATTGTTTACTAAACTTGGATAGCTCTCTACTGTGAAGAAATATTTCTATTCATCGTTCAGTTTTTTATAGTATTCTCTTGTGAGCCTATCAAATAAGACTTTCCTGTCTTAAAATAGTTGCATAGATTCCTCAGACTTCTTTATATCATTTATCTTGAGCTTAACGAAGTTTTAGTATTTGGAGTATATTTTTTCATACTCTACAAGAGTGTTTCCAAATTGATGAATATGTTCTTCTGGATATCTTAGATATCGAGGTAATTGTTTTTTGAATTCAATGAAATTCATGTTCTGTTAATCAAAATTTACAATTATAACTTCGTTTTTATAATCGGCCTCGATGTTTGAAACTCTCTTAACATCATTCCAAGCAGATCTTTTGCTTAAATAGGAGTACTTTTTGTCAAAATCTAAAAGAATCTCTCCAGTCACGTAAAGCATTTCCTTTTAAGTAACCTAGTTGAAGATAGGGGTAATTGTCCAATGAATCTTTTTGAATCCTTTTTTAATGTTTTTGCTCACTATCTTGCTGCCAGATTATCTACTGCTGTAACTTCCAGCACTCTGGCTGACATCATCGTTCTCTTCTTCATCTTCCTCTTGATCGTGATTGTTACTAATTTACTTTTGCTCCTTAGATTCCTTTGACTTAACTAAAGAAGCAATTTGTTTTTTTCTTATTAGAGAAGGATTAGATTTTTCTATTTTAGCCAAAGTTGTAATCACTGTTGACATTTTTCTTTTTGAATTATATTCGTGTGGGTTTTTATGTATGTATGTTTATATATTTGTGGCTTATTTATTTGTCTATGTTGCTGAGAGTATTAAAATGAAAATAATTAACTAATTTCTTTATATTTATTAAATAGAATAACAGTAATGATTATGTATTTATTATGATTGCTTGTTTTCTTCTTTATTGTTCTTTCAAACAAAATTTTAGATAAAAACTAATTACTTTTTTGTTAATGAGTGATAGGAAACAATATTTACCCTTATATTTGGTTCCTTCTGTATCTAATAACAAAATTTATAATCATTTCAGGATTAGTTGAATTTTAGATTTTACTTTCTCCTAAATAGAAAAGAAAAGGATAAATAAATGTAAAATTTAAGGTGGGAGAGCATTTAATAAGATTTATACATTACTTTTGTTTATCATCCCGCAATTATCTATCACAAATTAAGTGTCATTTATTAATTTCTAATTATTTTTCTATTTTTATCATCGTCTTGGATTTCCATTCCTTTGAAATCTATGCAGTAATTTAAAAAATAACGTTTATTTAATTTTTCTAAGATTAGGCACATATTTTTTTTATTTGTCTTCCTAAATGTAAATTTTAAAGTCTAATTTTGGAAAATTTAATTTTTTATTTAAGCATAGGGCAAGGCTTGTATTCAAATTCATAAAGCAAATAGTGTATTAATTAGCATTAACTATGAATGAAATTATATGTAACTAAATTGTTATTAAGTTAACAATTTTGAATCTATTAAACCTTCTTCGAAAAATTACATATTTTGAAATTAAAATGCTGAATCAAAATTACAAATGAAAGCTTTTTATATTGATTTTATTGACGCATTTTTCATGATCCATAGTAAAAAAGTAGCATCAATTATTTGGCATAGAAGTTTTTCGGATTAATCCCGTAGTAAGAAATAATCGAGAAGAGCAACTAAAAAATATTACAAAGAACATATAACTAAATATCTTTAATACTTTACTAAATAATGGCAAAGTTACATTTTACTTAATCGAAGGCGATGAATGTGATAGAATAATCAAAATGGTAGAAAAAATATTAATTAATATTATAATAACAAAGTATAGTTTTATTTACTGATAATAATTTATATAATAAATAAGAAACATGGATGCAATTAATTAATATAAATAAATATATTCATTTTTTCTTTTTAATTTAATTTTAATAGTAAATCAATCAACTCAGTAATCATTATTTTTTATATTATTAGCTAAATTTGTTGTACTATTTGAAGGATTATAACTATTGTAGTTCATATTTCCGATCATACTGCTTTTAGCACTTCCTCTACTCCCAAATCCTTGTTGTTGAGATTGATTTAAAATCATTGAATGATCGTCTAAATTCTCATAGATATTATAGGGAATTTGGACTGAGTTATTTTTTCTAAAACTCTCTGAAGGTGAACAAGTGCCATTCAAATTACTTTAGTAATTATTTCTTCTGGTGAGCATAGTTGTTGACATTGAACCATTGTTAGATTAGGCAAGATAATCTTTTACCCTTCCAGGAGCTTTTTGCTCTTAAGTTAATCTCTTGTAGTCAGTTAATAAAATATTATAGGCACTCTCAATATTTTTACGAGAAATTTCTTTCATGTCAATTTCGTTTTTTATCACACTTAAATCGTTTTTAAGATGGTTGTTAATCTTTTCTAGTTATTAAATACGCATGTTTTTGTTTCTTTCCAGTTCAAGCAATTATGCTAATTCATTCTCTAAAGCTTTATGTTTACATTACAAAATCTATTGATTGTTTTCATATTAATTGCGAGCGTCTCTTAGCTCCTCCAATTTTCTTCTGTTGCTCTTCTGAGTTTCAGGATCAACAGATTATGCCGAACTTTTATTTCCCATCTTACTTTCTATTGAAAATATTTGCACATTAATACTATTTTTCTCTCTCTCAATCGAAATCTACTCACTGCAAATATTTGCTATTTCTTCAATCAAGGCAATCACTTCTTTGTTACTTACAAAATCTTTAATCTTACCTATGATCTAATAAAATTAAAAAATCATTAGTAAAGTAAATGAAAATTTGTGGAAAATAATAAATAGTTAGTTAGATAGCTCAATGTCAAAATTTTGACAATTGTCACAAATATTTTGTTTGGGATTAATTTCTTATTTGATCTAATTAAATCTAAGTTCTATTGTAATCAAAAACAAATTTATAAATAATCCAAAGGAAAATTTAATTAAAATAAGCCAAAGTAAAATTTAATTAAAATAATCAAAAGCTTTTGTTTTTTATTAAGTTCACTAATTATTAATTCATTATTGATAAGAAACAAATTTGGTAAATAAAAATTGAGAGATGTTTTCTTATTTATTTTTTTGTTATTTGTAAATTATTTGTTTGAAATGTCACAAAATAATATCTGCAAAATATTAAGAAAAACTTAAAATTATATTTTTAATAGCACAAATTTATCTTAAAAAAATCTAAATAAAAAATTAAGTTCTACCTAAGCATTTATGTCTTTCTCTTTATTGAGCTTGAGAATCACTTCTTCTAAATTCTTAACAGAAGTAAGAAGGTTTTGTTCTCTAGTTTATAGCTTTTCAATAAGACTCTCTGAACTCTTTTTCTCTTTATCTAGCTTTTATTATAACTAATCATGATTTTGCTATAATTATTTCTTTTCACCAGATAAGGTATTAAGTTCTGTTTGAATTCTTTCTTTCTCTCTTTTTAAAGTATCTATTTCATTGTTAAAAAGTTAAGTCTAGTGCTTATCCTGCAATTCTTTAGTCTTTTTCTCCCTTTCTAAATCTTATATGCTTTACTATTAATCTTTGATAGTTTACTTTAGCAACTCAATATCTTTCTAATTACTATCTTTGAATTGACTTATTTTATCTTCAAGCTTCTAAACTGTGTTCTAAAGGTCTTCTTTGTCTCTAGCAACATTTTCATAGGTGCTTTTAAGCTCTTCCAAATATTCTAATAAAGCTTCTTTGTCTTAAGAAATCTTAGCATTCTCCTCTTGAACCAAATGCAAGGCATCAACTGCTGTTTTTAGCTCAGTGTTTAATTTTTCAGAAAACTCAACACTCTCCTAGTTCTATATTTTAAGATGAGCAATTTCATCTCTCATCTAATTTATTAGCCCAACCTATTATTCCATTCTTAGTTCTAACTCTTGATTTTCTACCTTCTAACTGTCAACTAAAATCTATATTAAAATAATTATATCAAACAAAATTCTTTTTAAAATTAACAAATAAAATTTTGTTTATTCCTTAAAATATTTTTTTTATTTTCTCCATTCATTTAATTTTTTCTTTAAAAATTAATTTCATTTGTTAAAAAAAATAAATAAATGCTTTTATTAAAATCCAAACAGTTTACTTTTTAGAAAAATTATATCTAAATTAAAAGAAATTATGCTAATTTATTAAAAATAGAATGTCTTTAAAATTTAATTTATGCGAATTAAAAAAAATGGTCAATGCTATTTTTGTAAAATTTAATGAAAATGATTTTTTCTTTAATAATTTATTTTTTCATTTAAACTGCTTCTTTTTAAATTCAAACTGAATTAAAAACTTGATTTTTCATTTAATATTTAATTAGAAAGTTAAATAATGAAGTTAATGAATTGTTTATAGTTAATTAATTAACTTAATTTGAAAATTGACTGATTGATATTTGTTATTTTTTATTAATCGATTATTTAAATTTTGTTTAATAAATAAATAGAGTGTTTTTTAAATACCTTGATATTAGCAAATTCAGTAAATAACTCAACATTGTTTACTTTAGATTCTTAATTTACTTCTTAAATAAATTTTTCTAGCCCTAGATTTTCCATGTTGCTCTAAAGAACTCTGCTCATCATCTATTTTATATTTTTAAAATGGTTTAATATTTTGATTCACATTTAACAAAAATCTTATTCTAAATAACATTTAATATTGATCATCATAATTTATATTTCATTAAATGCTTTTCATTTAAAATTATAAATCTATTTACTGTGATCTATTCCTTCTATTTATTTAAAGTTTCTGATTTGGTCTTGCCGGATTTTTCCAATTCAAGTATCTTATTTTGAGCATTGTTGTAATTAACTGCTAGCTGCTTGTATTAATCTAATATGTTTTCATTCTGTTTCTATTCCTAAATAGTGCTGCAGGTACGTTTCCTTTGCTATATTTCTTTGATTTCATTTATTTTTTGCTTCAAAATCTCATTTTCTTTCTCATATTAATTATTTTCAAAATTTTTAGCCTAAAATAAATTGTTTTGGACATTTTGATGGACTCTGCTTTATTTTAAATCTTGCAATGTCAATTATTATTGATATTGAGAATAGCTATAAGATTAAGCATGTATAGGTGATTAATTCTAACAGAATTGGGGAATATTTGCATCCATAATTCTCTCACCAAGAATTTGACTATCTCTTATTACTTAGCGATCAAATAAAGGAGAAAATTAGTCGCTTGTATTCAAATAGCGACTTGATGAAGGACTTATTCCTTCTGGTATTGTCTTTAGTTTTTCTGTCATTTAATATTTATCAATTAATAAATCTTGGTTGATATTTTGATTAATAAATTAATTACTTTGTTTATATCTCTTTCATTCAAAATAAGAATCTTAAATTTCTTATTTTAGAACGTTGATTTAAATCTCTTTTTGAATTCAAGATAAACTCATTTTACATGAAATTAATTGCCATATTTATTTGATTTCTCAAGATTTTAATGATATTTTTATGTGTTCAAATTTAAATGGATGTTAATTAAATAATAATCTAATTTCTTATAAAGGTAATTTTGAGTAGATAATTATATTCAATTAATCTTTCTTTGTATTTTTCAAGAAAAACTTCAAGCCTTTATTTCCAATATTTAAATATTTTAAAATACATTTTATTAATTAAGAAATTCTATTATAATTTAAATATTAAGAGCATTCATTTTTCAGATTTTTATGATAATTTTATTAATTTAAATATTAAATATTTATTTTTAAGTTAATTATTTGATAAAATAAGATAAAAATTTATTAGATTTAATTATTAATAATTTTTAAAATTACTAACAAATTAATTTAGAAAACATGTAAATAAATAATCAGCAGTATTTTTATAATTTAGTGCTAACAAAAGATAAATTAATATCTATTTATATTATTATAAAGGAAAATAAACATTTTTTTAACCTATTCTGTAAAATTTAGAAAGAGAGTGAATATTTATATTTTATATATTATAGCCTTTGAATATTGTAAAAGTTTGCTTGCTTGCTTTCTTGATTATTATTTGTAAATGTAATTCATGCTTGATATTCAAGAATTTATTCTTCAATTTTATAAAAAACTTCTATTTTTTTATCTCCAAACCTTTATATTAAAAATATATATTAATTTTATTACTCATCTATAATTAAATATTACTTCATCTAACTGTCTCATCTTTTCATGCCTTTTTTTATACTCTTCTAACTTTGATGCATTTTTTATTTATTCTTCCTTTTGCTTTTTGACATCAGGCAAATTTTAGTATCTCCTTTTGCTTTATTCTCTCATTTCTTTTTCTGACATCTAAATTTTATAATTCATAGTAAAAAAATTAAGATTAATATAATTAATAAATTTGCATACTTTAACTTTTTCTCCCTTGACCAGTCTATCCAAAAGACTATTACTACTTGGCGTCTTACTTAGCCCTGTATTTTTCTGGCTTATTTAGCTAACAAAAGAAGCATCATTTATATTTAAATTTGATCTTGAACTAATTAATATTATATAATTTAAAATAAAAGTATTAATATTTTTTTTATATTAAAAATATTGTAAATATTCTTAGTCAATTATTCTTATTCAAATTTTCTAGGTTTGATTTAATTTTATTTGTAAAAATTTGTTTTTTTATAAAATTAAAAGTTAAATTAAAAAAAAGAAATAATAGGGTATTTAATTATATTTAATTCTATTATTTTTTTACCTTGAATTATTTTTTTTAGATGTAAAAGGAGAAATAGAGCGAGATTGATTTTTACTTGATGAATTTTTGTGCTAAACTTGTTGTTACTGCATATTATTATTTGTATCAAAAAAGTAACTGTGAGTTTCTGAAATATTCATTATATTACTAGAATTTTATTTGCTAAATTACTATTGAACTTATTTTCTTTTTTCTAAAATATTAGCTTTTGATCTTTCTTTAGAATGAGTTGGTGTTAAACTTTTTAATTTTGATCTTTCCTAATTTAAAAATAAAATTTTAATTGACAAATGAATTAAATGGAGAAAAAAATTCAAATACTTTTGATTGTTCTTTATTATCTTCTAGTCTTTTTGCTATATGAGCCTTTCTAGCAACAAAATAATCTGACAGAGGCTTATGGATATTTTAATCATCTATTATATTATCATGTTATGGGAATTTTATATCGAAAGTAGCTGAATCTTAGTGATTTCTAGCAGGTGAATTATTTGCAGTTTGATTCTAGAATAAAGTATTAATTTTGTTCGATTAGCGCTTTCTTTGTTCATAATCTGCATCAACCTTAAGTTTTAGTAAAATAGTTTTTTAAATTCTATTGTAAAATTAAATTATTTAATATTTCATAATCAAATCCCAATTAATAAAATTCAATTTAGTTTTTTAATTTTTAAAAAAAAATTTTATTTATTTCAAGCTTTGATTTTAATTTTAAATGATAATGAAAAATAATTAATAAATTTTACTTATGATTTTCTACTTTAAGGAGTATTTACAAAAATTTATTCTTAGCTAGGCTCAAGAGTAAAAGGAATTTTTTAAGGTGCTATTGGTTAAAATTTTTAAGTGTCAATATTTACTGGAGTATTTGAAATATTGCTTTAAACATAAGTAGGAAGAGGAGCTAATTCTAAATCACTATATTTAGAATTTTTTGGAGAATAAAGAGGAGGTTTACTAGCAGATTTTTAAGGAGAATTTTTATTATAAGTATGTATTGTGGTAACTGTGGTGGTAGTAACTGTATTGCCCGAATTATTAAATATCCCACTTTGAGGGTAGTAAAATTGCTGAGGAGTTTAATATTTATTTTAGTCGTATTAGTTAGGTTGATTTAGCAAAGAATTAAAGGAGTTTGCAGATGTGCAAGGTTGCTAAAGAGTTTGTTACATGTTTTCATGTTATTAAAGTATCTAATTATTTTATTTATTTATTGTTTGTAGCTAAGATTTGATCATGTTAATTTTATTCTAAATTTTTGTGTCGTTTAATTGTCTGTATATTTCATTAAATTAAGTATCTTAATTTAAACCACTTCGAGGGGTTTCTGATAAATTTTAATAGTGCTTTGGTGTTGAATAAATTGCCTTTGGTGATGAAAAATCTTTTTTTTGTGAGTTTTTAGGAGAGTATGGTTAGAAGTTTTTAGGTGAAACTTAGAGTTATTATTTTGGAGAAAATTGTTAGTTTTTAGGTGATTTTTGAGCAGCTGAAATTGGAATTTGATTATTGATGAGATGATTCTAATTATTCTTTGGTGAAACTTAGCTAATTTTTGGCGATTAAAAGTTATTTCTAGGTGATATTTAACTATTTCTCGGTGATATTTAGTTATTTCTATTTGATCCTTGGCTGACTGAGCTATATATATTTTTAGGAGAAGATGCGACTGAATTTTAATTTGTTTTATTAATTCCATTAATATTTTTTTGTTAATTTCGAGGAGATGGTAATACAGAGTTTTTATTTTTAGGAGATGGTAAAACTGAATTTTTGTTCATAGGAGAAGGTTATCTCTTTGTTATTTTATCATTTAGCATCAGAGCTATAGCTGCTTGTTTTGTTTAAATCAAATTTTCAACATTTTTTGGAGAGCGGTAAGATTAATTGTTATTATCAATTTCATCTAGCTTATTTTAATTTTAATTGCTAGCATTTTTAGGTGTAAGATTTAAGGTCTTGTTTGTGGGTGTTATTGAATTTGATTTGGGAGTGAGAGTTTCTTTGTTTCGACCATAAAGAATTTATTGCATTTTCGTGTTAGGAGTGGTCTCATTTATTATGAGATCAGAGTTAGATTTATATCTTTAATGCTTGATAAGCTCATTTTCTGAAGGAATACTTGGTATTAATATGTTATTTTCTTCTGCGACCGAGTGAGATTGAGGGATTTAACTAGTCGGACTTTTCTTTAAAAGTTTTTCTAGTAAGTCTCTTTTTGATGCTGAAGATTGAGGACTTTGTATTTTTTGAATAGCGCTGCTTCGATTAGGTAAATTCTTAATTCCTCCTAAGGAATTATCTCCTCCAATAGAACTATTTTATTCCTTCCACTTTTTAAGTTAAGAAATAGGAGTTTATGATCTATTAGACTTCTGATTAGAAAATTTTAAATATTCTGGGAGTTAGTCTTTTGGACTTAATTTAGATTGATTCATCTTTTGAGGTGATAGAATTGAAGCTGATTCCATAAATTTATTACCAGATTTATTGTTTGAAATATGACTGATATCTGTGTGATTATCTCCTACATTTATTTGCAAACGGTCTTTAAGAGGTGACATTCTCTAACTCTTATTTTTAATATTACCTGAGTTTTCTAAATGGAAGTTGGCATTATTCATAATAACTTCTTTTTGTCTAGCAAGCCTTTCGTGTATGAACTGCAAATTACTCTGGTTAGCCTTAATGGGAGAGCAGTTAACGTATTCCTATGGTTTTTGTTGTAGTTGTTGTTGTTGTCCCTTATTGCTATTAAAATTATCCCCTTCACAGTACTTTTACATGTTGGCAGAATAAATAGACTAAGCATCGGTATTTGTAGGTAAATAGTTAGGATTGCTTTTTTCATGTTAATGCGGATTTTGCTATTAATATCTACTATTACTTATGTAGCTATTGTTGTTTTGGTTTATGGTTGAATTTAAGTTTATATTCTCAATGTTATTAGTTATAATTGTATTAGGAGAGAAATCTCTTTTTCTTGCAGAGTCGATAACATTCTTTTAGCTGCCGCTATTAACTGCTGGATTATTAATAAAATTATTATAAGCTTCTATTTAAAATTGTCTCATTAAATCTAGATCATCAATTGTTAATTGCTCATTTGCATTTGAGTTTCTATTATTTAGAATCTTACTATTTTATCTATTTTCATCTGCACCAAAAAGATATTTTTAGGCTGATGTATTATTGTTTGAAGGATTATTAGGAGAAGTTTAACGATTCTTCAATTATTATGCAGAAGGAATACTATTGTAATCATAAAACTCTTATTAGTAATTCATATTATTATGGTTAAACTCTTAAGTTTATGGAGCTATGGACATTATTTTATGTGGATTACTGATGCCTCTTTATCCACTGTCACAATTAGTATTTCTGTTAAACTTCGGAGTATTTTATTCTATTTTCTTTTTGGTTTAATTATCTAATTAAGTGGTTTGTTTTTCATTTATATCTGTTCTTGATGAAGGTAGATATCTAGAGCTGTAATTTAATTTGTATTGTAATTCTTCCGAGCTATAATTCTAGATAAGCTAGCTAGTATTGTTTTTTGCTGTCATACTAATATTACTAAGACTGCTCTTTCTATCTTATTCCTATCTTTCATTTTTTGTATGATAAACAAGATTCTACTAACCAGCATTTTAATTTGAATTAAACTTATTGTTGAAGTTGAGCTAATTTATATGCCTATTATCTTATGAATATCTCTCTAACAGATAAATATCCTCTAACTAAGAATCATTTTAATCTCTTGTATTTCTGGGTGATCCTTTTGTATTTCTATGAGAATCACAAGTTATCTAAAAAGCTATTTTTAATTAATAAAATCATTTAAAAATTAATTAAGATATTATTTATTTATAACTCTTTAAGACAAACAAAATTTACTTACGCTTATCTTTTGTCTCAAAGGGGATTGTGATTTTTATATGTGAGTTGTCTTTTTCCATTAAAGAAGGGTAGATGATTGGTTTGGTTTGAGGAGGTCTCATTTCCTCTCTTAGTTAATACAAACTTTCGTTTACAGTTTCTTATGCAGATTTTTTGTGAGTTGTATTTGTCCTGCTTGAGGCACATTAATCTAAATCTTAGTTTGAAGATATTGAAAAATGCACTCCAGATAAATCATTTTCATTAGCAATATCTTTTTCTATAATTTATACAAAATTGTGATTGTAATTAATATAATTATTTGGATTTAATGCAACAAACTTATATAAATATCCAAAGTAAATATATTTTATTTTTATTACCTTCTAACTTATTCATGGTTACGTTGAACTCTACAATAGATCTTTTTGGTTAAGTTTTCTTCACTAAGATTGGCTTTATTGGACTAGAAGGGGCAGTTTGAGAGTTGTATCTTGGTGACTGCATATTTTAGAAAGTAAGAAAGTCTTTTTTAAATTCAAATTGTTGCTAAAAAAGAAATGTTACCTTATTTGATGATTTGTTACTAACATCTTGCAAAATCTAATTGTTTAAATTCAGAGAAACTTATTTTTTTTCATTTTACTAGTTAGAAGCATTTTAATTATTGGACATGAAAGGTGACTAATTTATAAATTTTTCAAATAAGTATTTTAACTTAATTTAGATTTAAAAGTATTACTATTCCATTTGATTTGTGAGAATAATCAGTGAAAGCAGGTGGTGACTCAAACTAAACTAAATCGCTTTGGTTTCTTATTTACTAATTTCTACTTAATTTCTAATATGGGCGTATTGATGAGAATTAAGCCTAATTTATTTTAGCCATGTTGCTATTCAACGTATTCTAATTACTATTTTCTGTATTAGTATGTTGCTTGTCCATACTTTATTTATTTATTTATTTATTTATTATTCTATTAGCAAAAAAAATTTAATTCCGAATTTTTAATAAATTAATAACTAATTTTTCAAAAGCTTATTTGAATAGAATTCTTCTTTCTAAATCTAGATTTCTCTATCAATGACTTTTTGCATAACTAATTAATATACCGTATACATTTTAACGAATATTTTGTTTGCTCAAATTAAATCCTATCAATATTGCTTTTGTAAATTTCCAGTGAATCATCAATTTTATGAATATTATATTTTTATAAAACCACATTTATCTGTTCTCTTTCTTTCTTCATTAAATTAAGCATTTAAATATATTTTATATAAATTTTATTTATTTTATTTAAAACAAACAAGCAAAATAAATATAATATTTTATCTTTATTCTATGTGGCCTTAGAAAAAATTTTTATTTGACAACGTTTTTTAATTATTTAAAGCAATGAAATTTTTAATGTTATATTAATTGATGAAATCTTTAAAAATTATTAAATTTATGAAGTGATGAAATTTATTTTTGTTGAGAACTCTTGTAAGTATGGTTAATTTTTTCATCTTTTCTATGATTATTCATAAAGATTAATTTGTCAATCAATTAGCATCTAAATATTTTTTAATTACTAATTTATTCTTTCTTTATTGTAAAAAATGTTATTTATTTTAACATAATTTTTCCTGATACAATTTATTATTAATGTTTAATTGAAATATTAATTTTTTCATAATTAATTAATTAAATAAATATGTTTTTTTTAAGAGTAATTTTAAACATTTTTTTTTTATTTTGATTATTTTTACAAAGTGAAGTATTCAAAAAAGATAAAAGGTTTATTTTAAGCTATTGATAAATTTTAAGAAGTTAAAAGGTTTATTCTAAGCGGTTTATAATGTTTTTATAAAGAATTATTTTGAAAATAAATGCAAATAGGAATAAGTAGTAAGTGAGTGAAGTAGAAGAAATTTAGGAGCACAAAGACAGGTTTTAATTAATCAAATAATTATTCAAGTAATTACATATGAATGGTAGGTAAGCTTATGAGTTTAGAAGTTCTGTGAATCGCAATGACTAAAAAAATAAAGCTGACTAAGCTTTTTGAAGAATCTACTAACAATATTTATGTGTTTGCTAAATGAAAATAAAAAAGGTTTAATTTTGAAGTTTTTAAAGAAAATAAATAAATAATTATTTTTTTATGCATAAATTAATTATTATTTAATTAATTGCTAGTTAAATAAATAAAAAAAAGGAGTGAAATCAATCAATATTAAAGATAATTAATAAAATATTAGATAGAGTCTGAAAAATAAAATTTAATTGTTACTCATAAGATACTATCTAATTGAATTAGGTTAAACAAAACTAACTTCAAGTTTTAAAGCAATTTTAGGTCATTCATGATAGATTATTTTAAAGCATTTGAAGAGGAATATATTCCTATTGATGTTTAAAAGGGTAAAGAGACCCATGGTGATGAAATGTTTCCTATGTTAGTAGATAATTATAGGTCTCTATAATTTGACAAGGATTACTAAAGAATTCATGAAGGTCTTCTTAATGAAAGCTATCAAACTTTGAAAGATGTAACTCATAGCATAAAAGGATCACTAGGGTAAATAATAATAAATTAATTTTTAGTTTCTCATAGAATTTTTTTACAGATATTTTTTGAAAATTGAATAGGTATCTATGCCCTTTCGTAGTAGGTGGAATATCTGATTAATTGTAAATTTTCATTAGAGATAGAATACCAGATAAGGAGGGAAAAATAAAACTACCTTTCACTGAAGAGGAGAAATAAAGAGTGTACAAAGATTCTCTTTTTATTTTAACAGAAATGACAGCTTTGTTAAGATATTTTAGTAAAAATTATCCTGATTTCTAAACTAAGTATAGTTTTGAAAGCGCCAAGAAAATCAGTAATAAATATACTTTTTTCTTTAAAATATTTTTCTATTTTAGCATATTACTATGAATTTAAAATCATAATAAATAGAAATAGAATTTATTAGTTTTTCGACCTAAGTTACTACATTTTTCTATATATTTTTATAGCTTTATATGTAAGAAGCTTATTTATATTTTGCTTTGCAATTGATAAAACAAAATTGATAGATATTTTCAAATAGGCTTATGCGAATTTAACAAAAAAATGCTTTAGTTAGGAATTCTATTTTATCTTTTTTTATTTATTTAAATATTATTAGTTGATGACTGCTATAAAGTCTACTTTAAGCGTTTCTCGATTCCTTATAATGACGAATAAAATATGAATAGCAATAGCAATAATAATAACAATAATAATAACAACAATAATATAAGCAAAAATTTAGAGAAATAGTAAAGTAGCCAGACAGATAAATTATAGAAGTCCTAGCAAGTTGCTTCAGTGGGTAATGACAATTCATTGGCTATTAAAGAATCTTCAATAAGACAAGTAACTCAAGATAAAGATGATTAGAAAAAAAATTCTAAAAATACATAATCAGCCACAGCTGCACCAATAAAAGAAGAAAATAGCACTGTGGTTGCAGATCCTGAAGAAAAAAAAGAAGAAGGAGTAGGTAGTCATGATATTAAGTTAGAGTAACAGGAGAAAAATTAGCCATGCTGCAATGCTTGCAATATTTTCTGACCAAAAAAGAATCTATTTATTATACTTTTGTTTGGATCAGCTACAAAAAGTAAATTAATGAACAAGAAAGCCAATAAATAATTATAACATTTAATAGTAACAAATTTGATGTAAAATAATTTTTTAAAAACGACTACTAAAATCTATGGTTGCTATTGGAGACAATTAATAAATTATAGTAACTAAAGCTTCTTTTTGTTTAATACAAATAGAATTTAAATTATAATATCTCCTTCCTTCAATATTTATATTAATAATTTAATATTCACACATAAACATATACAATGAAGAGGTTAATTCACTCAATTGCTTCTAATTTATTTTAAGCCTTTGATTAAAAGAATAAAAATATGAAAGTAAGAAAGTAAATAAGTAAGTAAGTATTCTAGCAATATGTAAAAACTAACTAAAGTCATTCAATGCTTTTGATATCTATTTAACAATCAATCAATCAATAAATCAATATATATATTTATATTTTAATATTTCCCTTTATCAAATTTAAAATACGCTCTTATTTTGCATATAAAATAAATTATTATAATTTTTAATACGCACTTAAATTACACTATTATTTTTATTAAAAGCTGCAATCGTTTATTTTGTTTAATCAATTTTCATTTTATCATTCTAAACTTACAAAATCTAATTCACCAATTATTTTAACGTCAACAATATTTATTGATAATTGGTGAAGGTATTTATTTATTTAAATTTAGTATTTTTGTGACTGATTATATTCTTAAGTATTTATTTATTTATTTAGCTAGCTTGATGTCGCGCCTAAATTTTAGCGCAAAAAGAAAAATATAATTAATAAATCAGTTTAAAGAGAAATTGAATGTTAAAAAATAAATTAAAATAAGATATAAAAAATAAATACTTATATGATTGATTATATTAATAGTAGCTTGTATTTAATATTTTTTAAAATTACTACTCAAATTATAAATAGATTAGATATAAACTACAAAATTTACCATGCAGTTTGATTAATTAACCTTGAATGAGGTGGATTTTCTGATAAAATAAATTAACTTGACTACCATTTTACCTAGCTACACTGAAGAAAGAACATATAATTTGATTTAGGTTTTTTATTCCTTTCTTTAAAAATTAAGATATTGAAATATTATTTTAATAAACAGGGAGATTTCGGCCCATTCAAGCCAAACATCCCAGCGAAGGTAATAAAAAGATTAATTCAGAAAATTAATTGCAAGCTTTTATAATCTTTTGGAAAATATAAAGGTACCTTTGTGGTTAGCTATTCATTTAAAGAGAAGCAATAAATGTAGAATAGTTCCACCTGATTGGCTTAATGAGCAAATTTTGACAAAAGTATTTGACAGTGAAAAGCAAAATGATGAACTTTAAAATCTTCCTTATCAATTTTTTGAAATAGCTCATATTCTTATCAAATAGTAAATTTTTGTTTGGATAAATGTTATTTTATATGTCAAATAAATAAATAAATAAATAAAAAGTTGCTGTGAGAGTATTCCAAATGTTCAAAAGGTAAGAAGCGTGCTTGATGACATAGAAAATATAAGGGAAACAAAAATTGATATTAAAATGCTAAAAATAGATTAAAACACTAAATTTGTAAGATTTAATAATATTTCTTAATATGAAGTCAATAAAAAGAGAAAAGTTCTTGAGCTTTTTATGGATGGACTTAACAATATTTAAAAAGTTGTTCAAGTAATATTTTTATTTTCTCATAACAACCATTTTTAACTAAATTTCTTATTAATTAAAATAAAGAAAAACAATATGGACATTTCTAAATTCACTGTTTCACAGCATATGAGCTAAAATTGAACAATTTTTAATTTTTATAATTAAATTTTTGTTATCAAATCTTAAAATAATTTAAAAATGATTACTGATTTAATTATAAAAAATCTCTTGTTAAATTATTATTTGTTATAAATAAATTAGTAAAATTTTTAAATAGCTTTTAATCAACTATATAATTAATTATAAATCAAAAAACATTTTTAAATTATTGTTTATACCTTACAATAGCAAATCTAGCTCACTTTTCATAATTTTATAATAATTAAATTTCAAACCATTAATCATATTTTAAAAAAGAAAATTTTACTTCAGGTTAGATATATGTTTATTTTTGTTCTAGTATATATAATAAAATTTTTCTATATTTTATTCAAAAAATAGTAAAGTAAATAAAGTCTTTTATTTACAACTTTATATTCATTAAAAAATTAATTCATATAACATTTAAAATTTTTTGTTTATTTTACTTCACATTCAAAAAATAATTTATATTTTATTCATTTGAAATAAAAATGATATATGATTTAAAATCTTTAATAATTGACAGTAACTTGTATTCTTAAGTTTGTAAAATCAGCTTTTTACTTATTTAGTTTGTGTTTTTACATTTTAAAGTAGATTAAAGTAATTAGAAAATTTAAGCTGTTTTTTATCAGTGAGTTTTGAGAATTTAGCACATCCTCAATTCAGATTTAATCGTTAATATATGAATAGTATTAGCATAATAAAATTTTGTAATAATTAGTGAATTATAAAGTAGAGGTATTGCTAATTTTTTTTAGTTTATAAAAAGTATTATAAAGTATAAAAATAAGTAGAAAAATGAAGTTTTTAATTTTAAGCCTTATTATAGCAGTTTCAACTACTCTTATAACTGGAGTAGCATTTGTTTTAAGTATATTTTACATAAAACTATGGGATTCCCTAAGCGTTTGGTAATTTTTATTTTATGTTTTCCATATTTTTTTTTTGTTGATTGATTTTTGTTACTAATAATAAATAGTGCTACATATATTATGAACTATTAAAATTATAAAAATATGAGAAAAAGCATTAATAAATCTTTTATTTTTTGTTCATAAAATATAGGGAATAAGATAGTAGCTAATGGATATTATAAACATAGAAGCAAATCTTAGCGAATTCTTTAACTTCATTAAAGATTTTAGAAGAGTACAGCTTTGATTAGGTTAGAAATACAAATGTTTAACATTATATCATCAATTTAATTTTAAAAGGTTTAATTGCACATGGTTGTTATAAATAATCTGATATATAAATATTACAATCAACAATTAACAGGTAAAATTATTATTTAAATACTAGATTGATTAATTTATTTACAAAATAAAAATTTATATAGCAAATAAAAATACTATTTTTACAATCTGTTCTTATAGAGAGCTTATCTTTAATTAATGCTAATAGAATGTTTACACATAGTTAAATCAAAGCCAATACTATGTAGATTTATATTTTGTTAGAACTCTATTCAAGTATGATTTACTTATGGATAATTAGAAATAATTCATTCAAATGGTATGTATTATCATCATATTCATTATTTACTAAAAAATATTTTCTTTACTTTTACTTTGTTTGTTTAAATTCATCAAAAAAAATAATAATTTTCTGATTTTGATGACTAAATTTATAATATTAATAAAAATATATTTCATTTTAATCATTTATAATAAAAATAAAAGAACGATTTTGTTTCTTTTTATGGAAAGGCTGCATTCTATGCTAGTTAGCTGGAGGGCTTGATTTAATTAGCGTTTATTTACAATTCTGATGTAACTTCAGTACAATATGGTATTCCATCTGGGTATTTTATTTTTGTATTAAATAGAAAATTAATTATTTTATTTCAATGTTAATAGTTTTTATAACTATACTGATTCTGACTATGAGAATTGTTTAGGCAATGATTTTATAGAACCATACGATCCTAGATGTAGACCGTGGTTTTAGTTTTCTTCTAAACATCCAGGTAATATTTTTATAGACAGCAAATATGAAAGTGTTTGTTTAATTTAATCTAGGCTACTTTTTTTTTTAACCTTATCTTGATTCTCTTGGATAAGATTTACTTATGACCCTCTCTACTTAAATAGTTTACAATAATCAGTTGTAATCAGTGAATAGCATTGATATTTACATGATAAATCTTAATAAGTTATTTAATTCTACCTAAGGAAATAACTCATATAAAGTTTTACTTCATGAATTTAATTTCACAGTAAATTTTTTTTTTTTTACTATTAAATTCAAAATATTTTGATTGTTTCTTTAGGTTTTTTCTCACCCTAAATTATATAATACGAATCTGACATCTTGGCCTGAATTGGAATACTAAAATATAACAACAATATGTAATAATACATAATAAGAAAAAGAATTATGCTTAGAGCAGAAATAATAGTTTTATAATTAAGTTAATTCCACCATAAATTTTATATAAACTGGTAATTATTCCATAGATCAAAAATTTAATTTAGACCCTTTATATTAATATTGGACAATATACGGAGATCAAAGGTAAAATAATTAATTAATTAATTAATTCATTTATTATTTATTTATTTAATTGTTGCTTGTTTTTTATTTTTATTTTTTACTAGAATAAGCATGATTTATCCAATAAGAAGTTAAATTAAAGGATTTAACAACTAATAGCCCTATTCGTTTGCTATAGTCCTAGCTGCATAAGTTATTTAAGATAAAAGAGAATAACTTAAACTGTTTAATTTACTTAATGCTAATTATATTAGAGTACCTCTTATTATCTCATTTATATTTATTAGTATACTGGTTATTATATTTATTATTAATTATGGCAGATTTTAGGTGCTTTAAATTTGGTACCCAATTGAACTGCTAACTTTATTTCTAAGATAAAGCTTATTGATGGATTAATCTTGTAGAATTCAAAAAAGCGAAATTAATAATGAAAGATAAAAAATATAGTAGAGTATAAATAAGCGCTCTCCAAACATAAAATATGAAAATTTAAACAATACTTCTATTTTTAAGAAAATTGATTAAAATGAAAGTTAGTAAAAAATGTTAGATTAAACTAATTCATTTATTTTTGGAAATTTAAATAATTTTAAGGTTAATAATAGCATCATTTTCATTAAAGATAAAAAACATGAAGAGTTTAAATCAAATCATTAAATAAACAAAAATAAATAAAGCATTTCTATTTAGCCAGAAGAAATATTTAACTTAGATGCTGTTTCTAGCTAAAAAACTGTTCATAGTGTTCGCAGTTTTTAATTTTAGTTTAATAGAAATAAAAGTATTCTATAATCAAACATATTTTCTCAAATACAAGATTTCCATAATTGTCAAAAAGCACAAGATGGCTAAAATAAAATTCTTAAAGGCTTAAAACCTGCATTCTTGGAAATGCAAATAATAAAAAAAACCTTTTAAGAATTAGAGCTAGTTATAAATTACTCAGTTTAGTCTTCTCAATTAAAATCATAAGATAACTTAAGAACTCTTTTTCATTTTACTAAAGCTAAGTAGTTATTTTTAAAGTTAAAAAATGATACTGGATTAAGCCGCTGCTACTATAACTTAGGGCTGATATATCTTTTAAAAGAAGAGTACAGTATTTCATCAGAATATTTTGAATCTGCAATACAACTAAATTTAGACTGGCTAGGCTTGAGTTCTTTTTGTCAAATCAATTAATATTATGCTAGTCATAAAGACTAAGAAGAAAAAAACTAGCTTATTATATTAACTAAAAGAATATTTTCGCTAGCCTATAGTTAAAAATGTGCTGCCTTTTAATAGATAAGTGTAGAATCGAAATCGAATAAGCAAGACTCTCTTGACAATTTTATAGATAACCTCCATTCCTTTTCAAGATTTACTAAAAAAGAATCAAGAGCTGGATTGAAATCATAGTATAGTTAATAGTTATTAACCCAATCTCTCATTTTATTTTAGAAAGTAGAGAAAATTATTTAGTACTTTATTTAAGATTTTACTGAAATATTCTAAATTTTTTTGTTTCAGGAGATTGTTGAAATTTTGATTTAACTAGACTTAAAATTCTAAATACAAAATTACATATCTAAAATCGATTTCTTATTTTTTAATAATTAAATAACATATTAAGTATAAAAGGCTGTTAAAAAAAATATTTCCTTAAAGGAAAACTTTAGCATAAAGTAAATGGTAATAGAAACGTTTAAAGGCAGATAGTTATTTTTATTAGGAATGATAGAAAAAGCTAACAAGAATTTATTTGAGGCTATTGAATATTTAACGTAAAGCTTGGAAATACCTACTCATTATAATTATTTTTAAAAAGTAAGAACTTTCTAAGCTTTAGCTTCTGTTTTTGAGCAGGTTCCTTTTGAAAAGAGCTTCATTGATGAAGAATACCTCAGTTCTGAAACTGAGGCTTCTGTAGATTTAGTTGTCCTAATCCAGTTCGATAAAAACCTTTCTCAATTCTTGTTTATTAATATTATTGAAAATTTCAAAAAGTTTAATTTTTTTGGTAGAAACGATAGAATTCAGATTTTATTATTTAATAAAGAAATTCACTAACTCATTCCATACACATAAATACAGAGTGATCATCATTGGAAGATAATTATAGATTCATTGCACAATATTGGGAAAGACTTAATAAAAAATGAATAAAAATAAAAAAAATAGCCAACACTTGAATAGATCATTTTTCAATCACTCATCTACATTTATGAGAATAACAATTTAGAATAATAACAAATTTTTAAATCAGATTTCAACAATTTAAATTATAAAAATTAATCTAGATTTTTTGAAACTTATTATTAACAAAATAGATGTAAAAAAAGAAAAAAAGTATTATTACTTTTATCAAATAGAGATGTATATTTTAAATTAAGTAATAAATTTTTAAATAAATTACAACCATTTCAAAAAATTAAAATCTACCATCTAAAAGAAAACAATTTATTTTAAATTGAAGAAAAGCAATATGAAAATGACTTATTTTCATATGAATTACTCTTAAGTTAGAATGAGTTGATTTTAAATTTGAGTAGATAAAGATTTTATGAATATTTTGATATTCAAAGTGTATTTTTAACTATTTTAAATCATTTTTGATCTATTTATTTATGTTGAAATTTAATTTGTATTTGTAAATATTTTAATTTTTCCAAACGTTTAAAAATAAATACCTAACATTCAAAATTTATTTATATTCTTTTCTAAAAAGCATAAAATATATTTAAATTTACACAATATAAATAGTCTATCTAGTATATAATTTTTACCGACAGTATTAAATATACCAAATATTTTTTAGATTTTAGCTTCTAATAATAACTTATTTATACAAAATTAAATAACATAGAGATGGTGCTAAATTATAAAATAGATTGATTATTTTTTTACTGGTTTCTATATTTTTGAAAATACTAGAAAAATTCAAAGTTATAAATTAACAAAAAATAGAGGTTACTTACTCGAGAATTAATTAATTTTTTGATGATCTTTGTTTCTATTAAAATTGAAAAAACATTTTTTAAAATTTTAAAACAATTATTTATTACTTATTATTTAAAAAAAAAATTAAAGATTATTAATTCGTAAATGTTTATTTACTTATAATTCTTAATTTGCTCTTAATTGCTCAAAAGTTTTTAATTATAAAGATTATTAGTTATTCATTTAACTAAAATTTCAATTTTTATTAAATTAAACAGTGAAACAAATAAAGTAGAACTATGAAAAAAATAATAATAAATCTATTTTTAATTGTTTCATTACCAATAATTACAGGAGTAGCCATAGTTTTTACTATATTTTATTAAAATCTTTGGGTAGCTTTAGACTCTTGGTATTAAAATATCTTGCATTTCTTTAGAAAAATAATTTTTAAAATAATAATATCAATAATAATTGAATAATCAATGGATTCTTTATGATTAGTTAAGTTAATATATAACTTGTTAAATAAAAGGGAATAAGATAGCATTCAATGGATATATTAAACACAAAGATAAATTCTATATAATTCAGCTCTATCTCAACAAATTATTGAGCAGTATAGCTTTTAACAAGTAAATTATTCATATTTATTATTTAAATTATATTCATCATCTTTCAAAAATAAAAAGGTATAAACACATTTGGCTGTATTTAAGGGTTTACTAATGAAATTTTAGTCTTCAAAGATATAATGTATTATTTATTCTGCTTTAAAAACTATTAAATATATTTCTAAAAGTTAATTAAAATACTCTTTTTGCTGTTTGCTCTTAAAAAGAATATTTTGAAAATAAATGTCCTGAAGCAGCTAATTATTAATACTATGACGATTAATATTACATGGACTTTTATTATGTTAGATCTATTTTTAAATACAATAACCTCTCAGTTGAATAAAAATATTTTATAAAAATGGTAATTATTATTATTATTAAATAAATTAATTTATAAACATTAGTATTAATAAAAAGCATAAAATTTTTATAGCTAAAAAGCATTAAAAATAAAATAATACCAAATAATTTATTTACAATATTATAGGTTGAATTCATTTCATTTTATGCAAAATCTACTCTTTTGACAAAAAAAAAAGGTTTCATTGAAATAGATGGATTTAGTAGTGCAGATACTTCTTCTATTTATTTTTTTTTTCCATCAGGGTATTTATTTTTAATTCATTATATGCTTATAATACAAGTATTTTACATGGTAGTCCATATATATATTATAAATATGCCGATTATGCAACATGCTAAGGCTAAAGTTATACTGAACCATATGATCCGAGATGTAGATTTTGGTATATTTATGCATCTTAAAATTAGGGTAATTAATTTCAATTTATTTTTAATTCTATATGATGCATTTTATTTGAAATTAGGATATTTTTTTTACCAGCCCTATATAGATCCAACTTATTTTTAAATTATTTCTACTGTTTCTAGCAGATAAGATTTCTAATCTTAGTTTTATTGTGTAAACTCTATCGATTACTCGTTATAGAATTTAAATGAATAATTTAACTCTACTTAATCTTCAAATGCTTACTCTATCTTGATTCACGAATTTAATTCTACAGTAATATTACTTATTAATAGTTTTCTAATAAAGCATAGCATTTTTAAATAATTAGTTAATATAACTTAAATTTAATATTTTATATAGGTATATTATCACCCATTAATTAATTCTTCAAATTTAATATCTTGGCCAGATCTAGAATTTTAAAATATTACTCTTCTTTGTCAAACTTATTTGTAAATGTAAGAATGCTTATAAGAAAAATAAAGTTTATCAGATCAACTTAACCAAAGTATAGAATTTATTAAAAAAGGGAATTATTCAATAGATGAAAGACAAAATATTGACTAGTTATACTAATACTGGTCTAGATATGGCTAATAGCAGTAATTAAATAAAATTTATTTAATTAATTTATTAATTTATTATTTAAAGAGTAAGCATTATTTTTCCAGTGAACGCTTATGTAAAAGGAATTAATACTCAACTTCCTTACTCTTATTCAATACTTCTGACAGGAAGAGTTATTTTAGATTTCAGAAATTAAATTAAGCTATTTAATATCCTTGATGTTAATATAATTAAAATACCATTAATTACTGAATTTGTAGTTACAGGCTTAATTATAATCATATTCTTAACTAATTATGGAGTATTTGTTAAATTCTAAATTCAGGACCAAATAGAAATACTCATTTAATTTCTAAAAACAAGTTTATAGCAGTAGGATAATTACAATTATGAAAAATAAGAAATAAAAACCAATTAAACTTAAATAAATCCACAGTTTTAATGCAATAAACCTACTTAAATGATTTAAAAGAAAAAAAGTTTTTGGTCCAATACAAAAAAATCAAAAAAATAAGGACAGTAATTGTAATAATGCTAACAATAAATGTAAATCGCATAAAACACATCATACAAAATAGTAAATATAACCAATAAATCCTGTGATGAAAGCAATATTGAAGATTATAGTAAAATTTCCTATCTACCTTCTAATTCTAATATATACTAGAAAAAAAATCAAGAATAGTAATCTTTCAATTTAGATTAAAGTTAATTTTAGAAAGGCTTATTAAGTATGTACAAAAAATCAAACCACAATATAATTCAAAGAAGTAAAATAGAAAATAAAACTCATGATTAAGTAAAGGAAAAAAACCTTAGCATTTCTTTATAAAATTAAACTTTATTTAAAATGACAGCTTCTTCTAAAAAGCTCTCAAGGAATTAAATTGATAGTCCTCTTTAATAAACTTAAAGTTCATAAAAAGATTAATAGAATTAATTTTAAAGCTCAAAAAAATAAATATCTTAAACAATAAAAAATAATTTTAATGAAGTGTAAATTCTTTCAGGTTTAAAACCTTTATTTTTAGAAATGCAAATAATTAAAGACACCTTTTAAATGTTAGAGAGAGTAATTAATTATTCTATATATTAAAATTAACAAAGCGAATAATTTCAAATGCAATCGGTCTACCACTTTACTTAGGCAAAGACCACATTCAAAAAACTAAAGAACGTTATTGGTTAGAGTAGATGCTATTTCAATTTAGGAGTCATTTACTTTCTTAAAAATGAATTAAACCTAGCTTCTGAATATTTTGAATCTGCCTTATAATTAAATTTACAGTAAATAGGAATAAACTCTTTGAATTAATTTGAGGAAAATTAAATGTTTACCCAACAAAGTAATTAGGAAAACTAAGTTGTAATCTTATGTAAAAGGATTTTTTCTAAAGCTTATTGCTTAAAATACTAAGCATATGAGGAAATTTATAATATAATTTATGAAAAAAACACTAAAAAGAAATAATTAATAAGTGGCTCTCTTGATTAAGATACAAAAGATTTTTGTCAAAAAAATTTGGAGGAAAAAATAAATGTAAATAATTTGCTTCAGTAATCCTTATGGGTGCTTAGAATTTCTTAAAAAATTGTTTAATATAATTATCAGCATTTTACAACAACCTTTAATATATTTTTACTTTAAGAAATAATTGAAATACTAATTTATTTAAATTAGCAATAACAAATTTCAATTATTTTTTCTTAGATTGAATAATTAATTGAATAGCCTTTACATACCTTCTAATTTGTTGATAAATATTCATAATCTATCTCAAAATAAGTTTTTAAAGAATAAAAAAACATGATTTCAATTTTTGCTGAAGATGATTATGAACTAAAAGAAGTAATGACTGATATACTTAAATGTAGGTAATATTTTTTATAAGGTTTAATAGAAAAGCAAAAAAAATAAAATATTTAAGCTATTCGCTATTTTACCAAAAGTCTTGAAGAAAGTTCCCATTACTCTTCTTTATTAAGAAGAAAAGTTTTGTTAAATTTGGAGGAAGTTTTAGATATTGAATATTAAAAACATAATTTTATCCATGAAGAATACTTTAATTTAGAAATTGATTGCTTTATGGATATAACTATTTTGATATTATAAGAAAATAAAACAGTTTTTTAAAAAATCAAGAGTTGTTTACTAAACTTAAAATAATAGAAATTCTTTAGATAACAAGATAGATTTTAAATATAATTGTATAATACAGAATTATATACCTTAATGCCATTAACGTTTGTATAAAGCGATCACCATTTCGATTTAATTATATCTTCCCTAAATGATTTAATAAATAGCACCTAATTGAACATTAAAATCGAATATAATTAGTTACTTTAAGCAATAAAAAAAGAAGATAGGAATAGTATATTTGATGTAAAAGGAGACTTTAAAGTTAATACTAAGTATTTAAAATAAAGAAAGAATTTATTGCTAATCTTCTCATAAAATCATGACTAAAAATTCATGAATAGTTAATATATTAATAAGTTTTAAATAAAAAAAGAAAAAAGTGAAAAATTATTAGCCTATCATTTATCAGATCAATAATTTATTAACATAAATAATTTTAAAAAAATAGATGCTGAATACTTAATCTATGAACAGTTTATTGATTGCAGACAATTTTTGATTAAAATAATAAACTTAAGAAATCAAAATCAAGAATAAAATTTTTATTAAGAGTTTTTATAAATGATCAACTACTTTTGAATCATTTTAAATTGAAAATATTTATTAAAAGTTTAATTTTTTACAATTTTAGTAAAATTAAAATTATTTTTTCACTTGAATTTATAATTAAATTTACTCTTTAAGAAGATAAAATAAGGAAAAATTTAGTAACATTATAAATATATAAAGGAAAATGAAAATAATTTGTGAATTTTATAATTTTGTTTTTTTGTAAATTTTTTATTCAAATAAATAGCTCTTCCTCAAATATAATTTTTGGCAGTTGAGATAAACAAAAGGTAGATTTTATATAATAGTCTTTGTTTTTAATATATTTTTTTATATTTATTAGTTTTTATTCAACTTTTGATTAAGATTATATTCAGATATTTCATCTATCTGGAACTTAGTTCATTTTTTTCAGAACATTTAAAATTCAAAAAGTTAAATAAATTTATATCCAAATTCTAACTTTAAAAACAATTAAATTGATAATTAATTTAGTTCTTTTACACCATAAACAAATATTGTAAATTTAGTTGGATTATAAATAGTAATTAATATTAATAAAATTAAATAAATTTTTTTTTCTCGTTTTTTAATACACAATTAATTATTTTATTTTGTTTTAAATTATTATTTTACATATTTTAATAAAAATTTATTTACAAAAATAATAGCAAAAATCATTTTATTTTTCAATTAAAAAAATTTTATTTGAGAAAATGTTTTAATAATAATAGAAAAATCAACATATTTATGTTTATTATTCATACATAATTCTTAAAATAACTTTAGAAAAAAATTCTATTAATAAAATAAGATTATTTAAAGAGTTAAAATAAAAATTGAAAAAATATTTTTAAAACAAATATTTATTGTTTTTATTTACAAAAAATAAATTCTTTAAAAAAAATATATTTCAGTTTATTTATAGATTTTAATTAATGATTAATATATATATATATATTGTTATTTATTTATAATTCTAAATTTGCCCTTAATTGCTTAATAAATTTTTAAATGTTGAGATTATTAATTATTCATTTAACTATAAATACAATTTTTATTAAATTAAACAGTGAACCAAATAAAGTAGAACTATGAAAAAAATAATAATAACACTATTTTTAATTGTTTCATTACCAATAATTACAGGAGTAGCCATAGTTTTTACTATATTTTATTAAAATCTTTGGGTAGCTTTAGACTCTTGGTATTAAAATATCTTGCATTTCTTTAGAAAAATAATTTTTGAAACATAATTATAAATAATAATTGAATAATCAATGAATTAAATATCCTTGGTTAAGTTAATATATAACTTGTAAAATAAAAGGGAATAAGATAGCATTCAATGGATGTATTAAACATAAAGATAAACCCTATATAATTCAGCTCTATCTTAACAAATCATAGAGCAGTATAGCTTTTAACAAGTAAATTACTCATACTTTATTATTTAAATTATATCCATCATCTTTCAAAATAAAAAGCTATAAACACATCTGGCTGTATTTAAGAGTCTACTAATGAAGTTTTAATCTTCACAGATATAATGTATTATTTATTCTACTTTAAAAACTATTAAATCTATTTCTAAAAGTTAACTAAAATACTCTTTTTGCTGTTTGCTCTTAAAAAGAATATTTTGAAAATAATTGTCCTGAAGCAGCTAATTATTAATACTATGACGATTAATATTACATGGACTTTTATTATATTAGATCTATTTTTAAATATAACGACCTCTCAGTAGAATAAAAATATTTTATAAAAATGGTATTATTATTATTATTATTATTATTATTATTAAATGATTAATTTATAATTATTACCACAAATTAAAAGCCTAAAATATTTATAACTAAAAAGCATTAAAAATAAAATTATACCAAATAATTTATTGACAATATTATAGGTTGACTTCATTTCATTTTATGCAAGAGCTACTCTTTTGACTAATGAAAATGGCTTAATCTAAATATATGGGTTTAGTAGTGCGGATACTTCTTCTATTTATTTTTTTATTCCAACTGGGTAATTATTTTTTATTACTATATACTTATAATACAAGTAATTTACATGGTAGTCCATATCAGTATTATGAATATGCCGATTATGCAACATGCCAAGGCTAAAGTTATACTGAACCATATGATCCGAGATGTAGATTTTGGTATATTTATGCATCTTAAAATTAGGGTAATTAATTTCAATTTATTTTTAATTCTATATGATGCATTTTATTTGAAATTAGGATATTTTTTTTACCAGCCCTATATAGATCCAACTTATTTTTAAATTATTTCTACTGTTTCTAGCTAATAAGATTACTAATCTTAGTTTTATTGTGTAAACTCTATTGATTACGGATTATAGAATTTAAATTAATAATTTAACTCTACTTAATCTTCAAATGCTTACTCTATCTTGATTCACGAATTTAATTCTACAGTAATATTACTTATTAATAGTTTTCTAATAAGCCATTACATTTAAATAATTAGTTAATATAATTTAAATTTAATACTATATATAGGTATATTATCACCCATTAATTAATTCTTCAAATTTAACTTCTTTGCCAGACCTAGAATTTTAAAATATTACTCATCATTGTCAAACTTATTCGTAAATGTAACAATGCCTATAAGAAAAATAAATTTTATCAGACTAACTTAACCAAACTGTAGAATTTATTAAAAATGGGAATTATTCCATAGATGAAAGACAAAATATAGATTAGTTATACTAATACTGGTCTAGATATGGCTAAAAGCAGTAATTAAATAAAATTAATTTAATTAATTTATTAATTTATTATTTAAAGAGTAAGCATTATTTTTCCTGTGATAACTTATGTAAAAGGAATTAATACTCAACTTCCTTACTCTTATTCAATACTTCTGACAGGAAGAGTTATTTTAGATTTCAGAAATTAAATTAAGCTATTTAATATCCTTGATGTTAATATAATTAAAATACCATTAATTACTGAATTTGTAGTAATAGGCTTAATTATAATTATATTCTTAACTAATTATGGAGTTTTTGTTAAATTCTAAATTCAGGACCAAATAGAAATACTCATTTAATTTTTAAAAACAAGCTTATAGCAGTAAGATGATTAAAATTATGAAAAATAAGAAATAAAAGCTTATTAAAATTAAATAAATCCACAATTTTAATGCAGCAATCATACTTAAATTACTTAAAAAAATAAAAGCCTTTGGTCCAATACAAAAAAAGAAAAAAAATAAGGACAATAATTGTAATATTGCTTACAATAAGTTTAAATTGCATAAAACACATCATAAAAAATAGTAAATATAACCAATAAATCCTATGATGAAAGTAATATTGAAGATTATAGTAAAATTTCATCTTCACCATCTAATTCTAACATATACTTGAAAAAAAATTAAGAATAGTAAGCTTTCAATTTAGATCAATATTACTCTTAGAACGGCTAATTAAGTGGTTACAAAAAATCAAATCATCATACTATTCATAGAAGTAAAGTAGAAAATAAAACTCATGAAAAAGTAAAGGAAAAAAATATTAACGTTTCTTTATAAAATTATAGTTCGTTTAAAATGGTAGCTTCTTCTAAAAAGCTCACACAGTATTAAATTGATAGTCCTCTTTAATAAACTTAAATTTCATAAAAAGATTAATAGAATTAATTTTAAAACTCAAAAAAATAAATATATAAAAGAAAAAAGAATAATTTTAAAGAAGTCAAAATTCTTTCTGGATTAAAACCTTTATTTTTAGAAATGCAAATAATTAAAGACACTTTTTAAATGTTAGAGAGAGTAATTAATTATTCTATATATTAAAATTAACAAAGCGAATAAAATCAAATGTAATCAGTCTACCATTTTACTTAGGCTAAGACCACATTCAAAAAATTAAAGAATGTTATTGGCTAGAGTAGATGCTATTTTAATTTAGGAGTCATATACTTACTTAAAAATGAATTAAACCTAGCTTCAGAATACTTTGAGTCTGCCTTATAATTAAATTTACAATAATTAGGAATAAACTCTTTGAATTAATTAGATGAAAATTAAATGTTTACCCAACAAATTGATTCGGAAAACTAAGTTGTAATCTTATGTAAAAGGATATTTTCTAAAGCTTATTGCTTAAAATACTAAGCATAAGAAGAAATTTATAATATAATTTAAGAAAAAAACACTAAAAGGAAATAATTAAGAAATGGCTGTCTTGATTAAAATACAAACAATATTTGTCAAACAAATTGCTAGGAAAAAGTAGATTTAATTAATTTGCTTCAGTAATCCTTATGGGTGTTTAGAATTTCTTAAAAAATTGTTTAATATAATAATTAACACTTTACAACAACCTTTAATATATTTTTACTTTAAGAAATAATTGAAATACTAATTTATTTAAATTAGCAGTAACAAATTCCAATTATTTTTTCTTAGATTGAATAACTAATTGAATAGCCTTTACATACCTTCTAATTTGTTGATAAATATTCATAATCTATCTCAAAATAAGTTTTTAAAGAATAAAAAAACATGATTTCAATTTTTGCTGAAGATGATTATGAACTAAAAGAAGTAATGACTGATATACTTAAATGTAGGTAATATTTTTTATAAGGTTTAATAGAAAAGCAAAAAAAATAAAATATTTAAGCTATTCGCTATTTTACCAAAAGTCTTGAAGAAAGTTCCCATTACTCTTCTTTATTAAGAAGAAAAGTTTTGTTAAATTTGGAGGAAGTTTTAGATATTGAGTATTAAAGACATAATTTTATACATGAAGGATACTTTAATTTAGAAATTAATTGCTTTATGGATATAACTATTTTGATATTATAAGAAAATAAAACAGTTTTTTAAAAAATCAAGAGTTGTTTACTAAACTTAAAATAATAGAAATTCTTTAGATAACATGATAGATTTTAAATATAATTGTATAATACAGAATTATATACCTTAATGCCATTAACATGTATACAAAGTGATCACCATTTTGATTTAATTATAAAATCTCTAAATGATTTGATAAATGGTATCTAATTGAATATTAAAATCGAATAGTATTAGTTTCTTGAAACTATAAAAAAAGAAGATAGGAATGATATATTTGACGTAAAAGGAGACTTTTAAGTTAATACTAAGTATTTAAAATAAAGAAAGAATTTATTGCTAATCTTCTCATAAAATTATGACCAAAAAATAATAAATAGTTTAGATATTAATAAATTTTAAATAAATAAAGAAAAAAATGAAAAACTATTAGTCTATCATTTATCAGATCAATAATTTATTAGTATAAATAATTGTAAAAAAATAGAAACTTAACAACAAATCTATGAACAGTTTATCGATTGCAGACAATTTTTGATTAAAATAATAAACTTAAGAAGTCTAAGTCAAGAATCAAATTTTTAATAAGAGTTTTTATCTATTATCAACTACTTTTGAATCATTTTAAATTTAAAATATTTTTTAAAAGTTTTATTTTTTTCAATTTTAGTATGTTATTTTTATAATTTAATTTAGAAATAGTAATCAAAAAATCGTATGTTAAGTTTATTGATTTTATTCATATTATTTTCAAATTAGAGTGAACTTCTTAAGAAAAGTAAATAAATCAAAATTTAGCTACATCATAAATATAAAAAGAAATTTCAAAATTATAAGTGAATTTTATAATTTTGTCTTTTTGTAATATTTGAATCTTCCTTTTATAAAATCTACTTTAAAACCCAATATTCCCATTTATATCTTTAAAGAAATTGAATTCAGTTTTATAAAAATAATGTAGAACAAAAAAATATTGATAATTAATATAATAATTATTTGAAATATCAGAAACTATGATATCATTAATGATTGGTTTGTGATATTTGTAATACAGGAACAGCTATATTTAAAAATCTTTTAGAGTTTATAAAAAAACTAATTAAAGCAAAAATGCTATATTTAGATTTTTCAAATATCAATTCTAATTAATTAATTTTAAACATAAATACACTTAAAAAAATCATAATTGAAATAAAAAGTTTTAGTATGTCTATGAATAACATTTTATACTAAATTGAGAATAAATATTTTTAAAGAAAAAGTATATTAGTATATATATTGTAAAAAATAAACAGTTGATCATAATTTATTAATTAAAATAAAATTAATGCCCTTTAAACTTATAAAACAATCATTATGCTATTCGTAATTTAGTAAGTTAAAATTTTGTATATTATTAGGTAAAAAAAATAAGAAGAAATTAGTAACCCTAATAAATAATGAATTTTTGATTAATTTTTAGGCAAAAATTATTTAATTAGTTATTTAACAAATATTTAATCAACTTCCAATTATTTAATTAATAAAAGAGGTAATCAAATTACTAATTATGCAAGCTCTTATTTTAAAGCTAATTATTATAGTTTCTATTCCAATCATTATAGGTGTTGGAATAGTATTAACTGTATTCTATAAGCAGCTATGGATTGCACTCGATGAGTGGTAAGTTTAACAATTTTATAATAAATACAGAAAATTATTTTAAGACTATGATTTTGTAATCATCATATTCATCATCATCATCATCACATTTATATAAGTTATTAAGCTCTAAAAAAATGTAAAAATTTAGAATAATTAACAAATAAATAGGGAAAGGGACAGTAGTGTATGGATAAATCAGACACAATATAAAATCCTATACAATTCTGTACTATCACAATAACTTCTAGAATAGTACAGCTTTAACTAAGTATATATTTACTTATTATAAATGGACTATTTATGAAAAAACATAATATGAATGAGTTTTTTATTTATTTTAAACACTTATAAAGCTCTAATTACATATGGTGGTTATGAAAAGTTTACTCTCAAAATATTAATAATCTATCATCATATGTAAATATTTACTTATAATTTTAAATTTACAATAAAATTCTATCATTTTAATCAAAAGAAAATCCTGCAGCTAATTTTACAGTTTGTTCATATAAAGAATTGATATTCAATTAATGTGCTTAAAATGTTTATGACTAATTAAACTAAAATATGTTCTATGCAGATATGTATTTTATAAGATCTAATTTTTCATTTAACATCCTTACTCCTCAACAATAATATTTCATTGAAATGGTATGTTTTTATAGTATTTCACCATATTTTTATCTCTATATGTTTTAGAATGATAGAGTTTCTTTTTATGCAAGGGCATCTTTTCTAGCAACTCAAAATGAAGGACTTATCTAAATGATATACTTTTATAATTCAGATACATCATCTATTTTGTATGGCGTACCTTCAGGGTAATAAATATATTAACATATCTTTTTTTATCATAGCTTTTATATTAACAGGTTTTACAACTATACAGATTCTGATTATGAATCCTGCATGGGAAGCGGTTTCATAGAACCATACGACCCAAGATGTAGACCTTGGTACACCTACGCTTAGTAAAATCAAGGTATGATTTTATATTTAAAATAATTTATCAAATTTAATATAGTTAGGATTTTATTTAGACAAAAAGCTAAGCAAATGATAAGTATAATTTTCTTAAAAGCATTTTGCAAACATGTGCTCAACTTCAATAACTTTTTACATTACAAATATTAGTATTAATTATTATAGATAATAAAAAAACTACTAAAATAATAAAGAGTAAAATTAAATATTAAGGTATTAAAAATTTTTTAGAATAAATAAAATCTAAACTGAGTATAAATTTCTGATTTAAGTATATTTTAAATTAAAAGTAAATGATTTAACTTTCAAAAGATATTATAATTATATTTTAAAGCAATTATCACCTATTTCTACTATACCCTTTTAAATTTTTAGATAAGAAAAATTAATATTTTTATGAGTAATTTTTCAAAATACGAATTTATTTTAAAGCTTTAAAAGAGTTAAATTCTTTAATTTTTTTGAACTTAATTAATTATATTTAAATTTGAATATAAATATATAAAAGCATAAGTGTTTATTTATTTGTATTTATATTTTTAATTTTTTCAACAATTATTATAGGATTCTTCATTTATGAGCCTTATCTCGATGCTGTAGTAGGTAATTTACTGATGACTCTTTCTAGTTAAGTTGATTATAAAAACGAGTTTTATTCAGTAGATAGTATTGATTTCCAATTTTAAAACATAGTTTAATTATTTAATTCAGCTTTAAGTGAGAACGCATATTCAGTACTAATTCATGAGTTCAATCAAACAGTAGACTTTTTTTAAAAATATTATTTATTTTATTGTTTTTTATTCTATTTTAATTTATAATTAGGTATTTTATCATCCTATGCTATTATTCTATCAGGTTCTGTCTTGGGCAGATGTAGAATTTATTAATATAAATTAATACTGCAGCGATTCTGTAGAATTAATGTAATAATGCTATAACTAAAAAGAAGACTTTTCTAGTTAAATAGATGAGACAATACAATTTATCAAAAATGGAAATTATTCTATTGAAGATCAATTTAACTTAGATTAACTGTATTAAAGATGGGAAAGATTTGGATAAAAACTGTAATTTTATATTTATTTATTTAATGTGCATTTATAATTTTTTTAAAAAAAAGGATAAGCATAATTTTCCCTATCAAGAGCTAGATAAAAGGATTTAATAACCAATAGCCATATTCTTACGCTATATTAATGACCGCAAGAGTAATAACAGATAAAAGCGATGACCTGAAGTTGTTTAATCTTTTGAATGTGAATTCTATAAGAATACCATTGATTATAGAATTTATTATGGTGAGCTCTATCATAATCCTCTTTTTAATTTATTATGGCTATTTTTTAATTTTTTAAATTTATTATCCAATCTAGCTTTTAATTCTATTCTTAAGAAGAAGCTACATGGAGTAATAATCATGCTAATTAAGCTAAAAAATAAAAAATCAAATCAAATAGAATTAATAAACACAATAGATAAACCGTTAATAATCCAAAAGTTTTCAAAAAAAATCACTTTACAATAAAGCAAATAAAATAAAAAATGACGATTCTTTAAATGTTTAATAGTAAAATGACTAATCTGATAATGGATAGTAAATTAAAATAAATTAAACAAATATAAGCCAAAATTAATTTATGACAGAGGAATAGCAATTAATGATGCAAAGTCATTCGAAATATAATTTTAAATAAATTGATGATGAGTAGAAGTATTTAAAAAAATACTAAGAATAACTATCGCCAAAAATTCGTCAAGCAAGATCTATATTGAATAATTCAAATAATTATAATCAATCATAAATTATGTTTAAAAAGTAAATGAAATTGAATGAATTTATACCAAATAAGTCACCATTAGCTACTTCTTAATATACAATTTACTAAAAAAATACATTAGAAAAAAACTACTAGGCTTTAAAAATAAGTAAAAGCATTGATGAGTCTATGTTTAGTTCTAGATATTCTTAGAAAAATGATGACTTTGATTATGTTTAATAATTAGAATTCCTCTAAGAAAAGAACAAAGATGAAAGTAAATTAAAAATTTTAAAAGGATTAAAGCCTTTATTTTTGGAAATGAAAATTATCAAAAAAGCTTTTTAAGATTTAGAAGGATTAATTAATTATTAAATAGATTCTTAGAATCAAAACTCAAAAGATGTTATGAATACTCTTTTTCATTTCACTAAGGCTAAAGCTACTTTTTAATAACTCAAAAATCAAATTGGTCTGTCTAGATGTTATTTTAATCTTGGTATAATTTATATTTTAAAACATAATTACAATCTAGCTTAAGAATATTTTGAATCATCAATTATTTTAAGTTTAGAAGTTCTTGGTTTAGACTATTTAAGCTTAATCAATCAAAAATTAATTTTCAAATAAGAGGAGGGAACACAGAGTTAACTTACAATTCTATGCAAAAGAATTTGTTCAAAAGCATATTCTTGCAAATAATATGCTCTTTAATAGATTTATTTAGAAGATAACTCCTTTGAAAATAATTATTTCTTTGAATAGTAATAACAAAACTAATAAATGGAACTAAATGTTTAAAAAATAAATTATTTACTAAAGATTTCACTAGAGTCATTTAATGCGGTCGAAAAAATAATTAAAAATAATAATTTATTATTCTCGCAAGTATTTTAAGTGTTTTTATAGTAAGAAATACTTGAAATTCTCATATTTTTAGGAAATATTTAAGAAGTATTTTAATAATTTGAGAATATTAATTTTATTTTAGAGTAATAAGAAAATTTTAAATAAAATCATTTTTAGTTTTTCCTTTGTTAATCTTATTAAAATCAATCCAAAAACCTTACAGAAGAAAACTCTTTTAACAAAATTAAATGCACAGCTAATGGAGAAGTAAATATAATCAATTAAATTTACGAAATTTAAAAGAGTAGATAGAAGTTCTTGAGAGGATTGATAGAGATTAAACAATATAACTACAGAGAGGCTATTGAATAGTTTACTTTGTTTATTGAGGAGGGATCTTATTACAGTTGTCAATTAAGAAGGAAAGCAATTCATCACCTTAATTAGCTATTTATGATAGAATTTAATAAATAAATAGATTTGAAGAAAATTTATTTGGATTAAAAAGCTTGTATTCCATATGATATAACAATAATAATATAGCTGGAATATTAGAGTTAATATTCTTCTTTCGAGTCTTGTATTTTAAATCTAAAAAATTAGAATTTTTTTAGGAAATACGATCGAATTTAAATATTGATATACGATACATAGTTGGAAATATTTATGCCATTCACTTTGATAAGCAGTGATCATCAATTAAATTAGATTATAAACTCTTTAAGGGATTTAGGAAAATTATTTATTTAAGTTAATTAAAAGAAGCTTTAAGAGTTAAATTGGGTACAAGCAATTGAATTATCTCTAAGTTGCATTTATGAACATAAATACAATGATTTTATCAATTTTAAATAAATGTTAAAATCAGTAAAAGAAGGCTATAAAAATTTTATGAGATACAAACATCTGAAGATTTAATAGAATATGAATGAATAAGAAAGAAAAAAAATAATTATTCTATTTTCAAAATAACAAAACAGCTAAATATAAAGCTTGAATATTAGTGATGTGTATAAACTAATAAATCATCAAAAATTAATAATTTATCATTTAAAGGAATACTCTTTTTTAGAGAACTAAAGCGAGCAATACTAAACCCCTTTTTTAAATTATGAGTCTTTTGTTGATGATATCCCATTCATTAATTAGTTTAAATAATTAAGAGAGGAAGATAGTTTAAATGAAGAAAATGAATTCATAGCAATTCTAAATAACTCTTGACAATATTTTGAAAAATTATAGTAATAATTTTATTTTTTTTAAATTGAACAAAAAATATTTTCATATGTTGTAAACAATGTAAATATTAAATTAAGAAAATGATTTTATTACATTTATTTTTATTAAAATATTACACTTATTTTTAAATATTTTTAAGATATGTATATATATAGCTAAACTCCTAATTAATATAGAGTGGTATGGCAACCTACCTCAGATATTAATTAGGCTAGGTTTTTAAATAAAAAATATTCTTTTTAAGCAGAAAAAAATGGCATGATAGGTTGTTTTTTTACCTATTGACCCTAAAATGCTCCGATTGTATATTCTCTAAAAAGTTTTAGTATGTCTATGAATAACATTTTATACTAAATTGAGAATAAATATTGTTAAAGAAAAAGTATATAAGTATATATATATTTTGTAAAAAATAAACAATTGATCATAATTATTAATTAAAATAAAATTAATATCCCTTTAAAAGCAACCATTATACTATTCGTAATTTAGTCAGTTAAAATTTTGTATATTATTAGGTAAAAAAAATAAGTAGAAATCAGTAACCCTAATAAATAATGAATCTTTGATGAGTTTTTAGGCAAAAATTATTTAATTTGCTAATTCTTTACATTATTTAACAATTATTTAATCAACTTCCAATTTTCAATTATTTAATTAATAAAAGAGGTGATCAAATTACTAATTATGCAAGCTCTTATTTTAAAGCTAATTATTATAGTTTCTATTCCAATCATTATAGGTGTTGGAATAGTATTAACTGTATTCTATAAGCAGCTATGGATTGCACTCGATGAGTGGTAAGTTTAACAATTTTATAATAAATACAGAAAATCTTTTTAAGAACAGGACTTTGTAATCATCATATTCATCATCATCATCACCAACTTCACATTTATATAAGTTATTAAATTTAGAATATAAACAAATAAATAGGGAAAGGGACAGTAGTGTATGGATAAATCAGACGCAGTAATAAATCCTATACAATTCTGTACTATCACAGTAACTTCTAGAATAGTACAGCTTTAACTAAGTAAATATTTACTAACTATAAATGGACTATTTATTTATGAAAAAAAATAATTTAAATGAGTTTTTTACTTATTTTCAACACTTATAAAGCTCTAATTGCATCTGGTGGTTATGAAAAGTTTACTCTCAAAATATTAATAATCTATCATCATTTGTAAATATTTATTTATAATTTTAAATTTATAATAAAATCCTATCATTTTAATCAAAAGAAAATCCTGCAGCTAATTTTACAGTTTGTTCATATAGAGAATTGATGTTCAATTAATGTGCTTAAAATGTTTATGACTAATTAACCGAAAATATGTTATATGCAGATATATATTTTGTAAGATCTATTTTTGAATTTAAACTCCTTACTCCTCAACAATAATATTTCATTGAAATGGTATTTTTTTAATATATTTCACCATATTTTTATCTCTATGTTTTAGAATAATAGAGTTTCTTTTTATGGAAGGGCATCTTTTCTAGCAACTCAAAAAGAAGGACTTATTTATTTGAGATACTTATATAATTCAGATACAACTTCTATTTTATATGGCATACCTTCAGCGTAATAAATATATTAACATATCTTTTTTTTATCATAGCTTTTATATTAACAGATTTTTTAACTATACTGATGCTGATTATGAATCCTGTATGGGAAGCGGTTTCATAGAACCATATGACCCAAGATGTAGACCTTGGTACACCTACGCTTAGTAAAATCAAGGTATGATTTTTATATTTACAATAATTTATCAAATTTAATTTTAGCTAAGATTTTATTTAGACAAAAAGCTAAGCAAATCATAAGTATAATTTTCTTAAAAGCATGTTGCAAACATGTGCTCAACTTCAATAACTTTTTACATTACAAATATTAGTATTAAGTATTATAGATAATAAAAAAACTACAAAAAAAATAAAAAGTAATTAACAGTTTTATTAAATATTAAGGTATTAAAAATTTTTTAGAATAAATAAAACCTAAACTGAGTATAAATTTCTGATTTAAGTATATTTTAAATTAAAAGTAAATGATTTAACTTTCAAAATGATATTGTAATTATATTATAGCCATTACCACCTATTTCTACTTTACCCTTTTAAAATTTTTAGATAAGAAAAATTTTATGAGTAATTTTTCAAAATGAGAATGTATTTAAAGCTTTAAATCCTGAATTTTTTTGAAATTAATTAATTATATTTTAAAATAGTAAAAATTAAGTTTTTATTTATTTGTATTTATATTTTTAATTTTTTCAACAATTATTATAGGATTCTTCATTTATGAGCCTTATCTCAATGCTGTAGAAGGTAATTTACTGATGACTCTTTCTAGTTAAGTTGATTATAAAAACGAGTTTTATTCAGTAGATAGTATTGATTTCGAATTGTAAAACATAGTTTAATTATTTAATTCAGCTTTAAGTGAGAACGCATATTCAGTACTAATTCATGAGTTCAATCAAACAGTAGACTTTTTTTAAAAATATTATTTATTTTATTGTTTTTTTATTCTATTTTAATTTATAATTAGGTATTTTATCATCCTATGCTATTATTCTATCAGGTTCTGTCTTGGGCAGATGTAGAATTTATTAATATAAATTAATACTGCAGCGATTCTGTAGAATTAATGTAATAATGCTATAACTAAAAAGAAGACTTTTCTAGTTAAATAGATGAGACAATACAATTTATCAAAAATGGAAATTATTCTATTGAAGATCAATTTAACTTAGATTAACTGTATTAAAGATGGGAAAGATTTGGATAAAAACTGTAATTTTATATTTATTTATTTATTATTTGTACATTTATAATTTTTTAAAAAAAGGATAAGCATAATTTTCCCTATCAAGAGCTAGATAAAAGGATTTAATAACCAATAGCCATATTCTTACGCTATATTAATGACCGCAAGAGTAATAACAGATAAAAGCGATGACCTGAAGTTGTTTCACCTTTTGAATGTGAATTATATAAGAATACCATTGATAATAGAATTTATTATAGTGAGCTTTATCATAATCCTCTTTTTAATTTATTATGGCTATTTTTTAATTTTTTAAATTTATTATCCAATCTAGCTGTTAATTCTATTCTTAAGAAGAAGCTACATGGAGTAATAATCTTGCTAATTAAGCTAAAAAATAAAAAATCAAATCAAATAGAAATAATAAACACAATAGATAAATCGTTAATAATCCAAAAGTTTTCAAAAAAAATCACTTTACAATAAAGCAAATAAAATAAAAAATGACGATTCTTTAAATGTTTAATAGTAAAATGACTAATCTGATAATGGATAGTAAATTAAAATAAATTAAATAAAAAGTAGCCAAAATAAATTTATAACAGAGGAATAGCAGTTAATGAAGCAAAGTCATTCTAAATATAATTTTAAATAAATTGATGATGAGTAGAAGTATTTAAAAAAATACTAAGAATAATTATCGCCAAAAATTAATGAAGCAAGATCTATATTGAATAATTCAAATACCTATAATTAATCATAAATTATGTTTAAAAAGTAAATGAAATTGAATGAATTTATACCAAATAAGTCACTATAAAGTAGTTCTTATAATACAATTTACTAAAAAAATACATAAGAAAAAAACTACTCAGCTTTAAAAATAAGGAAAAGCATTGGTAAGTCTAAGCTTAGTTCTAAATATTCTTAGAAAAATGATAACTTTGATTATGTTTAATAATTAGAATTCCTCTAAGAAAAGAACAAAGACGAAAGTAAATTAAAAATTTTAAAAGGATTAAAGCCTTTATTTTTGGAAATGAAAATTATCAAAAAAGCTTTTTAAGATTTAGAAGGATTAATTAATTATTAAATAGATTCTTAGAATCAAAACTCAAAAGATGTTATGAATACTCTTTTTCATTTCACTAAGGCCAAAGCTACTTTTTAATAACTCAAAAACCAAATTGGTCTGTCTAGATGTTATTCTAATCTTGGTATAATTTATATTTTAAAACATAATTACAATCTAGCTTAAGAATATTTTGAATCATCAATTATTTTAAGTTTAGAAGTTCTTGGTTTAGACTATTTAAGCTTAATCAATCAAAAATTAATTTTCAAATAAGAAGAGGGAACAGAGAGCTAACTTACAATTCTATGCAAAAGAATTTGTTCAAAAGCATATTCTTGCAAATAATATGCTCTTTAATAGATTTACTTAGAAGATAACTCCTTTGAAAATAATTATTTCTTTGAATAGTAATAACAAAACTAATAAATGGAACTAAATGTTTAAAAAATAAATTATTTACTAAAGAATTCACTAGAGTCATATAAAGCGGTTGAAAAAATAATTAAAAATAATAATTTATTATTCTCGCAAGTATTTTAAGTGTTTTTATAGCAAGAAATACTTGAAATTCTCATATTTTTAGGAAATATTTAAGAAGTATTTTAATAATTTGAGAATATTAATTTTATTTTAGAGTAATAAGAAAATTTTAAATAAAATCATTTTTAGTTTTTCCTTTGTTAATCTTATTAAAATCAATCCAAAAACCTTACAGAAGAAAACTCTTTTAACAAAATTAAATGCACAGCTAATGGAGAAGTAAATATAATCAATTAAATTTACGAAATTTAAAAGAGTAGATAGAAGTTCTTGAGAGGATTGATAGAGATTAAACAATATAACTACAGAGAGGCTATTGAATAGTTTACTTTGTTTATTGAGGAGGGATCTTATTACAGTTGTCAATTAAGAAGGAAAGCAATTCATCACCTTAATTAGCTATTTATGATAGAATTTAATAAATAAATAGATTTGAAGAAAATTTATTTGGATTAAAAAGCTTGTATTCCATATGATATAACAATAATAATATAGCTGGAATATTAGAGTTAATATTCTTCTTTCGAGTCTTGTATTTTAAATCTTTAAAATTAGAATTTTTTTAGGAAATATGATCGAATTTAAATATTGATATACGATACATAGTTGGAAATATTTATGCCATTCACTTTGATAAGCAGTGATCATCAATTAAATTAGATTATAAACTCTTTAAGGGATTTAGGAAAATTGTTTATTTAAGTTAATTAAAAGAAGCTTAAAGAGTTAAATTGGGTACAAGCAATTGAATTATCTCTAAGTTGCATTTATGAACATAAATACAATGATTTTATCAATTTTAAATAAATGTTAAAATCAGTAAAAGAAGGCTATAAAAATTTTATGAGATACAAACATCTGAAGATTTAATAGAATATGAATGAATAAGAAAGAAAATAAATTATTATTCTATTTTCAAAATAACAAAATAGCTAAATATAAAGCTTGAATATTAATGATGTGTACAAATTAGTAAATCATCAAAAATTAATAATTTATCATTTAAAGGAATACTCTCTTTTAGAGAACTAAAGCGAACAATACTAAACTCCTTTTTTAAATTATGAGTCTTTTGTTGATGATATCCCATTCATTAATTAGTTTAAATAATTAAGAGAGGAAGATAGTTTAAATGAAGAAAATGAATTCATAGCAATTCTAAATAACTCTTGAGAATATTTTAAAAACTTTTAGTAATAATTTTATTTTTTTTTAAATTGAATAAAAAATATTTTCGTTTGTTGTAAATACTGTAAATATTAAATTAAGAAAATGATCTTATTACATTTATTTTTATAAAATATTACTCTAAAACCAATTTTAAAAAAATATTTTGTGAAAATTTTCTAACTATTTAAAAATCTTTTAGAATTAATAAAAAAAAAAATTAATTAAAACAAAAATGTTACTTTTAGATATTTCAAAAATCAATTCTAGTTAATTAATTATAAAAATAAACAAATTTAAAAAAATTATTATTAAAGTAAAATGTTTAAGCAAGGCTATGAAAAAAATATTACACACAATTAAGAAGACTTATTATATTTGTAAAAAATAAACAATTGATTATAATTTATTAACTAAATTAAATTAATGCTTTAGCCTTACAAAAGAACGAACATTCTTTTTATAATTTGTAAGTTAAAATTTAGTATATTATTAGGTAAAAAAGTAAGTAGAAATCAGCTATCCTAATAAATAATCAAAAGTTGAATAATTTTGAGGCAATCAAAAATTGAATTAGCTAATCTTTACATTATTTAATATTTAATTAATTTACAATTAGTTAATTAATAAAAGAGGTAATTAAATTACTAATTATGCAAGCTCTTATTTTAAAATTAATTATTTTAGTTTCTATTCCAATCATTATAGGTGTTGGAATAGTTTTAACTATATTCTATAAGCAGCTTTGGCTTGCGCTCGATGAGTGGTAAATTTAATGTTTAATATAAATATGGAAAATATTTTAAAGATAATGATTTATTTAGTTATAATCAACATCATCATCAATAAAAGCCATTAAGCTTTTAAAAAGATTTAGAATAATAAACAAATATATAAATAAATAGGGAAAGAGACAGTAGCAAATGGATATATCAGACGCAATAATAAATCCTATACAATTCTGTACTATCACAATAACTTCTAGAATAGTACAGCTTTAACTAAGTACATATTTACTTACTATAAATGGACTATTTATTATGAAAAAAAAATAATATGAATGATTTTTTACTTATTTTAAACACTTATAAAGCTCTAATTACATATGGTCGTTATGAAAAGTTTACTCTCAAAATATTAATAATCTATAATCATACGTAAATATTTATTTATATTTTCAAATTTATAATAAAATCCAATCATTTTAATCAAAAGAAAATCCTGCAGCTAATTTTACAGTTTGTTCATATAGAGAATTGATATTCAATTAATGTGCTTAAAATGTTTATGACTAATTAAATTAAAATATGTTCTATGCAGATATGTACTTTGTAAGATCTAATTTTTCATTTAACATCCTTACTCCTCAACAATAATATTTCATTGAAATGGTATGTTTTTATAGTATTTCATCATATTTATATCTCTATGTTTTAGAATAATAGAGTTTCTTTTTATGCAAGGGCATCTTTTCTAGCAACTCAAACTGAAGGACTTATCTAATTGATATACTTATATAACTCTGATACAACTTCTATTTCATATGGCGTACCTTCAGGGTAATAAATATATTAATATCTTTTATTTATCATAGCTTTTATACCAAAAGGTTTTATAACTATACAGATTCTGATTATGAAACCTGTATGGGTAATGGTTACATAGAACCATATGACCCAAGATGTAGACCTTGGTACACCTACGCTTAGTAGAATCAGGGTATATCTAATATATTTGCAATAATTAAGCAATCTTAATTTCAGTATAAACTTTATTTAGACAAAAAGCTAACCAAATCATAAGTATAATTTTCTTAAAAGCATAATAAAAACATGTGCTCAATCAACATCAATAACTTTTTATTTTTATAAATATTAATATTAATTATTATAAATAATAAAAAAACTTATTTCAAATTAAGATATTAAAAATATCAATTTTTTTTAGAATAAAGAAAACATAAATTAAGTATAAATTTCTGATTTAAATTTATTTTAAATGAAAAGTAAATAATTTAAATTTCAAAAAGATATTAAAATAAAATTTTATAATAATTAATTATCACCTATTTTTATTAAACCCTTTGTAAATAAGAAAAATTTTAATTCTTTATGAGTAATTTTTCAAAATAAAAATATTTATTTAAAGCTTTAAAAGAGTTAAATTCCTTAATTCTTTTGAACTTAATTATATTTTAAATTTCAAAATAAATATAATAAAAATGAAGAATTTTTTTATTTGTATTTATATTTTTAATTTTTTGAATAATTATTATAGGATTCTTCATTTATGAGCCTTATATTGATGCTATTATTGGTAATTTACTGATGACTCTTTCTAGTTAAGTTGATTATAAAAACGAGTTTTATTCTGTAGATAGTATTGACTTTGGAATGTAAAACATAGTATAGTTATTTAATACAACTTTAAGTGAGAACGCATATTCAGTATTAATTCATGAGTTCAATCAAACAGTAGACTTTTGTTTATAATATTTCTATTTTATTTTATTTTAATTTATAATTAGGTATTTTATCATCCTATGCTAATATTCTATCAGGTTATGTCTTGGGCAGATTTAGAATATATTAATATAAATTAATTTTGCAGTGATTCTGTGGAATTAATGTAATAATGCTATAACTAAAAAGAAGACTTTTCTAGTTAAATAGATCAGACAATACAATTTATCAAAAGTGGTAATTATTCTATTGATGATCAATTTAACTTGGATTTGTTGTATTAAACATGGGAAAGATTTGGATAAAAACTGTAATTTTTAATTTATTTATTTATTATTTGTACATTTATAATTTTTTAAAAAAAGCATAAGCATAATTTTCCCTATCAAGAGCTAGATGAAAGGATTTAATAACTAAGAGCCATATTCTTACGCTATAATAATGACAGCAAGAGTAATAACAGACAGAAGTGATCATCTAAAGTTGTTTAATCTTTTGAATGTGAATTCTTTAAGAATACCACTGATTGTAGAATTTATTGTGGTTAGCTCTATCATTATCATCTTTTTAATTTATTATGGCTATTTTTTAATTTTTTAAATTTATTATCCAATCTAGCTGTTAATTTTATTCTTAAGAAGAAGCTACATGGAGTAATAATCTTGTTAAGTAAGCTAAAAAATAAAAAATCAAATCAAATAGAGTTAATAAATAAAATAAATAAATCTTTAATAATCCAAAAGTATTCGTAAAAAATCACATTACAAAAAAGCAAATAAAATAAAAAATGTGGACGATTCATTAAATGTTTAATAGTAAAATGACTAATCTGATAATGGATAGTAAATTAAAATTAATTAAACAAATTTTAGCTAAAATTAATTTATGACAGAGGAATAGCAGTACATGATGCAAAGCCATTCTAGATATAATTTTAAATAAATTAATGATGAGTAGAGGTTTTTAAATAAATAGTAAGAATAGCTATCCTCCAAAAATAGTCAAGCAAGATCTATATTGTATAATTCAAATGTCTATAACTAATCATAAATTGTATATAAAAAGTAAATAAAATTGAATGAATTTATACCAAATAAGTCCGTTTAAGCTACTTCTAATAATTCAATTTATTAAAAAAATACATTAGAAAAAAACTCTGCTTTAAAAATAGTTAAAAGTATGGATGAATCTATGTTTAGTTCTCGATATTCTTAGAAATAAGATGACTTTGATTATGTTTAATAATTAGAATTTCTCTAAGAAAAAAACAAAGACGAAAGCAAATTAAAAATTTTAAAAGGATTAAAACCTTTGTTTTTGGAAATGAAAATTATCAAAAAAACTTTTTAAGATTTAGAAGGATTAATTAATTATTAAATAGATTCTTAAAATCAAAACTCAAAAGATGTTATGGATACTCTGTTTCATTTCACTAAGGCCAAGTCTACTTTTTAATAACTTAAAAACCAAATAGGTCTGTCAAGATGTTATTTTAATCTTGGTATAATTTATATTTTAAAATATGAGTACAATCTAGCTTAAGAATATTTTGAATCATCAATTCTTTTAAGTTTAGAAGTTCTTGGCTTAGATTATTTAAGCTTAATCAATCAAAAGTAAATTTTCAAATAAGAAGAAGGAACAGAGAGTTAACTTACAATTCTATGTAAAAGAATATGTTCAAAAGCATATTCTTGCAAATAGTATGCTCTTTAACACATTTACTTAGAAGATAAAGATAATACTATTGAAAGCAATCATTTCTTTGAATAGCAATAACAAAACTAATAAATGGAACAAAATGTTTAATAAATAAATTATTTACTAAAGAATTCTCTAGACTCTTATAAAGCAGTTGATAAGATAATTAAATATAATAATTTATTATTCTCACAAGTATTTTAAGTATTTTTGTTGCAAGAAATACTTGAAATTCTCATATTTTTAGGAAATATTTAAGAATCATTTTAATAATTTGACAATATAAACTTTCTATTAGAGTAATAAGGAAATTATAAATAAAATCATTTTTATAATTTTTTTTGCTAATCTTATTAAGTTCAATCCAAAAACTTGACAGAAGAAAACTCTTTTAACAAAATTAAATGCACAGCTAATGGAGAAGTAAATGTAATCAATTAAATTTACGAAATTTAAAAGGGTAGATAGAAGTTCTTGAGAGGATTGATAGAGATTAAACGATATAACTATAGAGAGGCTATTGAATAGTTTACTTTGTTTATTGAAGAGGGATCTTATTACAGTTGTCAATTAAGAAGGAAAGCAATTTATCACCTTAATTAGCTATTTAAGATAGAATTTAATAAATAATTAGATTTGAAGAAAATTTATTTGGATTAAAAAGCTTCTATTCCATATGATATAACAATATTATTATAGCTGGAATATTAGAGTTAATATTCATCTTTAGAGTCTATTATTTTAAACCTAAAAAATTAGAATTTTTTTAGGAAATTTGATAGAATTTAAATATTAATTTTCCATTCACAGTTAGAAATATATATGCCATACACTTTGGTAAGCAGCGATTATCAATTAAATTAGATTATAAACTCTTTAAGGGATTTAAGAAAGATTTTTATTTAAGTACATTAAACTAAGCATAAAGAGTTAACTTGGATACAAGCAATTGAATTTTCACTGAGTTACATTTATGAATTTAAATATAATGATTTTAGCAATTTTAAATAAATGTTAAAATCAGCAAAGCAAGGCTATAAAAATTTTATGAAATATAAACATCTCAAGATATAATAGAATATGAATGAATAAGAAAGAAAAAAAATTATTATTCTATTTTCAAAATAACAAAATAGCGAAATATAAAGTTTGAATATTAGTGATGTATATAAATTAACCAATCATTAAAAACTAATAATTTATCATTTAAAGGAATATGCTTTTTTAGAGAACTAAAACGAATAATACTAAAGCCCTTTTTTAAATTACGAATCTTTTGTTGACGAAATCCCGCTCATTAATGAATTTAAATAATTAAGAGAGGAAGATAATTTAAATGAAGAAAATGATTTCATAGCAATTCTAAATAACTCTTGAAAATATTTTAAAAACTTTTCATAATAATTTTTTAAAAAAGAATTTATTAAAAAATATATTTAAATGTTGTAAATACTGTAAATATTAAATTAACAAACTTATATTATTATCTTTATTTTTATAAATATTAAACTTAAGCCAATTTAAAAAAAAATATTTTGCGAAATATATTCTTACTATTTAAAAATCTTTTATAGTTAATAAAAAAATTAATTAAAGAAAAAATGTTATTTTTAGATATTTCAAATATCAATTATAGTTAATTAATGATAAAAATAAACAAATTTAAAAAAATTTATTACACAAAATTAAGAAAAAATATTATTAAACAAAAATTATATTTATTAAAAAATAAACAGTTGATTATAATTTGTTAACAAAATTAAATTAATGATTTAGCCTTACAAAACAGCCAATATGCTTTTTTTAATTTGGTAAGTTAAAATTTAGTTTTTTATTAGGTAAAAAAAGTAAGTAGAAATTAGCTATCCGAATAAATAATCAAAAGTTCATTAATTTAGAGGCAATAAATATTGAATTAGCTAATCTTTACATTATTTAATAATTTTATTAATTTACAATTAGTTAATTAATAAAAGTGGTAAATAAATTACTAATTATGCAAGCTCTTATTTTAAAGTTAATTATTTTAGTTTCTATCCCAATTATTATAGGTGTTGGAATAGTTTTAACTATATTCTATTAGCAGCTTTGGCTTGCGCTCGATGAATGGTAAATTTAACATTTATTATAAATATGGAAAGTATATTTAAGATAATGATTTATTTAGTAATAATCAGCATCATCATTAATAAAAGCCATTTAGCTTTTAAAAAGATTTAGAATAATAAACAAATATATAAATAAATAGGGAAAGAGACAGTAACATATGGATAAATCAGACGCAGTAATAAATCCTATACAATTCTGTACTATCACAATAACTTCTAGAATAGTACAGCTTTAACTAAGTAAATATTTACTAACTATAAATGGAATATTTATTTATGAAAAAGAATAATTTAAATGAGTTTTTTACTTATTTTAAACACTTATAAAGCTCTAATTACATATGGTGGTTATGAAAAGTTTACTATCAAAATATTAATAATCTATCATCATACGTAAATATTTATTTATATTTTCAAATTTACAATCAAATCCTAAATTTTTAATATAAAGAAAATCCTACAGCTAATTTTACAGTTTGTTCATATAGAGAATTGATATTCAATTAATGTGCTTAAAATGTTTATGACTAATTAAACGAAAATATATTCTATGCAGATATGTACTTTGTAAGATCTATTTTTGAATTTAAACTCCTTACTCCTCAACAATAATATTTCATTGAAATGGTATGTTTTTATAGTATTTCACCATATTTATATCTCTATGTTTTAGAATAATAGAGTTTCTTTTTATGCAAGGGCATCTTTTCTAGCAACTCAAACTGAAGGACTTATCTAATTGATATATTTATATAACTCTGATACAACTTCTATTTCATATGGCGTACCTTCAGGGTAATAAATATATTAATATCTTTTATTTATCATAGCTTTTATACCAAAAGGTTTTATAACTATACAGATTCTGATTATGAAACCTGTATGGGTAACGGTTACATAGAACCATATGATCCAAGATGTAGATCTTGGTACACCTACGCTTAGTAAAATCAAGGTATATCGACTAAAAAATTTACAATAATTAAGCAATCTTAATTTCAGCTAAAGTTTTATTTAGACAAAAAGCTTATCAAATCATAAATATAATTTTCTTAAAAGCATATTATAAATATTAATATTAATTATTATAGATAATAAAAAAACAACTAAAATAATAATGAGTAATTAATAAGTTAATTCAATATTAAGGTATTAAAAATATTAATTTTTTTTAGGATAAAGAAAATATAAATTTCTGATTTAAATTTATATTAAATGAAAAGTAAATAATTTAAATTTCAAAATGATATTAAAATTATATTTTATAGTTATTAATTACCACCTATTTTTACTAAAACCTTTTGTAAATGACAAAAATTTTAATGCTTTATGAGTAATTTTTCAAAATAAGAATATTTATTTAAAGCTTTAAAAGAGTTAAATTTAAATTCTTTTGAACTTAATTATATTTTAAATGTGGATATAAACATATAAAAGCAAAAGTGTATTTGTTTTTGTATTTATATTTTTAATTTTTTGAATAATTATTATAGGATACTTCATTTATGAGCCTTATATTGATGCTGTTATTATTAGTTTACTGTCAACTCTTTCTAGTTAAATTGATTATAAAAACGAGTTTTATTCTGTATATAGTATCGACTTCGGAATGTAAAATATAGTATAGTTATTTAATACAACTTTAAGTGAGAACGCATATTCAGTATTAATTCATGAGTTCAATCAAACAGTAGAATTTTATTTATAATATTATTTTTTTATTATATTTTAATTTATAATTAGGTATTTTATCATCCTATGCTAATATTTTAAAAGGTATTGTCTTGGGCAGATTTAGAATATATTAATATAAATTAATTTTGCAGCGATTCCGTGGAATTAATGTAATAATGCTATAACTAAAAAGAAGATTTTTCTAGTTAAATAGATCAGACAATACAATTTATCAAAAGTGGTAATTATTCTATTGAAGATCAATTTAACTTGAATTTGTTGTATTAAACATGGGAAAGATTTGGATAAAAACTGTAATTTTTAATTTATTTATTTATTATTTGTACATTTATAATTTTTTAAAAAAAGCATAAGCATAATTTTCCCTATCAAGAGCTAGATGAAAGGATTTAATAACTAAGAGCCATATTCTTACGCTATAATAATGACAGCAAGAGTAATAACTGATAGAAGTGATCATCTAAAGTTGTTTAATCTTTTGAATGTGAATTATTTAAGAATACCACTGATTGTAGAATTTATTGTGGTTAGCTCTATTATTATCATCTTTTTAATTTATTATGGCTATTTTTTAATTTTTTAAATTTATAATCCAATCTAGCTGTTAATTTTATTCTTAAGAAGAAGCTACATGGAGTAATAATCTTGTTAAGTAAGCTAAAAAATAAAAAATCAAATCAAATAGAGTTAATAAATAAAATAAATAAATCTTTAATAATCCAAAAGTATTCGTAAAAAATCACATTACAAAAAAGCAAATAAAATAAAAAATGAGGACGATTCATTAAATGTTTAATAGTAAAATGACTAATATGATAATGGATAGTAAATTAAAATGAATTAAACAAATATAAGCTAAAATTAATTTATGATAGAGGAATAGCAGTACATGATGCAAAGCCATTCTAAATATAATTTTAAATAAATAAATGATGAGTAGAAGTATTTAAATAAATACTAAGAATAACTATCATCCAAAAATAGTCAAGCTAGATCTATATTGTATAATTCAAACGTTTATAATTAATCATAAATAATATATAAAAAATAAATAAAACTGAATGAATTTATATCAAATAAGCCACCATAAGGTAGTTCTAATAATACAATTTATTAAAAAAATGCATTAGAAAAAAACTCTGCTTTAAAAAGAATTAAAAGTTTTGATAAGTCTATGTTTAATTCTAGATATTCTTAGAAAAATGATGACTTTGATTATGTTTAATAATTAGAATTCCTCTAAGAAAAGAACAAAGATGAAAGTAAATTAAAAATTTTAAAAGGATTAAAGCCTTTGTTTTTGGAAATGAAAATTATCAAAAAAGCTTTTTAAGATTTAGAAGGATTAATTAATTATTAAATAGATGCTTAAAATCAAAACTCTAATGATGTTATGAATACTCTTTTTCACTTCACTAAGGCCAAAGCTACTTTTTAATAACTTAAAAATCAAATTGGTTTATCTAGATGTTATTTTAATCTTGGTATAATTTATATTTTAAAATATGAGTACAATCTAGCTCAAGAATATTTTGAATCATCAATTATTTTAAGTTTAGAAGTTCTTGGCTTAGACTATTTAAGCTTAATCAATTAAAAGTTAATTTTCAAATATGATGAAGGAACAGATAGTTAACTTACGATTCTATGTAAAAGAATATGTTCAAAAGCATATTCTTGCAAATAGTATGCTCTTTAACACATTTATTTAGAAGATAAAGATAGTGCTATTGAAAATAATAATTTCTTTGAATAGTAATAACAAAACTAATAAATGGGACAAAATATTTAAAAAATAAATTATTTACTAAAGAATTCTCTACACTCATATAAAGCAGTTGAAAAAATAATTAAGAATAATAATTTATTATTCTCACAAATATTTTAAATATTTTTAAAGCAAGAAATACTTGAAATACAGATATTTTTAAACAATTTTTAAGAAATATTTTAATAATTCGATAATATAAACGTTCTCTTAGAGTAATAATAAAAGTTTTAATAAAATCAATTTTAGAATTCTCCTTGCTAATCTTACTAAAATCAATCCAAAAATCTTTCAGAAGAATACTCAATTTATAAAATTAAATGCATAGCTTAAGGAGAAGTAAATGTAATCAATTAAATTTAATAAATTTAAAAGAGTAGATAGAAGTTCTTGCGAGGATTGATAGAGATTAAACGATATAACTATAGAGAGGCTATTGAATAGTTTACTTTGTTTATTGAAGAGGGATCTTATTACAGCTGTTAGTTAAGAAGGAAAGCAATTCATCACCTTAATTAGCTATTTATGATAGAATTTAATAGATAAATAGATTTGAAAAAAATGTATTTGGATTAAAAAGCTTCTATTCCATATGATATAACAATAATACTATAGCTTTAATATTAGAGTTAATATTCATCATTAGAGTCTTGTATTTTAAATCTAAAAAATTAAAATTTTTTTAGGAAATTTGATCGAATTTAAATATTGATATACGATACATAGATGGAAATATTTATGCCATTCACTTTGATAAGCAGCGATCATCAATTAAATTAGATTATAAACTCTTTAAGGGATTTAAAAAAATTTATTTAGGTTAATTAAACTAAACTTATAGAGTTAAATTGGATACAAGCAATTGAATTATCTCTAAGTTGCATTTACGAATATAAACATAATGATTTTATCAATTTTAAATAAATGTTAAAAACAAAACAAGGCAATAAAAGTTTTATGAGAAACAAAGATCTCAAGATTTAATAGAATATGAATGAATAAGCAAGAAAAAAAATTATTGTTCTATTTTCAAAATATCAAAACAGCTAAATATAAAATTTGAATATTTATGATTTGTACAAATTAATCAATCATTAAAAACTAATAATTTATCATTTAAAGGAATACTCTTTTTTAGATAACTAAAAAGAACAATACTAAAATCCTTTTTTAAATTATGAGTCTTTTACTGACGAAATCCTGCTAATTAATGAAATTAAAAATCTAAGAGAGGAAGATAATGATGAAAATGATTTCATAGCCATTCTAAATAACTCTTGAAAATATTTTGAAAACTTTTAATAATAATTTTATTTATAAAAAGTGAATTAAAAATATATTCATATGTTGTAAATACTGTAAATATTAAATTAAGGAAATTGACTTATTATCTTTATTTTTAAAAATGACACTTAATTTTTAAGGATAAAAAATTTTTAAAAAGATTTTTTTTTTGATAATCCTTATTCATGCGTACCCACGGTAGTTTCTTTTTGATCAGAAAATATCACAAGCATTGCAGCATGGCTAATAATTCTCTTGTTACTCTAACTTAATTCCATAAATACCTAATCCTTTTTCTTTTTTTTCTTAAGGATCTGCAACAATAGTGCTATTTTCTTCATTTATTGGTGCAGCTGTTTCTGATTATGTATTTTTATTCTATTCATGTTTATCTTTAATACCTTTTTTTATTGAAAATTCTTTAATAGCCAAGGAATTGTCATTACCTACTGAAGCCACTTGCTATGATGATTTTTATAATTTATCTGTCTGGCTACCTTGCTATTCTAGATTTTTGCTTATATTATTGTTGTTGTTGTTATTATTATTATTGCTATTGATATTCATATTTTATTCATCATTAAAAGGAATCGAGAAACGGTTAAAGTAAACTTTATAACAGTCATCAACTAATATTTAAATAATATAAAAAAAGAAAAAATAGAATTCTTAACTAAAGCATTTTTTTGTTAAATTTTCATAGGCCTATTTGAAAAAATCTAACAATTTTGTTTTATTAATTGCAAAGCAAGCTATAATCTTTTTATATATAAAGCTATAAAATATATTGATAAATGTAGTAACTTAAGTCAAAAAACTAATAAAATTCTATTTCTATATTTTATAACTTTTTATTCATAGTAATATGCTAAAATAGAAAATTATTTTAAAGAAAACACTTACTAATTTTCTTGGCGCTTTCAAAACTGTACTTATCTTAGAAATTAGGGTTATTTTTACTAAAATATCTTTAAAAAGCTGTCAATTCTGTTAAAATAAAAATAGAATCTTTGTACACTCTTTATTTATCCTCTTCAGTGAAAGGCAGTATTATTTTTCCATACTAATCTGGTATTCTTTCTCTAATAAACATTTACAATTATTTAGAAACCTCATATAATACGAAAGGATATAGATACCTATTGAATTTTCAAAAAGAATATGTAAAAAAATTCTATGAGAAACTAAAAATATATTATTATTTACTTCATTGTCGATTTTATACAACAAGCTCCTAAATTTAAAATTTTATAGTCTTCATTAAGAAGGCCTTCATAAACTCTTTCGTAATCTAAATCAAATTATACAGACCTATAATTTTCTAAATACAAAGGAAACAATTCTTCACCAATGAACTATATACCCTTTTAAACATCAATAGGAATATATTCCTCTTCAAATGCTTTAAAATAATCTATCATTAATTTTCTAAAATTGCTCAAAAACTTGAAGCCAGATTTGTTTATCCTAATTTAATTTGACTTTATCTAATATTTTATTGATTATTATTAATATAGATTGATTTCACTCCTTTTGTTTATTTATTTAATTAGCAATTAATTAAATAATAATTAATTTATGCATAAAAAAATAATTATTTATTTATTTTCTTTTTCAGCTTCAAAGTTTAATCATTTTTATTTTCATTTAGCATAACAATTATTATTAGTAGATTCTTCAAAAAGCTTTTTCAGCTTTATTTTTTTAGCCATTGATATTCCCAAAACTTTAATACTCAAAAACAAATATACCTACCTACCTACCATTCATATTTAATTGCTTGATTTATTATTTGATTAATTAAAACCTGTTTTTATGCTACTATATTACTTCTACTTCACTTTGCTCTTGTTTGCATTTGAAATTTCTTTGTAAATACATTACCAATCGCTTAGAATAAATCTTTTATCTTCTGAGAAGCTATCCTTTTATATTCTTATAAACTCCACTTTGTAATTTAAAAAAAGTAACCAAAATAATATTTAAAAAATGTTTAAAATTACTTTAAAAAAAAAAGACATACTTATTTAATTAATTAATTATAAAAAAATTTCATGAAAAAGATGAAAAGGTAAGCATTTTTACAAGATTACTCAATAAAATTTTATCTATACATAAATTTAATAATTTTTAAATATTTCATCAATTAATATGACATTAAAAGTTTCATTCCTTTAAATAATTCAAGTATGGCTTCAATAAAATACAATCTTTTTCTGAAGCAACTTAGAATAATATTAACATTATATATTTTACTTGTTTTTAAATAAAATAAGTATAATTAATAAAATAAATTAAAATACTTGATTTAATGAAGAACGAAAGAGAACAGATAAATATGGTTTTTATTAAAAAAATAATCATAAAATTGGTGATTTAATTGAAATTAATTTATTTAATATTTAGCAAAAATTAATATTTTTGAGCTCGTCTCAAACGTAAAAAAGAAGAAGAAAATTTCAGCGAGCGAAAGAAGTTAAAAAATAAACTAATTTTGAAAAAAACATGAAGAAGGAAGGTATTACTCTGAGAAATATAATAGAATTAGAAAAACTATAAGATTAATTTTTGTGAAAAATTTGAAATCAAATATTAAGAAGAAAATTAAGATTTAGAAAAATAAAATATTCATCATTAAAAAAAATTATTTGAAATATCACAAATCATGATATGATGGTTTGTGATATTTCAAATGCAGGAACAGATATATTTAATTGAAGGAGATGGTGACGATATAGGTACATAAATTTAAAATGGCAATTACTAATTATTCCTTATTTTTTATCAAAATTTTCTCTAAATAAGTAAATAAGGAATATAAAATAAAAAGAAGATTTAGTGAATTTAATTTATTTATTGATATGATAACAACCATGAATTTTAGTATTTATTTTAAAAAAATTATTTTATAACAAATTTGTTATTATATTGCTATAATTATTTATTGGCTTTCTTGATCATTAATTTACTTTTTGTAGCTGGTCCAAACAAAAGAATAATAAATAGTTTCTTTTTGGTCAGAAAATATCGCAAGCATTGCAGCATGGCTAATTTTTCTCTTGTTCCTCTAACTTAATATTATGAATACCAACTCATTCTTCTTTTTTTTCTTCAGAATCTGCAACAATAGTGCTATTTTCTTCTTTTATTGGTGCAGCTGTAGCTGATTATGTATTTTTAGAATTTTTTTTCTATTCATCTTTATCTTTAATAGATTTTTTTATTGAAGATTCTTTAATAGCCAAGGAATTTTCATTACCCACTGAAGCAACTTGCTATGATTTTTATAATTTATCTGTCTAGCTACCTTAATATTGTAGATTTTTGCTTATATTATTGTTGTTATTATTATTGCTATTGGTATTAATATTTTATTCATCATTAAAAGGAATCGAGAAACGCTTAAAGTAAAATTTATAACAGTCATCAACTAATATTTAAATAATATAAAAAAAGATAAAATAAAATTCTTAACTAAAGCATTTTTTTGTTTAATTTTCATAAGCCTATTTTTAAAAATTTAACAATTTTGTTTTATTAATTACAAAGCAAGCTATAATTTTTTTATATATAAAGCTATAAAATTATATTGGTAAATGTAGTAGCTTAGGTCAAAAAACTAATAAAATTCTATTTCAAAATTTTATAACTTTTTATTCATACTAATATGCTAAAATAGAAAATTATTTTAATGAAAAAATAAATTTATTACTGATTTTCTTGGCGTTTTTAAAACTATATTTATCTTAGAAATCAGGATAATTTTTACTAAAATATCTTAAAAAAGCTGTCAATTCTGTTAAAATAAAAATAGAATCTTTGTAAACTCTTTATTTATCCTCTTCAGTGAAAGGCAGTTTTATTCTTCCATGCATATCTGGTATTCTTTCTTAAATGAACATTTACAATTAAATAGAAACATTACCTAATACGAGAAGACATAGAGAGCTATTGAATTTTCAAAAAGAATATGTAAAAAAATTTTATGAGAAACTAAAAATATATTATTATTTACTCCACACAGCATTTTAAATTAAATATTGGACTATATAAAGTTTTATAGTCTTCATTAAGAAGGCCTTCATAAATTCTTTTGTAATCCTTGTCAAATTATATAGACATATAATTATCTACAATCACATTAAACAATTCTTCACCATAGATCTATATACCCTTTTAAACATCAATAGGAATATATTCCTCTTCAAATGCTTTAAAATAATCTATCATGGATTTTCTAAAATTGTTCTAAAACTTGAAGTTAGTTTTGTTTATCCTAATTCAATTTGACTTTATCTAATATTTTATTAATTATCATAAATATATATAGATTGATTTCACTCGTTTTGTTTATTTATTTATTTTATTTATCAGCTTCAAAGTTTAATCTTTTTTATTTTCATTTAGCATAACAATTATTATTAGTAGATTCTTCAAAAAGCTTTACAAGCTTTATTTTTTTATTCATTGATATTCACAAAACTTTAATACTAAAAAACAAATGTGCCTACCATTCATATTTAATTGCTTGATTTATTATTTGATTAATTAAAACCTGTCTTTATGTTCCTATATTACTTCTACCTCACTTTGCTCTTATTTGCATTTGAAATCTCTTTGTAAATACATTACCAATCGCTTAGAATAAATCTTTTATCTTCTGAGAAACTATCAATCTCTTAAAATAAACCTTTTATCTTCTTATTAACTCCACTTTGTAATTTAAAAAAAGTAATCAAAATAATATTTAAAAATGTTTAAAATTACTTTAAAAAAAATATACTTATTTAATTAATTAATTTTGAAAAAACTAATATTGTTATTTAACATTAATAATATATGATATCACAAAAAATTATATTAAAATCACATTTTTTACTATTAAGCAAGAATAAACCAGTAATTAAAAAATACTAAGATGTTAATTGATTGAAGAATTAATCTCTTAAGTATAATCATGAAAAAGATGAAAAGGTAAGCATTTTTACAAGAGTACTCAATAAAATTTATTTTATCTATACATAAATTTAATAATTTTTAAATATTTCATTTATTAATATTACATCAAAAGTTTCATTTCTTTAAATAATTCAAGTATGGCTTCAATAAAATACAATCTTTTTCTGAAGCAACTTAGAATAATAATAACATTATATGTTTTACTTGTTTTTAAATATAATAAATTAAAATACTTGATTTAATGAAGAATGAAAGAGAACAGATAAATATGGTTTTTATAAAAAAAAATACTCATAAAATTGGTGATTTAATTGAAATTAATTTATTTAATATTTAGCAAAAAATAATATTTTTGAGCTCGTCTCAAACGTAAAAAAGAAGAAGAAAATTTCAGTGAAAGAAGTTAAAAAATAAACTAATTTTAAAAAAAACATGAAGAGCGAAGGAAGGTATTACTCTGAGAAATATAATAGAATTAGAAAAACTATTTGATTAATAATTATCCGAAAAAAGCTTTAATGAAATCCCATAAGTTTATAACAACCCCAGCTTAAAAATGAGTTTGTTTAAATATTTAATTGAAGGTGACGATGTAGGTAAATAAATTAAAAATGATAATTATTAATATCTCTTCATTTTTTCTCAAATTTCTCCAAATAAGGAATACTAAACAAAAGAAGATTTAGTTACTTTAATTTATTAATTGTGTCTGATAAAACCATAAATTTTAGTAGTTGTTTTAAAAAATTATTTTACATCAAATTTGTTACTATTAAATGCTATCATTATTTATTGGCTTTCCTGTTCATTAATTTACTTTTTGGAGCTGGCCCAAAAAAAGTTTAATAAATAGATTGTTTTTGTCAGAAAATATTGCAATCATTGCAGCATGGTTAATTTTTCTCTTTTTACTCTAACTTAATATTATGAATACCTACTTCTTCTTCTTTTTTTCCTCCTGGATCTGCAACAACAGTGCTATTTTTTTCTTTTATTGGTGAAGCTGTAGCTGATTATGTATTTATAGACTATTTTTTCTATTCATCTTTATCTTGAGTTACTTGTCTCATTGAAGATTCTTTAATAGCCAAGGAATTATCATTACCCGCTGAATCAACTTGCTAGGACTTTTATAATTTTTCTGTCTGGCTACCCTTCAATTTCTCTAGATTTTTGTTTATATTATTGTTGTTATTATTATTATTGGTATTGGTATTCATATTTTATTCATCATTAAAAGGGATCGAGAAACGCTTAAAGTAAAATTTATAACAGTCATCAACTAATATTTAAATAAATTAAAAAGATAAAATAGAATTTGTACTTTAGCATTTTTTTGTTAAATTCTCATAAACTGATTTGAAAAAATCTATCAATTTTGTTTTATTAATTGCAAAACATAAGCTTTTTATATTTGTAGCTTTAAAATATATAGGAAAATGATGTAACTTAGGTCTAAAAACTAATAAAATTCTATTTATATTTATTATAACTTTTAATTCATAGCAATATTCTAAAATAGAAAAATATTTTATAGAAAAAATAAATTTATTACTGATTTTCTTGGCGCTTTGAAAACTATATTTATCTTAGAAATCAGGATAATTTTTACTACAATATCTTGATAAAGCTATTATTTCTGTTAAAATTAAAATAGAATCTTTGTAAACTCTTTATTTATCCTCTTCAGTGAAAGGCAGTTTTATTTTTCCATACCTATCTGGTATTCTTTCTCTAATAAAAATTTTCAATTAGTTAGACACATCATCTACTACCAAAGGAGATAAATACCTATTGAATTTTCAAAAATAATCTGTAAAAAAATTCTATGATAAACTAAAAATATATTATTATTTACGCTATTGAGCCTTATATGCTATAAATTACATAATATAAAGATTCATAGTCTTCATTAAGAAGGCTTTCATAAATTCTTTTGTAATCTTTGTCAAATTATGTAGACCTATAATTTTCTATAATCAAAAGAAACATTTCTTCACCATTGATCTATATACCCTTTTAAACATCAATAGGAATATATTCCTCTTCAAATGCTTTAAAATAATCTATCATAAAAGATCTAAAATTTATCTAAAACTTGAAGGTAGTTTTGTTTATCCTAATTCAATTTGCTAGTATCTTATTTATCAGATTCTATCTAATATCTTATTAATTATCATTAATATTGATTAATTTAACTCCTTTTGTTTAATTATTTAACTAGCAATCAATTAAATAATAATTAATTTATCATAAAAAAAATAATTATTCATTTATTTTCTTTATCAACTTCAAATTTAAATTTTTATTATTTTCATTTATCATATACAATAATTGTTAGTAGATTTTTCAAAAAGCTTTGCCAACTTTATTTTTTTTTAGTCACTCTGATTCACAGAACTAGAATGCTCATAAACTTACATTCCATTCATATGTAATTAAAACTTATCTTTTTGCTCCTATATTTCTTCTACTTCGATTTGTCCTTATTCCTATTTGCATTTAAATCAAAATAGTTCTTTGTAAATACATTATCAACCACTAAAAATAAACCTTTTATCTTCTTAGAATTGTAATTTAAAAAAAATCAAAATGATATTTAAAAAATATTTTAAATTACTTAAATAAAAAAAATATTTATTTAATTATGAAAAAAATAATATAGTAATATAACATTAATAATACATTGTATCCAGTAATTAAAAAATACTTAGATGCTAATTGATTGACAAGTTAATCTCTTAAGTATAATCATGAAAAAAATGAAAAGATAATCATTTTTACAATAGTACTTAATAAAATAAAAATTACATAAATTTAATAATTTTTAAATATTTCATAAATTAATATAACATGAAAAGTTTCATCACTTTAAATAATTAAAGTATGATGTTAATCAAATACAATCTTTTTCTGAATAAACTTTAAAAAAATTAAAATTATATACAAATATTTCAAATAAAGTAACCCTTGTATTTTTATATATCATATCTGTTATGTAAAAATATTTCAAGATTAAAAATTTTTTTTCTTCTATCAGGTGCTTCAAAACCTTTTTTTAATTTCTATTATTTATTTATTTTATATTTTAGTAAATAATATTTATTATTCTACTAAACAAACACATATTTTAACTCAAGAAATAATTATCCTAAAATAGCTTTAATCAAATCCCATAAATTTATTACAACCCCAGCTTAAAAATGAGTTTGTTTAAATATTTAATTGAACAAAAGAAGATTTAGTTACTTTAATTTATTAATTGTTTCTGATAAAACCATAAATTTTAGTAGTTGTTTTAAAAAATTATTTTACATCAAATTTGTTACTATTAAATTCTATAATTATTTATTGGCTTTCCTGTTCATTAATTTACTTTTTGGAGCTGGCCAAAAAAAAAGTATAATTATTAGATTGTTTTTTGTCAGAAAATATTGCAATCATTGCAGCATGGCTAATTTTTCTCTTGTTACTCTAGCTTAATATCATTAATACCTACTCCTTCTTCTTTTTTGCCTTCTGGATCTGCAACAACAGTGTTATTTTTTTCTTTTATTGGTGAAGCTGTAGCTGATTATGTATTTTTAGACTTTTTTTTCTATTCATCTTTATCTTGAGTTACTTGTCTCATTGAAGATTCTTTAATAGCCAAGGAATTATCATTACCCACTGAAGCAACTTGCTATGATTTTTATAATTTTTCTGTCTGGCTACCCTTCTATTTCTCTAGATTTTTGTTTATAATATTGTTGTTATTATTATTATTATTATTAGTATTGGTATTCATATTTTATTCATCATTAAAAGGGATCGAGAAACGCTTAAAGTAAAATTTATAACAGTCATCAACTAATATTTAAATAAATTAAAAAGATAAAATATAATTTGTAACTTAAGCATTTTTTTGTTAAATTCTCATAAGCTGATTTGAAAAAATCTATCAATTTTGTTTTATTAATTGGAAATCAAGCTATAAGCTTTATATATATAAAGCTATAAAAATGTATAGGAAAATGAAGTAACTTAGGTCAAAAAACTAATAAAATTTTATTTATATTTATTATAACTTTTTATTCATAGTAATAAGCTAAAATAGAAAAATATTTTAAAGAAAAAATAAATTTATTACTGATTTTCTTGGCGCTTTGAAAACTATATTTATCTTAGAAATCAGGATAATTTTTACTAAAATATCTTAATAAAGCTGTCATTTCTGTTAAAATAAAAATAGAATCTTTGTACACTCTTTATTTATCCTCTTCAGTAAAAGGAAATTGTATTTTTCCTTCTCTAGCTGGTATTCTTACTCTAATGAACAAATGCAATTATTCACACACATCATACGCTACGAAAGGACTTAGATACCTATTGAATTTTCAAAAAAAATCTGTAAAAAAACTCTATGAGAAAACTAAAAATTTATTATTATTTACCCTAGTGTTGATTTTATGTTATAAGTTACAAATTTTAAAGATTCATAGTCTTCATTAAGAAGGCCTTCATAAACTCTTTTGTAATCTTTGTTAAATACTTGAGACCTATAAGTTTCTTATAACAAAAGAAACATTTCTTCACCATTGATCTATATACCCTTTTAAACATCAATAGGAATATATTCCTCTTCAAATGCTTTAAAATAATCTATCATGAATGAACTAAAATTGCTCTAAAACTTGAAGTTAGTTTTGTTTATCCTAATTCAATTAGCTAATATCTTATTTTTCAGATTCTATCTAATATTTTATTCATTATCATTAATGCTTTTGTTTATTTATTTAACTAGCAATTAATAAAAAATAATTAATTTATGTATAAAAAAAATAATTATTTATTTATTTTCTTTATCAACTTCAAAGTTAAATCTTTTTTATTTTCACTTATCATATACAATTATTATTAGTAGATTCAAAAAGCTTTGCGAGCTTTCTTTTTTTTTAGTCATTGTGATTTACAGAACTTCAATGCTCATTAACTTACCTACCATTCATATGTAATTACTTGAATAATTATTTGATTAATTAAAGCTTGTCTTTTTGCTCCTATATTTCTTCTACTTCGATTTGTCCTTATTCCTATTTGCATTTAAAATCAAAATAATTCTTTGTAAATACATTATCAACCACTAAAAATAAACCTTTTATCTTCTTAGAATTGTAATTTAAAAAAATCAAAATAATATTTAAAATTACTTTATAAAAAAAATATTTATTTAACTATGAAAAAAATAATATTGTAATTTAACATTAATAATAAATTGTATCACTAAAAATTATGTTAAAATCACATTTTTTACTATAAAGTAAGAATAAACCAGTAATTAAAAAATGCTTAGATGTTGATTGATTGACAAATTAATCTCTTAAGTATAATCATGAAAAAAATGAAAAGATAATCATTTTTACAATAGTACTCAATAAAATTATCATTACATAAATTTAATAATTTTTAAATATTTCATAAATTAATATAACATGAAAAGTTTCATCGCTTTAAATAATTAAAGTATGATGTTTATCAAATACAATCTTTTCTGAATACACTTAAAATAAAATTAAAATTATAAAAATTTTTCATATTAAATAACCCTTGTATTTTTATATATCATATCCATTATATAAAATATTTATATCTGTTAAAATAGTAATAAATTTATATGTTATTATTTACAAAATACTAGTAAAACTAACTTTTTTACCCTATATCTAGGTTCTTTCATATTAAAGTACTTTTTAAAAAAATATAGATTTAAATTTCAAAAGATGAATTTAAGCTAATTGGTCTTAAATTAAGAAAAAGTAATTACATTTTAAAATATATTTAATAATATCCTTTTTTTTAAATAAAAATAATATTTAAAAAATATTTTCCAAAATGCAAGTTTTATGATTATATTTATATTATTTTTAAATTAAATTAAATGATTTGTCATTTTTATTATTGAAAAAGATAATAAATTTAATGACTTTAAAATAAATATATATTAATCCTTTTAAATATGTTTTAAAAATAATTTAAATATTTAAATATTTATACTAAAATAAAACATAAGAGATTAAATTGTAGTATATATATTAAATAACATTTGGCGTATATCCTTTAACTAACTCACAAAATCAACTAATAAAGTTAGTTAATTCTTTTTATTCTAAAGAAATTCCTTTGAAAAAACAATAATTTTTTAGATTTATTTTTATATTGTTAATAAAGCACATACATAATTTTGATAAAAAGAACATGAAAACAATAATAATAGGATTAATACTAACAGTTTCTCTACCTATATTAACTGGTGTTGCTATTGTTTTAACTATATTCTATTAACAACTGTGGATTGCTCTTGTTAATTGGTAATTTATTATATCTTCATTTATCATTATTGTTTTAGCAGATAATGTTGAATTTATGCAATTTAAAATGTGGAAATAAATGCCTCATTATCCAAAATATTTAAGGGAACTAAATCTATTTAATTCAAAAATAAATAGGGAATAAGATGTAGCTATCTGGATTGATTAAACATAAAAATAAGTAGTATTTAATTCTGCTCTATCACAAAAAATTTTGGAGCAATATAGCTTCAATTAAGTAAGTAGAATTTTCTGATTACATTCACTACAACTAATTTAATGATTTTAAAAAATGAAATTCTAAAGCTTCAATTACATATGGTTGTTATTAATAATTTGCTTTCAAAGTTTTAGGATTCATCAATCATAGGTAAGCTGTTTAATTAGTTTATTTCTATTATGTTTAAGTTTTAATCAATATTTTAAACGTAGACAATCCTAATTCTACTTTCACGATATGTTCATACAGGGATTTGATATTCAACTAATGCCCATAAAATGTTTATGATTAATTAAATCAAAATTTATTTTATGTAGATTTATATTTTGTTAGATCTGTCTTTTAATTTAGTTTACTAACAGCTAAACAAAAACACTTCATTGAAATGGTATTTTTAATTAATAAATACTCTTATTTATGTTGATTAAATACAGAATATCAAGGTTTCTTTTTATGCTAGAGCTGCTTTTTTAGCATATCAAACAGGAGGCCTTATTTAATTGATATATTTATACAACTCAGATACAACATCTATTTTATATGGGGTTCCTTCTAGGTATTTATTAAATTTGTTCTATTTTTGTAGTTAATTTATATTATTGAAGCTATTATAATTATACGAGCTGTGATTATGAATATTGTAATGGTGACAATTTTATTGAGCCATATGATCCCAGATGCAGACCATGGTATTAGTTTGCTGAATAAAATAAAGGTATATTAAATTTTATTATTTGATAAAAGTGATTATTTATTTTTTTTAAATAATAAAATAAAAAATATTCTTAAATAAAAAACATATGAATATATATATATATTTTTTCATTAAGAAAAATGATGATAATTAATTAATTAATTATTGTGTTTGCCAAAAGAATTTTATACTGAATTATATAAACCATACCATCTAATTAATACATATATTTTTATACCGTTAATATTCTATTTTAAGGTGAGAAAAAAATATAATTTTCTTCAATAACTTTCTCCTTAATTTAAAATATTTTAAAAAATTCTATGATAAGAAATAAGTGAATACTTTATGATAACTTAAAGTATAGATTTTTTTATTTTTTATTTTAGGATTTTATTTTTATGAGCCTTACGATGATGCAGTAGGATAAATTCTAATTATGACTCTTTCTAGTTAGGTTGATAATCAAAATTAATTTTATTCAGTAAATAGCATAGATTTTGTTATAGGAGACTTAATTTAGATGTAAAATAGTACGTTAAGCTAGAATGCTTATTCTGTACTTTTCCACGAGTTCAATTCAACAGTAAAATATCCAAAATTTATTTGTTTAAAAAATCGTAATTAAATCATCATAAAAATAGGTATTCTATCATCCTTTTTAAATGTTCTATGAACAAAAACCTTGGCCAGATTTAGAATATTTGAACATAAATTAATTTTGTAGTGACACAGATCAATAAATGAATAAATGTCTTAGTTAAAAATAAGAATTCTCAAATCAATTACAAGCAACTCTAGAATTTATCCAAACAGGAAACTACTCAATAGATGAATAAATAAATTTAGATTCACTATACTAAAAATGGGAAAGGTTTGGATAGAAGCAGTATTATTTATTTATTTAGTTCATGTTAATTTAAAAAACATAAAAAATATTTTATTTAAAAAGGCTAAGCATAGTTATTCCCATATAGAGCTCTTTAAAAGGAATTAATAGCTAAAGACCTTATTCTTATGCTATATTAATGACAGCAAGAGTTATATCAGATTAAACAGATAAGTTTATGCTATTCAACCTGTTTAATGAGAATTAAATAAGGTTACCACTCATTTTTGAATTTTTATTGATAAGCTTCATTGTATTCGCCTTTATATTAAATTATGGCTATTTTCTCATTTACTAAGTTCAAAATCCAATACAGTTATTAATTTTGTTTTTGAGAAGAAGTTACATGCAACAGTCAGCTTGTAAAAGCTAAAAAGATAAAATAATTAAATAAAATTATTTAAAATAAAAAACAGATAATTTTAGAAATAGCAAAAAGTCTTTCAAATCAAGTAGTAAATTAAATATAAAATAATTAGATGAATAGGGAAGTGCATTCTATCAGATATAATAAACTGACGTTAATATTCCATTAAGCTTTAATTAATAATATTCCATTAATCAAAACTACAATTTTTAGAAAGCTGTTGAGTAATAATAATTAATTTTTACAGATCATAATAATACAAATAATTCTAAAATTAAGTTAAATCATTTGGAAATGAAATAATTTCTTGAAATTAATGAGCCGTCTCCAAAATAACAAAATTTTATATTTAGCTCAAATAAATTGTCTCAAACATAATCAATATTAAAAAAGACAAATATTTAAAGTTGCTTCTTAGATTAAATTAATTCAAAATCTCCATAAACGTAGTCATTTAAAAAAGAAGAAAATCAAGTTTTAACTTAAAAAAAAACTGTTTTTAATATTAACATCTAAAAATGTGATGAAAGAGATTAAAGCTCTAAATCAAATTATAAAATTGATAATGTATCTTTAAAAATGTAAAATAAAGATAGTGTATAGACTAAAATAAAAATTCTTTAAGGATTGAAACCTTTATTTTTAGAAATGAAAATAATTAAAAAAACATTTTAGGATTTAGAGGAACTTATAAATTACCAGATAGATGCCTTGAATTAAAATTCTGAAGACACATTAAATACACTTTTCCATTTTTCGAGAGCTAAGATGACATTCTAAAGGCTCAATAATTAAGCAGGACTTAGTAGATGCTATTTTAATATTGGCATAATATATCTCTTAAAATAAGAGTACAATCTAGCAGCAGAGTATTTTGAATCTGCAATATTAATTAGTTTAGAAATACTTGGTATTGACTATTTAAGCTTCATTAATTAAAAGATAGTGTTTAAATTTGAAAAAGAATCAATCAACTAAGTCACAATTTTATGTAAAAGAATAATATCTAAAGCCTATTCAAATAAACAACAAGCTTTTTAGCATATTTACAGTGATGATTATCATTTAAACGATTTTGAGTAAAGTTACGATAGCATAACAGATCATCCTAAATAAAATTAAAATCTATCTTATAATTAAATCAATGATAGATATTATCACATTTATTTCAATTTATAAAAATCATTAAATTCTTATTTAATAGCAAAAAAAATTATTTTTGGAAATAATTTAGATTTTTCAAATTTGTTTAAAATATTTTTATATCAGGAAATCCTAGAAATATACATTTTTTTTGGTGATAATAAATAAATAAGCTGTTATCTTGATGAGCTTAACTAGCTTTTTTAGAGATTAGATGGCATAACAAGTTAAATTAAGGAAATTCTTTTAAGTAAGCAAAAATAATTATTAGGATTGATTGAAAGTAAAAATTAAAACAACTTAAAAGCAATGGAATATTTTATATAATCCATAGAAGAAGGTTAATTCTATAGTCCTTCATAAAGAAAAAGAACGATTTTTCATATTAAAAAATAGCTTTAAACAATTTAAAGTTGTGACTAAAATGATATTAAATTAAATGAAAATATATAAAATGATTACGATTTAAGTATTTTATTAGAATTGGATTATTAAATGTAGTATTCTACTGTTGAAAATACTCTATAGAAAATTAAGAATTTAAATTGCTTTAGCAATTCAGACAGGATTTAAATTTTAATATATCACTCACAACTCAATTAATTAATGCCATACAGAACTTTAGATAGTGAAAGTGACTGGAATTTAATTTTAAATTCTATTAAAATAGTAGAAAAGACAATAATATAAACAAATTAAAAACAGCTAAATTGGTTGTAAGCTCTTTGCTAGTCATTTAAATACATATTTGAAATTAATAGCTTAAATCAGGTGGATTTTGAATAATTATTTGATATTTTTAGTAAAGGTGAATAAAAGCTAATAATTAAAAATAAATCAAAAAATGAAGCAGAAAAAAGAAAAAAAATTGTTTGTATTTTTTCAAAATATTTAAATTTAGATTAATAAATCATCAAGCACAATCTATAAAATATATCAAATTTATTAAAATTACAATAACTAAATATATATCACATATAAGAATATTCACTAATACAAAGTATTCAAAATTTAGAATTTTCATTTTCAACTACCAGTTTGCATTATGAGTCTTTTTTTGATAACGCCTAGTTCATCAATTAATTAAACAATCTAAAAAAGGCAGATAAATTAAATGAATAACATGAATTCTTAGCCATTCTAAATAATTCTTGAATATTTATGAGTATTCTTTAAATCAAAGCCCTTTTATAATGAATATAATTCTGTTTTAATAATAAAAGCTAAAACAATCAAATGCTAACTGGAAGATTGATTAATAGTATATGCCATACAAAAAAATAATTAAAAATATAAATTTTTAATTTCTTTTGTCAGAAATTTGTATATAAAAACTATTTTATTGTACTTAAAAAGTATTATAAATAAGCAAACATATAAATTGGTTTAAATTTTAGAACATTCATTTTTTTAAAAGTAGCAATAATTTGAATAAATTTTTATTTTTAAGCTAACTTTAAAGTATTTAAAAACTTTAATTCAAATTAATCGTTATTTAATTTTTTTATTTTTCTTTAAATAAAGTATTCTTTGATTTCTTGTTTATTTTAATTTAATTTTTTAAATATTTCATAATAATTTGTTAATTAAGACATTTATTTTGCTTAGTTGTTAAATTTATAAAGTGAAAATTATTTTTTAGTTTTTAAATTTTATCTTAACCTTAGGTAATTAATTTTTTTATTTTTTAATTTTCCTTTTTTTAGAGAGTTAGACTTGTAGATAATAAATTCGCTATAAATCTAAAAATGAATGATTTATATTTTAATTAGTTAACAATATTTATAAGTTATTATATTATACATATATGATTAAAATAATTATTTTAGTTTTTCCTATTATATTAAAATTTGTTGAATTATATATGCTATGTTTGTTTGCAATATTGTAATTGAGTTTTATTTAAAGGACAAAATATTCATTACACTCTTTTTTAAACAACCAAAAACTTTTAAATTAATTCAAAGTAGTAGAAACAAGCCTTAACATATAAAAAATTAATAAGTTTGTTAAAATTCATCAAAAATCAAAAAATTAGAAAGAAGAATAAACATATTTTAGGTAAAAAACATAAATTAATGAGTAAGGTCAAAGATAAAAATGAAAGTAAATTTTAGGCCATATTTACAAGCTTTTATTTAGTCAATTTTTAGAGTTAAAATAGGATTTATTTGCAGGCGCTAAACAAAAAGTATAATTTTAAAAGTTCATAAAAATTAATTATTGAGATAATAAATATGTGAGATTAAATGAAATTATATTTCGTTTATTAGGAAGAAAATTTTTCGATTTAGTCATTAAAGAGTAGTAATAGTCATATTAGGGAATCTGCTGCGTTGATGGATAAGTATGTGGATTCATTTTCTTTGATTTCTTAAGGCATCAGTAAAATTTTTAATTTATTTAATCATTTAAGCTAATTTAAACATCATTAATAAAAAGATAGCGGTACTAAATAATTAGAAGGAATTGACAATGTTTATTAGGGTAATTTTATTTATTTATTTATTCAATAGCTATGGAATTAACTTTTACTTTTTATAAAAACTAGCAAATCAACATAAACTTTTATAAGGATAATTTTTGTAAAAAGAATTGCATAAGAGGTAAATTTTTTTTGCTTTTAATAATATAATAAATAACCTTCCTTATTTTAAATAGAAATTAGAAAAATAAGCTAATGGTTTAAGGAAGCTTTTTTTTCTTGATCTTTGTAGTTATTTTTATTTTCTTAAGAAGATTGTTTTTTAGAGATTTATATAAATGGTAGTGGTTTAATTCAGCTACTACAACATTTGATACTCTTCCAAGCAATGCTGAATTTATCCTTTCAGGGTAAAATCAGCATACTTAATTTACTATTTCAGATGGATCTCTTTGAAAATAGAACGTGTAATAATTTTGCTGAAAGTTTTAAAATATAATAATTATCTGTATTTAAAGGTTAATAATTTATTTATAAAGCAATATTTGTATTCATTAATTAATTAAGTAAATCAATTTTCGTTGTAAAATTGTTAAAAATTAAATTATTATGAATAAAAATACTTTAATATAACTTAAATTAACTCATTTTAATATTTGCTTAATATAATATACCATAATTATTCTAAAAAAAGATTTTAATTTATCAATCAATTATCAGAAAAAAATAAATTGAAACAACTTTTGCCAATTTTTAATAATTTTTTAAAAATACTCAGTTAACAACAATAAAAATTATATTATATAAAAATTAAAATTTATTAAATTAATAAAATAAAAATTAAGAACTTTTCTAGGAATTTATTAAAAAATGAATGATTAAATTTTATAAGTTTAATTCTTATAAAAGTTTTGTATAATATTTAGAATCCCTCTTTACATTTTTATTTTCAATTTAAGTAGATATTAATTAAAAACGGCTATATTCAAAATATTGTAAAATCCATCCTTATAATAATCAGAAATAAAAAACATAAGTTAATATTTTTTATTTTATTTTGATGGAGATTAAAATATTTATTTATTATTTTGAGCATTTAATAAAAACAAATGTAATTTTTTAAATCAAAATAAAATAATTGCTATCTATATTTTGAATATTTTTTTATGCTTAGCTAATAAATATTGAGCTAAGAAAATATATACTTATAAGCTAAAATGAAGTAGGCAATATTTCTTTTTATCAGATAGTTTTTTTCTAAAGGCGAAAGATCAAAAAAAGAGAGAACAAAAGAATGAAGCTGCTTTGTTTGTTTTTTTGAATGAATCAGTTCTTTAGATAGATATTTAGTAATTATTTAATAATTATTGTTATAAAGACACACACACTCTCTCAATAATACAAAGAAATATGTGGGGTAATACTGATGATATGATTTCCTTTAATATTTGTTTAGATAAATTATTAGAAAAGATTTAACAAATAAAAAAATATTAAAACAAAAAAATTAAACCAAGCGCGTATTAAACAAACAAACAAGCAAGCAAATAAGCAAAGAATAAATAAATAAATATATAAGTAAATTAAGAATTAGAAACAACAAGAAATAATAAAAGAAAATAGGAAAAGATTTTGTAGAAGTATGCAACTAAAGTAGTCTTAAAAGGAGTAGATTAGAAATATCATCAATTCTAAGCTTTCCAATAGCAAGTATAAAAAATTGTTTTCAAACATTCCTCTAAATTTAGTTTATTATTAAAAAGGAGAGGAGATGAAATATCCTCTTAAGTTGAAGATAAGGTCATAGATTTGATTGAGAGATAGAATTTCTAAAGCAAAGATAGTCTCCAAGATAAATTGTAAGGAGAATTAAAGGACATTTTAAAAGAAAGTAATAAGAAAAATTTGATTTTTTGAAAAATAAATTGTTTAGCTTGTGAAAATTTAATTTTTTACCTGTTTAACATTATTTTTTTATTTAATAATCTAATTAGACGCTCATCATATTAGTGAATCAGTTTCTAAGGTAATTTATAGCAGCAACTATGATAATAGTGGCAACTCTGCCTAAAAAGATGACGATTATGAACAAAATTTATACAAGAACAAATTCTACTCAGAGTAATTAATTCTATTCATGATATCTTTTCAGTTTAAAGAAAATTAATTATATAAATTGAATATTTAGATTTTATAAAATGTTTATCATTTTTTATTCTTAAAATTTCAAATATATCTTTTTTGAAACTTAGCCATTCGGATAATTCTGATGATGAAGACGACGATGATGATGATAGAAGAGACAAGAGAAAGAGAAATTGTAAATAAATAAAAATATTTTTTTTTTAAGCTAACTTTTGATAATTTGCATAATTAGTTAAGAAAAGACTTAGCATTTAGCAATCTGATATATAAAGCGATAACGAAAATAAAAGTTTGAGAAGCGACTCAGAAGGAAGAGAAGGAAATAAAAGGGTTAGCAGAAAAGATAGCTATGCTAGTAATCATAGTGGGAAGAGAGATTAAAATAAGGATGAAAAAGACTCTCATTATAATTCAAAATAAAACTATAACTAGAACAATGGAAAATACCAAAACAATAAATACAACAATAATAATAGTAGGTTTAAAAATGATAAAAAAAATTTAAATAACAATGGAAACAATAAAAGATTAAGTAATGGACCAGCAGCTCCTTTACCAACTTTCATGAGTATGAATAATGGAGGAATCATTCCAAATTTACTTACTAATAATCCTATGATGAATTATCCCATGCCTAATAGTCTAAATTTAATGCAACCTTTTAGCGGTATATTCAATCCAAGAGTAGGTCCTCCTGCACCTCCTACAGGAAAACCAGTCATCTCTTAAGCTGGTACTGGTGCTCCTTCTATAACTCTATCAAAATCTAAAAATATTATTTATGTCTTTTACATACCACCTAAATTGAATAATGTTACTAAAATTAGTTAGTATTTCACAAATAAATTTGGAGCTGTTTCAGCTTATGACAAAATTGATGAAACCACTGCTTCAATAAAATTTGAAAAAGAAGAATCTGCTTAAAAGGCAGTAGATTCAAAAGAAAAGCCATTCAGAATAGAATAAATTGTTGTAACTTTTACTAGAAGCCCAGCTCCTCCCAAACCAGCATTTGTGAACAAAGGCAATAATTAAAACAATAATTAAAATGGTGGAAAATCCACCTTGCATAGGAAGCCTAGCATCGATGGATCAGAACCTGCCAAATAAAAATTCATAAAAAATGAAAACAACAACAGTACCACTTTTAACAACAACAACAACAATAATAATAATAGCAACATCAACAACTAAAAACCTAAGCTAGCAATTAATTTTGAGCAGAAGAAAAAGCAAAAGCAATTTGATGAACAAAAAAGATTAATTTAACTAAAATTTGCAGATAAGCTTAAAGTGATGATATTCATAAAAAAAAGGGAATAAAATCCTGAAAGCGAAATCCGTTAAGAAGTTCAAAAATCTATTGATTAAATTAAATAAGTCAAAGATGTACTATCAAAAGTATAAACTCAAGAAGATCTTTAATAAGTAGAATAGCATGAATTAATCGTTGAAAATCAATATGAATTTGCTCAAAAAATACGTTTCTTAGAAGGAAAAGACATGAGTTTGACTGAGTTACGTCCTAAGTTACTTGTAAAATATGAAAGATGTTATTTTTATTTAAACTTTAATTATTATTGTTTAGGAATATGGAAAAGTAGAAACTTTGAAGCCTCACATTATGGAAAAAGCTGTTGATATATGTTTTAGCGATTTTGAATCATCAGAAAAAGTAAATAGATTAACAAATTTAGACCATTGATAAATAAATTAATTAATATTTAATAGATTTTTATTTTTTTGTTATTAATTTTTAGGCATACTTTGGATTACAAGGACAATATAATATAGAGTTCATTCATTAGCATATTGTTAAATTTTTAAAAAATCCTTTCTAACCTTAGGATGAAGCTTAAGAAGAATAAGAAGAAGGAGGAAATTAGTTAGATCAAAATATTGAATACTAAGAAGATGAATAATAGGGAGATTAAATTTAACAAGATTAAGCAAACGAAAATTAAGAATAGTAATACCAATACGATGAAAATAATGAGGAATACTATGAAAACTAAGAATAAGCTTAGGAGGGAGAAGAATACTAAGAGAATATTGCTGAATAAGATGAATAGCAATAATAATACTAAGAATTATAAGATAATTAGCAAATTCAAGAGGAGGACCAATAAGTTGATGATGATCTTTGAGAAATTATAATTTAATTATACTTGAACAATTATCTACTATTTAGAAACAGCATTTAAAATATTATCATACATAATAATAGCTTAACTAATTACTAAATGAAGTTCAATAATATTAATTTATTCACAATGTTTGTTTAGCTATAATTTCAGAAATCTAGCAACAACCTACCTATCAATCAATCATCATTTCTAAACTATCTATCAATCTACCTACCTACCTACCTACCTATCAATCAATCTAACTACTAACTGATGGTGTAATTAATTTTTCTAGATCAATATAACTATCTAATTAATAAATCATAAACCAAACTAATAAATAAATAAAGTATTCACGTACTTACTTGCTTAATTACTTACTTACTTACCCACTAACCCATCATATTTATTAGAGTTTGGATAATTTTAAATTAATTTTTTCAATTATTTAACTAAAAATAAATTTTTATTAACATTTTATATTAATTAACAAAATATATTTACAATTAATTACTTAATGTATCTATTAAATATATATTTTAGGTTGAATCCGTAACAATCAGATCTATCTCTTTTTACTAAAATTCTTATTTAAAATCTAATTTACTAATTAATTTTTTATTTATTTATTTATTAATTAACATTTATTATCTTAGTTTGTTTTAAAATCTTAAATAATTAAAATTTGTTTGTTTATATAAATTTCTTTTAGAAAAATAAAAATCAGCTCCATACTTTTGATGTATATTATGCTGTAGTTATTTGTTAGCATAAAATTATTGTATAATTTTTAAAAGAAATAAAATTATTTTTTAAGAGTTTTTATCGATATAAATATTCTTATTAAAAAACATAAATTTGAAAAAAAAGTTACATTGATAAAAATTAAACTTCTATTTAATCTTTTTATTTAAGAGATACAGTTTTTATAAAGAAAATAAAATATTTTTAAATTTAAGATAGAAAATATTGTTACTTTCAGCAAGTTGGAAATTTATTATTAAAATGTTTAATTCTTCTAATCCTTGGATTTGAATTTTATTTTCATTTTGAATTTTGCAAGTTGAAAATTTGGTCAAAGCATGCTAGGTATCCACCTGGAACCAAACATAATATATATCCACCGTGTTATCAAACATGGAATATAACACCTCTAAAAATTGGTGGATATCTAACATAGCATGAAAATATTTATGGCAGATTTTGATTTATAATATTGTTTATTTTACAGATCACTATTATATAATTAATTATATTAAAAATTATTTTAAATTTAGAAAATAGAGTGGTTGAAAAATTAAGGTTTTCTTAAATTCATTTTTCATCACTGACTAAAACGAATTCAATAGGATTTAGATAAGGAGATAGATAGTGGTGGATTTTGTTAAATTTTAATATTTTATTTATTAAACCAATCTTATGAATTTTTGTATTGTTAGACTTATTGTTTTTAACTCTTTCTTGTAATAAAAAGTAACGCTAATTCCTGTTTAATTTATTTTTAAATAGTAAAAAAAATTCTAAAATAAAACTCTAATATGTCTCACGATTTACTTTTTATTTTTTAAAATATAAATCAGTTTTTCCTTTTAAGGAAATAACTCTCCATGCCTTAACTTACTTATCTTTCTTTATATTATGGTTCATTATAAGGTATTATAAATTCATAATCTACTAAAGTCAATTTTGAAAGTTTATTATCAGATAAACAAAAAATTAACTCAGTCACTAAAAGCAAATCTTCAAAGTGTTCATTTATCATTTCTTCACAATAAAGAAGTAGGATAATTTAATTTCAAATTGATAGTTAGTTAGTTAGTTTTATTATTATTTTTATATTTGTAATAAAACATATTACATGTCAGTGATTTAATAAATAATTTTAAAATAAAAAAAATTATTGAAAATTAAAATGAATTTAATTTATATAAAAAATAAATATATTTTACTATTTAATATTAATCAAAGAGAAGTATAAGCAAAAATAAAGGCAATTAATTAATTTTGAGCTGAAAAGTAAAAAGATAAATAATATTTAAACTCATAAATAAATCTTTTAACCAAGCATATCAATAAGTTCGCAAAATTAAGTAAAAGCCATTTCAAGGATTTGAAAAGAAAAATTATAAAAATGGAAATAGAAAAATAGTAATAGCCTGCTTTGAATATAGTTTTACCAGGAGAGTAAATAGATTTGAGCTAGCTTACAGGATAGCTTTAAATCGATGAAAAATCGTTTACATTGACCACTGATAATTAATTATACTCAAATAAATCAGGTGTTTTAGTTGATACCTAGCTAAAAGATGGGTCCTGTGGTTTAACAGTCAAAGCTTACGCTCAAAAATATTATGCAGAAGTTGATGATTATGTTATTGGAGTAATTAAGGGTAGAGTATAAGAATATTATTTGGTTGATATTGGAGCTTAAGAAGATGCATTATTATCTTTTTATGGCTTTGAAGGTGCCACTAAAAAGAATAGACCAAATTTAAGAGATGGATCTTTGATATTTTGCAGAGTTACTGAAGCAAATAAATATATGAAAATTAAAGTTGATTGTATTCATCCTAAAATTAAAAAGTAGTGGATGACTGGAGAATCATTTTTTGGATAGTTAAAAGACGGTATGGTTTCTAATATCTCAATTGAATATGCAAGGAGTATAATAGGATAAGGAGACTTCGTATTTAGAGCATTTAAAAAATACATTAAATCTTTTGAGACAGCAATAGGTTCAAACGGTAAAGTTTGGATCAAAACACTCTAACCATAAAATACAATTTTGATCCTTAACGTGCTTAATAAATGTGAGAATATGTCTATCGAATAAATTAAAGTTTATGTTGATTAAATCTCTCCTTTGCTTGTAAAAGAATGAATGAATGAATTTATAAATAGATAATTGATTTATTATTAACTCTCTCTTCAATTATTCTATATTAACTAATATCTTTTAAATTAAATTTAACTAATTATAAAATATTTTAAATAGATTATAATTTATTCAATTTTTGTTTTATAACTTAATCCATATTTGCTCACTTATCAAAATAAAATTTTCTATTCAAAATCAGAATTTATCAATTTTATTTTTAAAAACCTACTTGCTCTTTTTATCATTAACCAGGTAGCCCTTGTATAAATCTTATTTAAAGCAAGTAATTTCATAATTAAAGAATTGTTTTAAAAATTCGTTTCAAGCAACTTTTAAAAAAAAATAAATTTTTTAAAAAGTGATGAATTTTTTTTTATAAAAAATATACGAAAAGTATTTTTCAAAATTTATTGTTTTAAATGAATGAATACAAAAAACATTTAATAGATTTAATTAATTATTTTTAAGATGCTTTTATTTAATTTTTAATTTATTACAAGCTAAGTAGAAAATTTAAATAATGCTTTAAGAAGAAAGTTGTTATTGATCAATATTTACAAATTCTTATAAAAAATTTGATTACATAAATTAGAATATCTTTTGATTTTTAATTTGCTTTAGGCTCTCAAAAATCTAGTAAAGATATTTTTGATGATATTTATTTATTATATTAAATAAAAATTTTTGATTGATTTCATGAGGTAACAAATATTTGAAATATTGATTAAACCTTTTTATAAATCAAATTAATTAAATTACAAAAATCAATTATCATTTAGTACTTAAATTAAGTAAATGGAAGACATATAGCTCAGATAATACTCAATAAAATCACAATCAAGTTAAGCTTAGGCTAAGTCAATCACTAAAAGTGGATTCACTGTTATTACAGATATGCAAAAGAAAGATGGTGGAAATGAAACAGGACCTTCTCCCGTTGAATTGTTGCTGTCTGCATTAGTAGGCTGTTAAAATATAGTATCTAGAATGATAGCTAAAAATCTTGGATTCAATATTAACGAAATTTCTTTTGACATCGTCGCTGAAAGAGACCATAGAGGTATTTGTTCTCAACCTATGATTGAAGATGCCCCAGTCTCTTCTGGCTTGTTTAGAATCTATGGTACTGCAATTGTTGACACAGATGGAACTTAAGAGTAACTTACGCAAGTGAATGAAATAGTTAAAAAAAGATCTCCTGTAGCCAGAATGATTGTTGACTCAGGATGTAAGATAGAAATAGAATGGAAAAAATAAGAATGAAACAGAGAGAAATAAAGTGATTTTGAAAAGCATTTTTATCTGTTTTGTAATGGCAGAATAATGAGTAAATAAATATCTAATATGTGTTCAAAAATGGTTCTAGAATTATTTATTTATTTCTATTGTTTGATCACTAATTTTATGAGAAACAAATATATTGGGTTTATTTTTAAGTTTTTGTAAGAATAAGAGTGGATAGATTGATAATTTATTTACTCATCCATAAATATTCTTTTAAATTATATAAAAGAAAAGATTTGTAAAAGTAGGCAATTAAAATTAAATATTTCTAAATTAATATTTATTTGTAATTTATTGTGAAATTTCAAATTAATTTACTAATTTACTTATTAACTAAATTAAGATTACTTTAGCTTTCTTTTTTATCAGAAATGTTTTTATCAAAATTAAAGATTTATTAAAATTAATTAATTTCTTCTTCTCAACTATAAATTCTTACATTAATTCATTTAGACTTTTTAAAAAAATAAATGATTATTTTTTGATAACTTTCTGCTAGAAAAGTTAACAGTTTATTCAACATTAAAATGTGTTTCATTAATATTTTTAGGATCATAATAATACACAAAATATATATTCTTTATTGGTCTATTTTAACTATTAATATACCTCAAAAATTATATTTTTTTAATTGGATTAATTTTTATTATTAAATTTATTTCATTCATGAATTTTTATCATTTTATTTAAGATAATTTTTTAAATAATTAGTTGCTTATTTAAATAAAATAACTTATATAAAATTAGATAAATATTTATTTATATATATCAAGACACCAAATACTAAATAATAAAATTTATCTATTTAAAGTGATTAAAATTAAAATTTTCATTTAAAATTAAAGATATGAATGAGTAAAGAGTTAGTTAGTTAATTTTTTTATTTTGATTTTATTTGAAATTAAATTTACTGATATATTCTATGCAAGAATTAATAAAAAAGTTGTAAATGCAAAATAATTAAAAGTAAATCTTTTACAAATAATCTAAAAAATTAATCAATTAAATATTTATTCTTTTAAAGCAATAGATAAATCAAAAATGCAATACGATAGATAATTATTTAAATTTTTTTATCTGAATTTAGTTAACTAATAAATTCTATGTAAAAATTAATAAAAATTATGTAATTGGTAAATAAATAAAAAGTAAATTTTGTTTAATATCTGGAAAGATAATCAAATTTTCTATCCTTTAAAATGTAAAATTTTTGACTTTGAGAATAAAATATTAATTCAAATAAGGTCTTTAATTATTTAATAAATTCATAAAATTTAATATTTTTATAAAACTTAAAAAAAAACTAATTAGCAAAAAAAATGGAAAAAGCTTAAATGAAAATGTATTCAATTAAATCTGAATCTAATGGCTACTAACTAACAACAAAATTAGAAAGCAATTTTACTGTCAAAACTGATTTATCTTAAAAAGCAGGAGGAAAAGGTGAAGGTCCTTCATCTATAGAGCTATTCTTAGCCTCTTTGGCTGGATGTGAAAATGTTACAGCTTAGATAATTGCGAAAAACTTAGGCTTTACTATTTTTCAATCATCATTTGACATCAAAGGAGAAAGAGACGATAGGGGATTTAGCTATACTCCTATACAAGAAGATAGTCCTTTTACTTCCAGGTTATCAAGAATTTGGGGGACAGTTTATATTGATACAGATGGAACAGATGAATAAATAGATTAATTAAATAATATCTTAAAAAAGAGATGTCCTCTTGCTAGAATGGTTATAGATTCAGGGTGTAAACTAGAAATACAATGGAAAAAGCTAGATTGATCATCTTTTTTTAAATAATATATTTATAAAACTATTGGTTTCTATTTAAAAAATTTAAAATTATGTATTTTTATTTTTTATTTGATGTAATTTAATTTTATTGCTTATAAATGATTAGTCTTAAAATCATAAAAAATAAATTAATATTTTATTAAATTTTATTTTTTTTAAATTAGTTTTTAATTAGTTTAAATTGCTACATATAAATTATTTTTAAAAATTATTGATATAAAATTCAATTATTATTTTTTTTTTAAATTTATCATAAAATATTTTTGATATTTTGCATAGTTGATTGATGAACTTTTGATTGAGAAATTCAGAAATACTTCAAAGTTTATTAAAACAAAGAAGTATTAAAATAAAAATATAAAATTAACAACTATCTAAACTTTAATCTATTACTTCAAATCCTCATTATTTATTTATTTAACAGCGTTTTAATCAAGAATTCTATTTATATATGAAAATAAAGTTGAATTGTTATTTAAAGAACAATTATTTTCAAAAATTAAGCCCTTAAAAATTTATTTACGTATTTAACCATTATCTTTGATTTTTAAACAAAAATGAAGGCATTTATATTTAAAATAATTATATTTAAAGCACTCAAACTTTTATTTAAATGGATAATTTGATTTTACAATAAGATAAATAAATAAATGCAATTTAATTTATTTTGGCTTTAAGAATATTATAAGATTGTTTTTGATTTATTAAGATCTAATTTCTTTAATTAAATCCTTTATTTCCTTAGTTGAATATAAAGAGAGAAAGTTTTGAGGAAGTTAGAATATCCAATTAGATTTTTTAATTAAAGCATCAAAAAAATTTTCTTTCTTACTTTCTAATTGGCTTATTTTCATTTCATATTGTGAAGCTTTTATTTGCTTATTTATAAAAGATTTAGATTTTATTAATTTATTTTATTGTTGTGTCTAATTATATTTAAGAATCTAATTAGCAGATTAACTAATTAACTCCAAGATATTTTTGTTTCAGAAAGTAATTACTTAATTAATAAAAAAATAGGAATTGTTGTAGTGAGTGAATAAATGAAGCAGTTAAATAAAATGGATATTTAATTAATTAATAAATTAAAATATTTATAAGAAAGATTATTTATACAATTTAGTGTTTAAAATTCATATCATTTAATTATTTATTAATATTATTTTATAAAAGATTTTGTTTATTTATTTTCACTCGTCAAAGATGATGTCTCCTGCTACATCGTATTCAATAGTGGGAATCACAGATTATAAGAATTTCAAGAAAACGAATAAGCACTAGTGGCTTTTAATTGAGCCACCTGATTAATTTATATTATCAACCATGTGTTTAATGACTTGAGAGTGTTTGCAAGGATGGAGAGATGCTTGGACAATACCTTTAATAATATATATTTTAAATATTAATTTTGAAGCTTTTCTTTGAATTGTATAAATGAAAGCCAAATTAAATTATTTATTTTTTATTTTTTGGTTTCTTTGCTTGATTGATAGCTTATTTACCTGTTTAAGGCATGACTTCAAATGTGATTGTTTTATTGGAGTAATGACTGACAATGTCTTCAAATACTTGGTTTTACTTAAGTGGCACATTATCTTCATCAACTCCTTGCAAAAATAAGTGAGGAGTGTATGTTACCAAATCATAGCAAATTGACAAATCGTAATATCTTCTTTCAATAGGAGCTTCTACTACAACAACATTATCTTTTTTTTAAATGAATGCAATTTAATATGGCTGATATTAATTAGTCTACTTATTAGTAAAAAATAAATATAATACCATCGTCATTATCTTCTTTCTTTTCTTCACCACCTTATTTTTCTTCGGTGAAATGTTCTTTGATGCTAAGTTGTCCAATTTTGGTTTCAATTATATTCTAATCGTTGTTCTTCTTTTGGTCATTAATGATATATTCTTCTTCATCCTAATAAAATTATTTTAAGCTTTAATAAGAGCTAGCTATTTGCTAATAAATGTCTTTAAGAAATGACAATCTCAAAATGCATAAATAAATTGATTATTTTCTATTTCTAAACATTATTAAAATTCTCTTTTTTGAAATACTTACTTCTTTCTCATTAACTGCAATGCTATCCATTAATTCTTAAACTCTTTGATCACAAGGAACTTTTTCCATGAGAAGATACTGCTTCTCAGCAGGAAGATATTTATTTTTATACTTTTCAGCGCTTGCGGGCATCCATTTCCATTAAGGACACATGTTGATCAATGCATCACCACTTGTTACAAATTCCTAAGGAGTCAATTTACCTTCTTCGAAAAATCTAGACTCTGTGGGAGGAGCATAAACAACAGATATTATATCATTCTTGACATTATTCAATTTATTCTTTATATTGTCATACACGTTCATTTCTGTAAGGCTTTATTTTTAAATTTATATGCTAAAATATAATTTATAAGTATTCTTCTGATTATCTTTAGAATTTTTTTCTTTTCTAATTTATTTTAAATTAATTATTTGATGTTTATTGCACTATCTAATTTTTAACGCTGTGCTTATCTGATAAAGCAGGCAGACATAAAAATTATCAAACCAATTTTTTATGATCATGATGAACAAGTAGTGAAAGCAGACTAATAGATAGATAGATATTATCTTAGAATAGAAGATTTATTAAAAATTTTTGAGTTATCTGAAATAAAATCCATCGTATCAATCAGTCAGATTTTATAATTGAAATTTATTTAAGGTTATTTAATAATATATTTGCTAAAGAAAGATTCACGAAATGCATTTCTATTTTATAGATATTTTTTAAAAGCTAAAACCAATTCTTATTAATTGAATAAAATCTATTGATTTTTTTATGATATTTAAATTCTATTATATTTTTTAAATAAATTAAATCCAATTAATTGTTATTTTCATATAAATTATAAACAATTATTAGTTAACCAAAATTTAAACAGGACTTTTTATTTAAAGCTTTTATTTTATAATTGAGTATTTATTCAATTTTTTGTTGCACAAAAATGAAATTAATTATTTGAGAAAATGAAAATGAAAATATGCTTTTGAGCTTGTTTGAAATATTAATCAAATTTTTTCTAGATTTGAACATACATAAATCATCTTTAAAATCAATTTTATTTTATAAATTTCTCTTAAGTATTCATTTTTTAGTCATTTTAAATTAAATACTTCAGAAAAATTTTTAAAAAAGTACTTAATTTTCCAAGACAATAACTTTTTTTACAAAAAATGATGGTCATTATTTTATATTCGAATTTTTAAAGTTTTTAAATTAAGTTAATAAACAAATAAATAAATAGATAGATAGTTAGTTATATAAAGAAATATATAGACAAGCTTTTTAAAGTAAATTTCTCAAAAAATAGAACAATTTTAGTTTTGTTAAATCTTTTTTTACTAATTTAGAGAGTTTTAAATTTATTACTGTTATTAAATTAGTTAGGCTTATTACATCTGCTATTAATTGTTAATTGCATGTTATTGCATGTATGTTTATTAGAAATTCATTTTTTAAGGAGAATTAGGAATGCTGTTTTTATTTATCATGTTTTAGCTGATAAATTAATTGGGATTTATTTGATTTTACTAAATATCTGAAAATATCATGAAAAAATACAGCTCGAAAATATCGAAAGGATAAAGATTTTATGGGATGATATTTAAATTTTTGAATGCCTTGCATATTTTCTTTTCTTAAAATCCAAACAATTTAGAAATCTATCTAATTCTAGATCCATATATAGAATTTGGAGTGCTTTTAATTATATTAAATAACAAAGTGCCAAACATATTTAAATATTCTAGCTACTAATTGCTTTCTATTGAAGCAACGTAAACAATAATTAGATATATTTCTTAAAAGCCTATTTTTTAGTTAGGTTTAGCTTCAAATAAATCTATAATATCAGTAGCAGTTATTTCTGAGCAGTCGATGAGTATTTCTCTTAGCAAAATAACTAATTTAAACTCATCTAAATCTATATTTTCAATGTTTACTTCTTAATTTTCATATATATGGCAAGTCTATGATTACTATTATGATGGTAAACCTTATTGTTACTGCAACTATTATTATTGTTGTTGTTACTATTATTATTATTATTATTATTATGGCATTTGCTATTCTTAAGAATTGAATAATGTTTGCTGAATCTTTTAATTTGGTTGAAATTCTCTAATAGTATTCCCTTTGTTGATGAAAGTATTTTAAAAATGCATGTTTTGATTTATTATTTATGCTTGTGAAGAGGAATTTATAGAGCGGAGAGCAGTTATTAGCCTAATCCTTTAATTTAAAAATGAATATATCAAATCAGGACCAGATTTAGATGTCAAAACATCAAAAAATGATTTATCTTTGGCAGCATTCGAATCCTTTCCAGACCTATAATTTAACTTTTGCTATATTTTCTGATATGATTTTTAAGTGTTTGTGTCTCTTTTTTCTAATTCTTTGAAGCTTGAAGTAATGCTCTTTGCAAATTCAAGTTTAAATAAGCTCATATTTAAATAATTAAAATGAAATAAATAATTAATTAATATTTAACAAATTGTCTCGTTTGGTTTGACTAACAATAATAATAATTAATTTGTTATTTAATTAAAAAATTTAATTGAATATCTAACATTGAAAGAAAGTTAAAAATTTGATGTTTTAAATTTCTTAAATACTAACTAACTAACTAATTATTTATTTCAAAATTTGCATATTTTTTTATGCAAACTCATAACAAAAAAAATTAAAAGGGATACTTTAATCCAGTAAGTAAATTAGTTAGACAATCAAATTTTTCTGAGACAATAGACAAACTAAATTTAAGAACTGGCAAATCGATTTAAAAATTAAATGATACTGGTTTTTTTAATCTAAAAGGTTGTAAAAATCAACACCTTAATAATAATCTCTCTATTATTTGATTAAATATGATTTTAATAATTATTTAATTTTTCTTCTATTAAAATAATAAATCTAATAGTTTTAAAAAAAACAATTTTAAATTAAAAGAATAATTTTTAATAAATTTGGAAAAATTAAAAATAATATCATAGTTAATTAATAATGAATAAATGAATAAATAAAATGGAAAGAATTAATATCATAAATAAATAAATAAATAAATGAAATAAGAAAGGATATGTAAGGCACAATTTTGTAACTCCTCAAAAGTGCAAGGTAAATTGGCCGTTTAACCAGGCACCCATACTTGAGAAGATCGTTTAATAGATGTTACAAGAACACGAAGTTTTAGAATGCTGTTTTGAATCAAGCTTACTATTATTACTGGATATATACTAATTATTATTTACATTATTCTAATTATTTTTGCTGTTGTTGTCTTTCTACTCTGGCTCAGACTACGCTAGATATTTTTATGACTTTGATTTTTAATCTTGCTGATTTTTTTGATTCTTGTCTATTTGTGATTACTAGTTGGAATAATGAGATTTTTCAATTTAGTGGTTTTTATTATTTACACTAACCATATCAATATTATTCACATGTATTTAATTATTGTTTTCTCCTTGTTGTGGTTTATCATCAGGATTAGAGCTGTAACTGCTCGAATCTTCATTGGAAGAAGACTCTGAGCTTTAAGAATCCTGCTCATTTTGGTCACTTGATTCTTGTGATTCACCATTTGGAATCGTATAGACAGTGACTTATGGCACAATGTTTACACTTTTTAACTTTGAAGATCCACCAGAATCTTTTGAATGAGATTTTGAGCTTAGAATACTTTTTATCTTGCTTGTAGCCGAACCATCTCCTGAGCTGTGAGAGCTGCTCTCTCTGATTCCTTTATCATCTTTATTTGCTTTCATTTCTTCATCTATCTCGTTCATTTTTACTGTTGCTATATTTGGATTGTTGAAAATTGAAATTTATTGGTTGCTGCTTTTGTTATTCGCAGATCCATACATATTTGATGACTTATTTATTTATTAATGCAAAGCAATAGCAGTAGCATCATCTTCTACATGCTACATTCCTTATTTTCGAAGTTAACCTTCCTTTTAATAATTCAACCGCTGCATTTGACAATATGAATTACCTGTTTATAAGATAAAATTGTATCATCCCACTAGCCTAACTAACTAAATATTAAATTAATGGATTAGCAAAGTAATTTTACTTAGTTTTTTTTAGGAAAAAGTTAATTCTACCTTCTGCTTTATTGCTGAATTCGAAAGTGAAAGCAGAGTTAAATATTATAATCGAATACTGCTCGCTATATATTGGTCTGTTAGATGTTTGTATGTTAAAATTTTATTTTATATAAAATAATGATTTATTTACTTCAATAAAATGTGTTTATTATTTATTAAATTATAGAAGTGATTATTTATATCGAGCAATCAAATAGTGCTTAATTATATTTCGCTCAAAACATTCAATCTTCAATTTTCTAAGAAAAAGCTAAATTAGATGTTTTAATCAAAAAAGATGTTTTTTTATGACTATTAAAATTTGCAATTACAAAGACCTTATTTTAATTTACAGCTTACAACAAAAATAATAATCTTTCACAAAATACTTACAAAATCTAAAGTATTTTGTTAGAAAGTTAATTAATTCAGATAAACTTTACACATTTTTATAAGATAAAATCCTAAATTTATCTTGCTTCCAAAAAAATAAAGTGGGTTAATTAAACAAAAATCTGTAATGAAAAAAAATAGTAAACATATTGTTAGCTTGGTGATTTTATGCAAAATTTTAAATTATTTAATTGATTTTCAACATAGTTAAAAATTTAATCCTACAAAAAATTATTTCTTTCTTCCTAATTTTTTTTTTCTTTATTTATGCTTTATGCAAAATATGGTAAATCATATAATCATTGAATAGGTTATTCAAAAAAGTTATTTCAAAGAAAATAAAATGAAAAAAATATTAAAAACAAAAAAATTTTAGCCATTTTTGTTATATTTTATAAGAAGCTAATATCAAAATTTGACATCTATTAAAAAATAAACAACTAAGTAGTTAGGTAATTCTATTTAATAATTTGACATCTATTAAAAAATAAACAAGCAAGTAGTTAGGTAATTCTATTTAATATATTGTTTATTGAATACTTTTTGAACAAAAAAAAATTTGATTAATTTCAACATCAAAATCAACTTTTAATTTTTCTCTTGGAAATTCCTTTTTTTGTATTTTTAGATTATTAAATAAGAAGCTCTTATGATTGAATTTAGAGATCTGTCCCATCTACAATTGCGTGTCCCATTTTAGCAAAAATATGTCCAACTTCTTTGTAATTTTAATCATCCCACTCATCTTCAGCATCATCTAAATAACCGTTTAAATCTATAGGGTGTAAAACAACATATTTAAGAACTACATCACGAACTTCTTCAATAAGAATATCTGCCCTTAAATTGTAAGCTTTTTAAAGATTTTATCCCTCTGATGTATAAACTATGCAATAACTTAGAAATCCCATAAATCCTGATATTTTTTCTAAAGCTTTATCCAAATCTGTAAACATTTCAAAAGGATCATTAAGTCCTTCATCAAGAAAATCATAAACAGGAGCTAAACTATCTCCTAAACAATTAACTAGCTCATTATTGCTTTATATACTATTCTCCTCTAAAATACCATTAATCACAGTAGCAACAGCTTCTTATTTTTGCTCTTTACTTAATTCATCGCTTTTATTTTTTACCGCATTAATTGCAAATGGCAGAACCATAAGCAATAAGAAACAATAAAATGTCTTTTGTCTCATTTAAAAATGTAATTTTATAACAAAAATTAAGTAAAAATTAATCTTTAAAAATATTAATTATTTGTTTCTAAAACGGCTTGAGTAAGATTAAACCTAATATCAAAAATTTTTTAGAATTGTATCAAATTAAGCTTGTTCATTAATTCATAAATCAAAATAAATATCGTATTAAATGCTATTTTTATCTTTAAACCCAAAAGATTTATTGGTTTGTAGGAATATTGAATTTAGTTAATTTGTATTTTATAAAAATTAATATGAAATTAAATTTTATTATTTGCTAATCTATGTCAATGGCAGTATTTTATTTTATATTTATTGCTCTCTATGCTGGTTTATTTTACTATTTGAGTTTAAACTATAAAATGCTGATATGAAGAAAATTATTTGTTTTAATAAGAGAAAAAATTACATGATTTTTTTAGGTTAAGTATGAAGAAAAAAATTAAACTGACTGAAAAAGATTCATTTGTTTCAAACGTTAAATTAATTTTTATTATTATTTATATGAAACAATATGCTGTAAATTCTCATTAATTAAGGGCCACCCCTCTCCTCATTTTTTACCCTTCCTTGAGTTTTATAAAAAAAACTAGAACATATTTTCGAAGAAATGGTTTTTTTGACTTAATAGAGGATCTATGATAGTAGAAATATTAATATAATTTATAGGATTCAATCTTATAATAGGGTTTTAATATATTTATAATAGATCCCTACTTAATGTAAATAAATATATTGTCGAAATTAAATTGTTAGCAGCTAGCTTTTAATATACTTATTAAATAAACATATGTGTCTAGTTTTTGAGTAAATAATTGTAATACAATAATGACCAAATTTTATATTCAGAAATTTTTAAAAACAGAAATTCAAAAGTATATTTATTCACTTATTCAAAATTCTCTTTTAATCTTAATTATAAAAATAGAGTTAAATTAATATAAATATTTTGATTTAATGGCAAACGAATCAAAAAATCTGCTACAACAAGATTTGAATTAAAATATATTCAGTAAAATTATAAATTTATTATATTTGAGTTAGCGAACATTTTAATAAATAGAGTGGAAGCAAGAATAAAACCATTAACTCTGTAACCAATAAAAGTTATTAATTGGTTAGATAAGATTAAATAACTATGAATAAAATTCTAAGTAAGTAAGTAAATGAATGAACGAATGACTTTTTCTATTTCAATTATAGCTATAATGGTTAGTTAACCCTATACAATTTTCAAAATTTTATTGATTCTTTATTTGCTAAGTTACTTATTTGCTATCTTATTTAATAATTTTAAGTTTATTTGCTTTTATTGATTTATAAATCTAAACTAAATAAGTAAGTAAGTAAATAAATAAACAAATATCTATTTATTTACTTAATAAAACGAGAACCAACCTTAATAGGTTTTGGTATAGATATTTTTTACTTAGGGAAAATAATTTTTAATTAATTAAAATAAAGATGATGCTAAATTAAATAAGGCTGTTACATGAGTTGTTATCAGCAGCTTCATTAAATTAATTACTTGATTATTTTTGTTATTATTATATAAATATAAATATAAAGAAGATATATTGATTTATTTATATATTTATTTTATTTTATTTTATTCATTTTTATTGATTGGTTGGTAGGTTAGTTAGTTATTTTTTATTTTTTTCTATTTATTTATTTATTATTTTAATTGTGGAAATGAATGAATCAATGAAAAATAAATAGTTCATACTGTTTTATTTTTATATAGTTTATACATTGTATACAAGCCAATGCTTTGAGCTACTACAAGGCCAAGTAGGAAGATATTAGTTTTGGTAAGATTAAGTTAAAGGTTGTAGCCCTACTTTTAATCTTGTTTGTTTTTATTTTTTGCTGCTCTACCGATTGCAGGGCTTTTCTTTTGAATACCAGTGAAAATTTAGTAATTTTTGTCATTTGAGACTTTGGATCTTATGTATTTCAAATACTCGTTGAAATCTGCATTAATAGTTTTTTGACCCATTAGGGTGATATAAGTTCCATTGTATTTTATGCTTACTTCATATCTGGGTGGCTTAGTGGGGTCATTTGAATGGATTTTGTATAATTCAAAGGCGAAGTTTGCTGCAAATGGGGGATAACGCTCAAAGTTGTTTTCGTTATTTTCAAAGTCTCTCTTGAGACCTTCAGGGGACATGAGACCAAAGACTACAAGAAGAGGGAGAATTAAGCAATTATGAGAAGAGCATACAATAAGTTTATGAGGATTTGTACCCTAAAGACATTTCTCAAAACTATCAAAAACGAATTCTAAGTAAGGAGTTGTAACTACCCAACTATATTGAGGAGTGTAAACTTCGCATAAACAGTTGTAAGATTTTAAATAAATTAGGAGCTTATATTCATCTTCTGTCACTCCATAGTCATGACCTAAGTATTTTTAGCAGGTTATGATATCGAAAAGTTTTTTCACGCTTAAAATGTTGTTGTTGCTTTAGGGTTTTAAGTGAAGTTTTTTTGAAATTGCTGCAATTTGTTCGCTATATTTTTGAATTTGTTCTTAGATCAAATGCTCGTTGCTTTTAAGTTGAGAGCTAATTATTTTAGTCTTTTCTGGAATGTAAGCATTTAAGACCTAATCGTGGTCACCTAATGTTAAAATTGGGAAAGGATAAAGTCCTTCTGGAAGTGAAAAGTCATTCTTGAATTATGGATCATCATGGATGTTAGGAGGATTTTCAGCGATAGATATGATAATTTCTTCTTTGCTAGGACGTCTCAGAAACTATTGAATTTCAAGTTCCAGTCCTTTAAATCCATCCAATGGTTGATCTTTAGGAGATGAGTGATTGGAGGATTCGTGGAGAGATTGATTCAGTTCAATAGAATCTTTGGAATTTTTCTTTTTCATTTTGGGTAATTCATCACTATTCTTCTTAGAACTTCTTGTTGATAACTCCTCACTGTTTTTTTTGTTTTGAGGGTATTAGTGTTTTCCATCAAGTGTGTCAATGCTAGTCTTTCTTTAAGTAGTGTTAGGAGGTTAAGCAAGATTCTTGTCAATGTGGGATGGGATAGATTTACCTGTTCCCAAAGGATAGAGTCCGAACATGAAGCACTAAGCGCTCTCTAATGCACGAGTACGATTAGAAGATTATACATGAATTTCAGAACGATCGTATGTTTCGCTTAAAAAATTCTAAGTGTAGACGTAATCGTGTCTAATTCCTTGTCCTAACAAGTAAAGTTAACGCATACCAACTTCAGAAAGCTGGCCTTTGTTGCTGGCCTTTATTTTATGGTTTTGCTTCTCTTCAAGGAGATGTTCGCTCATTGAGTGACGGGCTCCATGACGAAAAATAACGTGAGCCATAACTAACTCTCTGCGTCCATTCTCTACAGGAGGAAGGTGCCTTCTATCTTCGATACCTGCTCCGTGAAGGACAGAATAAAGTTCATTTTCATTTTACAAGCGGGAGTCCATGGGTTGAATGAAGATTGACTGACTGAATGAAAGAAAGAATGAAAGACTGACTACTGACTTTATATATGAAATATTTATAATAAAATCTGTTTATTTGATTATACTTTTTTAGTATCACCTTTCCTTTTATTTTAAAATGTATTTAATAAATTAGTTAAATAAATAATCATTCGTATAATCTGAGTTTTATCTAAATATATAAATCAGTCAAAGCACTTGCAGTAGAAAGAAAGAATTACATATGATTTATCAAAAAAATTCATTGAATAGAGAGTTAATAACTCTTAATATATGTATGTATATGTAAATGTGATTGTTGATTATTTTACTAAATACTAAATCAATTGCTCACTTAGATTATTATTGCGGAGTTAACATCTTTATTTGGGCAATTAATTAGAAATTTACTCATTTTTTAAAAAAAATAATAAGAATAAATAATAGTCGAAGCAAACAAGAGATAAAAAATTAGAGGTGGACTTAACCAAAAAGTAAAGAAAATCAAATAAAAATCAATAAATTATTTGAAAAACTGATGTTTTATGAAAGAGACATAAATAATCTTTCTAATATTTGCTGGATTTTTCCCTTGAAATTAATAAACATTAACTAACTAACAAATTTATTAAAATTATACAAAAATCTAAAAGGAAAAGAAAGCTATCTGTCTGTCTGTCAATCATACAACTAATTTATTTCTATTTTGAAAACTGTCTAAAATTTATAATAAATAAGTATTAAAATCTTATTACATTATTTTGCAATTAATTTTTTACTTTATTAAAAAACTGCATAAATATCGGCAACATTATATGTAAAGTGAAAGAACAGTAGGAACTACAGAAAAACACAATCTAATTACTTATTATTCACATTATAAACTAACTATCTTCATTTTTTTTCTTGGATTTTTTGATCTAGTAATAAAATTAAAAACTGGATTTCACAAATAAATAGATTCTCTTGAACAAAAAAATAAACTTTTTATTTTTTCACCTTTGTTTAATTTTTCGATTTATATGACTAATCAATCCTTCTTCTACTTCTAAAATAACACTTTTCCTATCAATCAAATTTCTTGCTTCCTTTTGATTTAATGTGGGAGCTTTCTTGTTTGGTGTTAATAAATAAATATTGGCTTAACTCCGTTATGAATGAATGAAAGCAAGAAATAAATAAATAAATAACATTAATTTTTTTCTCATGAAAATAAAAATAGACTGTTTTAAATAAAAAAATAGTTCCGAAATTCATTAAATTTAGTCTTAAAAATTAAATTACAAAACATAACTTAAGGATTTTTAAGACATTTTTAATTTAAAATTGACCAATAAAAATAAATATTATCTGTTTTTTATGAACAACTAAATTTCTAGACATTCTTAATCATATTTTTATTATTTTATTCTATCTGATCCCTCGGTATTTTTGATAGCTTAGCTTATATCAAATCCTATTATTTTAATAATAATTCTTTCTTATAAAATAACAGATTAAATTATCATCATCATCAGATGAGTTTTCATAAAAATTTAAAGTAGAAAATATATTTCAACACACCAAAAATAGTTATTCTTGCTTTGCTTGATTTGTTTTAAAATTTAAATTTAATTGTGTTTGTTTACAACTATCTTTACAAGCTTTAAATTTGATCAGAAGTTATAGACGAAATTCGAATCAATTTATTTATTTATTAAAGATTAAATAAATAAACAAAAAAAGATTTCAATTTATGATTTGATATTGATTGACTTTAATTGGTTTTTGGTATTTGGTTGTTTTAATAAAAAATAAATAAAAATAAATTACAAAGTATAATTAAAAAATTAATTAATTAAAATAATTAGCTAATCAAAACTGTTAGGATATAAATCTAGTCAATTTTATTCAATGGCTAAAGATGATTTTAACAAAATTTTCGATTAGATTATTTGAATTAAATAATAATAATTTTTTATAAATTTACTGATTTTTTTTGCACTTTATATTTTGACTTGTGGCTGTTAAGCGAGAGCACAAAAAAGAGAGAAAAGTAAATCAGATAAAAAATACTAATAAATAAATTGTATCTTAACGCATACAAATAATATATTAGAATGTAAAAACTTTTTACTCTATCTAATCAATCAATCAATTGATACATTTTTATTTTAATAAGAAGTTTTTTTAATTAATTAATTTAAGGCAAATTGTAATGAGCAATCATACTAACTTTGTCGATTAAATAGGGGTTATAAAAGAAGAACTAAATAGTTAAGAATTTTTGAGTATCGAATCTGAAGCAATCTCAAAATCCAAGGTCAGATCAGAAATACTTTCTAATAAAATAAAATAGATTATTATAGATTAAAATGCTATTTGCATTTAGGAGTTTAGTTCAAAGTAACCTTAACTTAAATAGACTGAGAATATGAATTAGCAAGCTAATTTAAGCAATATTCCTGATAATGTAAGCTTCGGGAGGCTATCGCCATAGAATGAACATCGCTAAATAAACCTTCCCCTTGCCAAAGTTTCATAAATTAATTTCGATGGGATTCCTTTTCCAACAAAGTTTATTGTGAGCAAAGCCTTGATGAATCCAATACCTCCGCCTCAATTAAACTTATAAAAATTAGCTTAAATTCAATAGTTTTAATAACCTATAAAGAGCTCTAAGCTTAATGAATTTCCAATCATAAAAGAGTGCTAAGTACCTAGAAAGAGAGGAAGCTTAACTTACAGAAACATTGATGAAGATTTAAATATTTTTCAACAAAAAACTAATCAGGCTGACATCAATTAACAAAATGGTAACAGTTCTAACATTAATGTATTAAATAATTCTTCGCCAATAAGCTAGTTAAAGCGAAGTGCGTACAGAATTAAGCATGATTTAAATAACAGCTGCTTTGCTAATGATTTTACGGAAAGCTACAATAAGATTTCTTACAAAAGAATGTCGGATTTCGGATAAAATTAATAAAATGCTAGAAGTCAAATAAGTAGCTTGCAATAAAAAAAAGAAATTCAAGATAATAATATAAACAAGATAAATCTCCAAAATAATTAAATTGGTAATAAATTTGGAAAACCGATATTAAATATGCAACATCCTTTACTTTAAATAGCATAATAACAAGGGATAGCAAAGAATAACTATGACTTATCTCAGTAGTAAAAGTAAGGTAATAATAACAATAGTTGCAATAGTTCTAGAGTATTTGCTAATAAAAAAAGCTCTTTAATAAATAATAGAAGTCTCCGTAATAGTCCAAGGGCATTTGATCTCTATGATAAAGAATATGAATATAGTAAAGTAAATGAAAATAATTTTTCAGTTCAGCAAAAGGAGAGAACACCTCTCGTGTAACTAATAAACTAACAAAGTAATTTAATTGACATAGATTGTAATTTAGAAAACGAATTAAATATCAGCAATAGATAGCACTTAAAACATTTAGATTAAAAATCAATTGCAAAAAAAATTCATGTGTATAAAAAATATATAAACAAGCTAGAAGATCTTCTCTAAGAATGTTAACAAGAAGACTAAAAGAAAATTTTACCTGATTAGAAATACAAAACTAATAATACAAATCCGCCTTCTTCTCATTTTCAAATTGAGAGCCAAATTTTTAAGTAAAACAGATCTATTTTTTTTGAAAAAGTTCGTCCTACAACATCATCAGTGACTGTAAGCAGAAATAACCCTTAAAGCAAAAACTCTAATCTTATTGAGGGATTTAATTAACTTGCAGAATCAGCTCTAGTTGCTAATACCGCCTCTATTTCAAATCCTACATATATTTCTAATTCTGTCTTTGTTTCTAATTCTGGTTTGAAAAATATCCCAAATCCTGAATTCATAGTTCCAAAAAACAGTGTCCTTTTGCATGGACTAGACTTAGAAAGAAACGAAATTAATTTTAATTAAAAGTAGCCTTATTAAATTTTATAAAAGTTATAACATATCCCCCTTAAAAATACAGAAAATGCAATAGAAAACATAATCCAGCAAAGATCCAATTTAAGGAAAGATCTAAACAACTCAGTCGTTGGTATAGCTTCCCCTTTCGAAGAAAATAATTCAAGACTTAATAAATCAATAGATTTCATCTATACTAATAAAAGCAAAAGTTCAAATAAGCTCGAAAAGAAACCTCTTAATTAAGGAGTAAAAGTAAATGAAATATAAAAAAAGACACCTTATATTTTTGAGTAGATTAGGACTGCTAGATAGCAAATCGGTAACACAACAGATCATATTTAGCCAAAATAAACATCAACAAAAAACGGATCAGTATAAGATAGAAATAGCTAAAATGAATAACAATAATAATACATGACCTACAGAAAGAAGTCTTTTCTAGATAAGACTGCTAGTTTCGCTATGTATTCATGAATAATTTCAATAATATCAAACAACTTTCAATTAATATCAAAAAAAAAATCATTAAATTTTGCAAAAAGCTTTAGATTTAAAAATAAAATTTTTTTAAGCTAAAGAAAATAATTAAAAATAATTAATTAATTTAAAAAAAATATATTGTATTTATTTAACATTTATGTCAATTTATAATTTTCAATATTAAAAATCAAACTTTAACAAATTGATATCTTTCATAAATTAACATAAAATTTTAAAGCTTTACTTGGATTGATTGATTAATAAATGAATGAATATTATTATAAATATTTATTAATTTATAAATAATTCAAATTAAATGTGCTTGATTTAAAGTCTTAAATTAATTTAAATAAGCCAGCAAAAGCAAAATTTGATTGAATTCAACTCAAAGAAATTTATTTTAAATAGAAGGCTTATCCAAAAACAAAGTAAAGCTATAATAGTGAAAATAAAATTTAGATATTTATTTATTTTATAGAAAATGAAATAATTTTAATTAATATCTTTAAAATAATTAATTAAATAAATCTAATAATTTATTATAAAATATCTTTAATAATTAAATAACAAGCTAAAAGTATTTGTTATTTTTATAAATTTAATTTTTAAGTGCTTTTGAAAATTCCTTTTAACTTTTATTTTAAGATTTCTATGAATTTTATTGGTTCTTTATTTAAAAAATAGAATTAAAAAAATTTTTTTTTATTAGCTTGCCATTTTCTTTTTATTAAAAATAAATTTGTAGATTCATAAAACATAATTAATTATCTATTAGTATTGATATAATTTATATTTTAAATGAAAATAGATCTTAATTAATTTTAATTATTAAAAGTATGATTAGGTTTTTTAATAAAATAGCAAATACATCAAATTATTTAATTAATTTATGAAATTGATTTTTAAATAAAAGATTAAATTGTTTTTAATAGATAATTTTTAAATTTAAATGATTTAAGAAAAGTTTATATAAGATAAAAAAATTACAACCTACCATATTTATTTAAATAAAAGATCATACTTTGAAATAAATTTTGGCTAAAACAATGCATTTTTGAAAATAAACTTTGCATTTTAAACTGTCAATTTTTGGTTTAAATTTTAAAAAGTAGAGTTTTAAATTAAATTTAAAAGCAATAATAGGATAATATATTTTTTTAAAAACAATAAGAATATTTTGTAAAAGTTAATTGCATTTTAATACTATTTATTTCCTTTATTTCATATTAATGCAATACTATATATATATATTGCTGTTTGTTGATTTTTAAAACGTCAAAGATATTGATTTGATTTATTTATTTATATTTAAAAAAAATAAATTATTAAAATGGAAATTTAAAAAGTAAAATGAATTTTTTGATAGGGTTTTAGAGTATTAATATGAATGACTAAATGAGTTTTAATAATGAAAATATGTATGTATCTATGATTGGATTGACTGAGTAATTATTATAGACATTGCTAAAAATGTATTATTCATTGATTAATGCATATTTATATGTATATACATGCATATGCACATACTTAGTTACTAAAAAATTTTACAAATTATTTGCTTATATTACTTACTTACTATTTTATACTGATAAAAATCATTTGCACTATTTTTCCATCACTTTTCAGCATTGAAACCATTTTTTTCTAAAAGAGCTCTGATTTCAGCTTCTTTGAGGGTACGTCCTTCTATTTTTTTAGAGGTTTTGTTTTCGCTAATAACAACCATTTCAATCTTTTTAGGAGAGGGATTAGCGGTATCCATAGTTTTAACAAGGGCCTTGATACCTAAGTTGATACCTTCCTCAAGGGTGATATCAACTTTATAAGATGGCTTGAGTAAACCGTTGGCTTCAGCATTCTTTTGACCGATGGCGATAGCTTTCCAGCCGAAATAATTACCAGAGGGATCAGTAGAATAGAGTTGATATCCTAAATGACGGTCGTGACCAGCGAAAAGGAAGGCTGCACCGAAAGGTCTCAAACCTCCAATTTGAGTATAAGATTACTTAATATCGCAGATCTTAACGATGAGCTATTCGATGGGGATATTTTCACCACCATAATGATATTTGTAGTTTTATGCTTCGACTCTAGCAATGTCGATCAAGTAATTTGCATCAGCGGTTAAACCGTTGACAACGGAGTACAAATGAGAATCTAACTAGAAAATCTTTTCGGAATGAGTAGGAGCTTCCAAAAGAGAGCTTACGTCCTAACGCTCAGTAGTTAAAACAATACCTTCCTTTGTTAAAATACCAATAGCACTGCCAGTTTTGTTAATAGCTTCAATAGCATATTAAACTTACAATAATTTACCATCATTAGTAAATGTAGTAGTCTTCTAATCGTATCTTCTTGACATTTTATTAGATGATATATTTTTTTCTTTCTATTTATTCTCTTTTAATAATCTTTCTTCTTCTAACTTTGTAGTCTTCCCTATCTTGCCCTTAAATCACTTAAGTCTAAACAAACTAAAATTTGTGATAATATGGATCTTAATACTTGTTGTAATTTATTTATTTATTTATTAAATTAATAATTATTTATTTAATTTAGAATGATCCTTTTTTTTTCTAATCTTTATTTATTTATTTGTTTGTTTGTTTGCTAATTGATTTCTTTTGTTTGTTTGCTTAATTGCAATCTTTTTAAATAATAAAATCCAAACAAACAAACAAAAATTTTATTTTGTTAACAAAAATAAATGAATAAATCCATTCTTTATTTAATTTTTAAAATCTTTCCTTATTCAAAAACTGATATCTTAGATACATACATATATAAATACATTTCTTTCATTGTTATTTTGCAATCTCTCTTTATATTCAGATAACCAAGACATTATCAATTAGATCAGAGAATATCTTTTTTTCACAATCAATCTAATTCGCTTCTCTTCTCTCATGCAATCTGTTCTCTTTCATTCAGTGATAAATTCATTTATAAAATACTAATAAATATATTCTTAATAGCTCTTGCTTTAAAAATAACCATAATATTTTTATAATAAAAATAATAGTAGAAATCAACATTTTAATTAATGTTTTAATTTGTAATTAGCTTTGAATCATTTAATAAAATAAATTTAATTAAATTTATAAATTTTAATTTAATTTAATTTAACTTAATATTTTGAATTTTAAAATTTAAATATGACTTACTGAAATTATTGTAACTTTAAAATGAAAATAATGTTAATCATTTTAAACAGTTAATAATTTGTTTATTAAACTTCTTATTAATAATTTTTGTAGAAATAAATAAATATTTGTGGAGTTAGAGTATCTATCTATATTTTGATAACAATTTATAATAATTTTTAAATTCAAGTTTTAAATTAGTACTACAAAAATAACAGTTTAGTGAGTTGTAACTTAGGTTACATGAAAAGTGAAAAATAAATAGAAAAAGGATTTTAGAAAAGCTGTATATTTAATTAAAAGAAATTTAGAGACTATTTAGAGTAGTAAAAAAAATAATATTAAATTTTGAAAATCTTATTTAGTTAGCTTTTGAAATATGAATGGAATCTTTGAAAATATTTTGATTGCAAATTTATTAACATTTTATTAAATTTATGAATGAATTTAGTTAGGTAAATACATACTTAAAAATTTTAAAGAAAATAAAGTAATTGAGCTTATTTTAATCAAATATTAAAAATACTTAATAAAAAATATATTAATCCCCATAAAATTTGTAAATTATATTAAATTAAGTTTATTTTGCTAATTATAAATCAAAATTGTGTATTTATACTTCTACCTTGTTTTAAGGTCTATTTATTTAAATGATAAAATATATTTTTTTAAACAAAATATTTTTAATTTTTTTCATAATTAGAATACAGATTGATATGTTTTTGCTCATTAATTGATATTATTAATTAAAGCAAATTAATTATTATTACAATAAGAAATTTATAATTTAATTATAAAATGGGTTCAAATTGTTAAAAAAATTAGCTTAATGAGGTAAATTTTGATTATGAAAAGGAAATGCTCAGTGCTTCAAATGTAATATAGAATTTAGAGTAGAGCTTGGTCAATCCATTAAAATATTTTGAAAAATACACTTATAAAGATACATAAAAATTAAAATCTTTTGGGTAGAATTAATTATATTCAATACAATCAAGAAGGGAAAGAATATAAGATTTTAATTAATATATTGATATTTTACCTAGTATTTATATGAAGAGTAAAGATTACGATAAATTTCAAATTTATTTATCGAAATTACAAAAGAAAAAAGTTTAGATAAAATTTTTATTTAAATGCTAAAATAATTTTTTTTTCAAATAAAAAAATATCTTAAATGAATTTCCATTAATATTTACTTTTTAATTTATTAAATTTAAAAAAAATAAATTTTAGAGATTATACTTATTTACTTACTAGCTTTTTTAAATAGTTTTTATTAATTTATTAATCAATACATGTTTATTTTTGAAAATATTTTAAAATAGATAAAAGTAGTGCTTTTCATTCAAAATATATTATTATTTATATTTAATAAGTCTTAACAGCTTTGCATTATTTATAAATTAAGCTAAATAAATTGCAATTGCATTAAAAAAAATTTAGTCATGATAATACTTTAAATAAAAACAATTTCAATACATATTTAATTTTAAAAGATAGAGTAAAATGTTTCTTTTAAAAATAAAAAGAAAGAAAGAAATAAATTAAATTATTTATTTGATTTATTTTATTTTAAAAAAAGATTAGATTAAAAAATAAAAGGGATTTTTTATTCTTTTTTTAATAATTTAAAATTAAAAAAATAAATTATTTTTTAATTAATTGACTCTTTGAATATTAAGAATTAAATTTATCTATCAACCTATTTTTAATAAATAGTCAAATAAACTATTAATATAAATTACATATTAGTGTCACTTAACTATTAATTAATTATTTCTTAGTCTTTAAACAGTTTCTAAATTTGTTTGTTGTTAATATCAAAAATAAACTAGTTAGCTTTTGATAAATCTATTGATAAACATTTAAATTAATATATTAAAACTAACTTACATAAATATTTTAACTTAATTAAAGAATATTATAAACAAAAATTGTGCTTATTATTTATTTATTTAATTATTTAATTTTTATTTTGTTTTTTTAATTAATTAATAAACTTATAATATAATTTTATCAAAATTTGTTCATATTTGCAACTCGTATTCCATGTACTTATTTTACTTATAATAACCACTTATTTGTTGCACTATGTTTTTAGGATTTTCAAAATTTAATTTTTTAAAATTTAACTTGATCTCTTCAAGGTCTATGCACAACTACATATTTTCAAATAATTTCAATATTTATAAATCTTCATCTGCCTTTGTGTCTTTGATGTCTAACTAAAACTATTCTAATTGCTTTTGCTTTTAAAATAATTCGCTCAACTTTTTAATGCTTTCGTTTCCTATTAATGTAGAGCAAAAAGAGAGATACAGCTTTTTCAAGCTTTTAGCTTCTTGCAGAGTATTCACTAGATTTACCAAACCACTGTCGCTAATTTTGCTGCATTTATTGAAATTTAATACTACATTTTTTATATTCTTGCATTATTTCATAGATTCTGCTAATTTTTAAAGTCCTTCGCTAGTAAGCTTTTAACATTATTGAAAGCTCAAATATAGCTTGGTGATGCTTGTACAATTCTAAATACCTTCTGATAGTTGGAATAATACGTCTTCCTACAAGTTTTAGCACTCATCAAACTTAAGATTTAAATGATCTAAGTGCTTTAAATTTTTCAAACCTTTTGCAAGATAGTTCAGAGCACTACCATTTATTTTCTCACATGATGGGAATTCCAATTTTAGCTTTTAAATATTATGAAACTTGTTAATAACTTCAATCAAATTTTAAAGACCAAAATCAGTGATATCATAATTAGCAAAGCAGTTTATTTCCAGTCTTAAAGTATCATGACAATGTGATAAAGAGCGAGTTACACTGTCAAGCATTTCGTCGTCAAAGTTACTCATACTTAGATTTATGTTAATGTATTTATCTGTTTTTTTAAGTTTTGTGTGGTCTTCTTTAGTAACCCAAACTTCTTAATAATTCTATTTAGGCTCTATTAGTTAGAACACCGATTAAGGAGTTTCCATATCTTTTATTGAAAGCAAATCTTAATCGGTGGTTTGGAATTTTTCTTGTAAAATATCTAGCAAAGACTATGGATCAAGTCTATCTTCAGGCTTGACCTTGACCATGTTGATTAAAATTTTATCAATATAGTCCTCATAATGAGTATTTTTTGGCAGATATCGCTTAAGACAATCTCTGTCTCTTATATCCTATAATTGGTGGTTTAAGAATTTTTTACCTCTTATTAATTCAGCTAAAGAAAGACCTAAAGAAAACAAATCAGTTTTATTCGAGAAGTTTTCATAATTCCTTGTGACTTCAGGAGAAGAATAAAGACTTATCTGACTCTATTTAAGTGTAGTGTATTTTATCATCTAAACAGTTTGCTGGTTTTATATTAGTGCTTCAATTGGACAATCCAAATCTGAAAAAAGAAAAGCATTGTTACTCTTTTTGTACAAAATATTCTCAGGCTTGATATTTGTATTAATTTGCTAATTATTTCTTGCTTTTCTTATGCTAATCAGACCTTCAAGGAGCTATTTTGTGATTGCAAAAATTTAATTTTTTGCCAAAGTATTAGCATTAATAAAATCCCTAAGAGAGCAATCACATAATTCTCTCACAGCAAATATCGATTTAATCTATTTATTAACCAAGTATCGCTCAGTCTGAAGGATGTATTTATTTTCTTTATAGCTATCGTAAGTACTTTTTGCTTACTAGGTGTCATCTAATACCTAAAAAGATTCATAATTAATAATCTTAATAGCATAAACTTAATTCTAAGAATCTTTGACTGAAACAATACAATCTCCAAAATTAGTTCCAATCATCTGCTCTATTTGATATCCTTTCTGTTTTATATAATCGCTTTATCCCTTGAATGACTTGTATTAAATGTGATACTTCTCACATATTGGCTTAAATTAATTGTTTTCTTCTTTTTACTATGATGATACACAACCCATATGACTGACAATAATAAATGATTTATTTTTAATTTACTTTGATTTTTTAAATATATCGCAAAAATTTTAATAAATAATAATTGTAAATTTATCAAGTAACTAACTAGAAACCTAATTATCAAACCAAATATATATATATATATTGATCCAATATATCATTAATTGACTGACTCTATAATAATTTTGATAATAATATTTATTAAATTCTTTCTTTGACAATATTGTTATCAATCAATTAATCAATCAGTATATCTATATCCATCCTTCATTTATGCTAAAACCACAATTTACATAACGAATTAATAAATATAAATGCAATGATACATAAAACCTTTCTATAGATTTTTCTGTGATTTGAATTTATTTAGTATTACATTCTTATATGCAAAATCACTTAATTTACATAAAGCAAACATTTTGTAATATTTCCATTTCTATTTTAAATCTAATTATTTTTTCTATATTAATTTTTGAAATAGAAAGATTTCAAAAAATTTAAGGACTTTGAATCATTCAAATTTATTAATTTACTTTTTAGCCTTTTTGCTACATTTCTCTAATCAAAAAAAAGAATGGATAAACCTTTTCTATTTTAAAATTCAAGTAATTAATAATTTATCTTTTAAAATTTTATTAAAGAAGGAAGTTACATCAAAATTTATTATTTTACTTTATATGCTTAACCGTAATTTCTCGATAAAAATATCCTTCTTAGATCCGATAAAAGAGTCATAATTTTGAGTTATAAATATTCAGAAAATATGATAAAAATTTATGTTTGCTGGTGAGAATTTATGAGGATTTATAGTATTTAAATCAGATTTTTTAATAAATAAATAAAAAGAATATTTCATAATAAGTGACATGCAAACCATGAAATTTTTGTAAGACATCTTGTAAAACTTAGAGATATTATAAATATTCTTAAATTTAAATAGCTAAAAGAGAAAAATCTGCTTATAAACATTATTTTTATAATATTTAAGAACATTAACTACAAGGTTTTTTTTAAATAAGACTAAATAAATAACTGGCCAACTCTAATTCCTACTATATATATTTTTAAGTAAATGTTTTAAAATACAAATATTAAGTTTAAATAGTGAATATTAAATTAATTTTCTGTGATATCTATCTCTTCATAAAACCAAATATATAAATTAATGTTTGATAATTAATTAATTATTATTTTTATTTGTTCTTTTTAATCATTTATTATTAATTAAATTTCATAAATTGCCATTCAATATTTTTGAAAAAAAAAATAAATGATATAATAGATTAAAATATATAATAATTTAGAAGAGAGTAATTATTAATTTT